ACAATTTTATCATTCACATTCATGGACAATAAAAGATCGAACAATAATTTGTGGAAGAAAAAAGATCTCACTGTTAATGTTGTTGAAAGGTTCACGAAAACTGTTTGATAAGTGTTCTTCCAAAATTTACAAAATTTTCAAAATGTATTCCTTGTTTAGATATTTCAAATTCTTCGCTATTGTGTTTACTATCTGTCATCAAACTAGTATACAAATCCATACAGTTGCAGAGACTTCCGTGAGGAGAAAATGCAGTTGTTGTTTCTAGCGTGAATCACTGCCCGATTCTCTAGCAACAACGGCACTCATAAGATTCAGAACAGAAAAATGATTGAAAGTGAAGAATACCATACAATTTTTGAAAACTTAAAAACAAATGGACAACCTTACAATAAGCCTATATATAGGGGAATAAATTTATTTTTGAATATCAGCCTACTGTAAATAGTATAACCATTCACTTTAATTTTATTGATACACAGAGAAAAGGGACAACAGTAATAAACTTCCTATAATCTCTTTGAAATAAACAGTTCAACATCGGAAAATCATAGAGCCGAAATTTTAGCACAATGAAATTTCGAAACAAGATATTTTACCTTGTATAGTGTGTGTATTGAATGAGTGATTTTTAAGAATGTATATTATCTGAAACTTAATGCATAGAAGTCTTTAGTTTGTCGAATTGAAAAACTGTTGTTGTAATGATTAGTTTGACATATTTAAATAAATACTATACTTAGTTTTTCATTGGCTACAATATATCCTAGCAACAAACAATTAAGTAACTTTTTAACTATAAACTGTATCTACAAAAACTGGATAAAACGAAGAACACAAAACAACACAACAACAGGTTCGTACTCATTGGAAGTGATGTGTCAGAACTTCTTGAAAATTCCGATATTTTAAAAGTCTTGATTAAAGTAGGTGAACTCTGTATAACATGTATGATGTCTGTATATAATAATGATTATTTTGTACGTCAATCCGCGCTTATTACAAATTTCGATTGCAGGCCTTCGGTGATACTCATGGAGTTCAATCTAATTTAAATCAAACATTTCTGGTAACCTATAGTTACCACATAAGTTCGAATATTTCTGAACATCATAAGATAACAGTTTGAAATGCATTATGTTTAGGAAACTCAAAACAAAAATGAATGGTTAGGTAACAGTGAAGTTCATTGGGGAAATGTAAATGGAAAAAGTGCTATTGCGTCTAACCTTGTGCATTGTAATGGTCAATTATCAACAAAAAAAGTATGAAAGCCCAAGTTTATCCTAGCAATATCATTTACTTATCGCTTATAGGTGTAAAAGAGTTTAAAAAAATTAACGTGAATGAAAACATAGTCAAAAAAATCAGAGTAAGAAAACGGTTGTTTAATTAACGAATATCAAAACTTGTACATTCAGCATAGGTCTGAACATCATTGTTTTTCAGTTAAACGGAAGTTAATGGATGGATATCACATATAAAAAACCTAATCTCCTTGCAAAATTCTGTTTTCATATACAGTGTTTAAAAGTTTATTTAAAAGAGAGCTTATGGATAAATTCCAAAAACCCCATCAGAATTCTAATAAATGTTTGTAAATCATAAACTAACTAGTTACTTAGTAGTTACACATCTTTCAAATAGTTGAGACGAAAGAGCCATTCAATGTTCTTAGGATTTCAAAATAGAACATAATTATTTTGTAAACTATTTTAAAAGACGTTTCATTGTCTATATGATACTTAACGTTCAACTGTCTCACCTATCTATCATAAATTACTAGTGCTTTTTTGATTAAAAGTTAATTTCCTAGGTACTATATGTTATATTCCGACGAGAATTATGAATGGTTACTTTTGAGAACTATTTATGAACCATTAAGATACATTTATTTTTATTGTATAATTGGTATGTAATTATGAATTACAGTCTCTCGAATTCACAGCCACTTTCGGCAAATCATGTACAAATGTTATTTTCTATTTTATGGTACGATGTAGTCCGTTTCGTTTGTATATAAACCAGGTATGTTTAAAATACATTATTCATATCTCAGAGGCTTGAATTGGTGTTTCTGGATTTAACAGGAGGAGCTAGGCGGGAAGAAGGACCGATAAAGACTCTAGACTGCTTGTATGGGTTTTTGTGAGTAATTGGTTCGGTCGATAATTCGCTGTTCTGTAATTGCCGATATCATTACGTCACATATATCTATAGGGGCGCAAGGTCACAAATTATAAAAATTGGCGACGGGGTGAAAAAAATTCTGAGGTCTAAGTCGTCAGAATGTAGAACTATGGTCACCCAGTAACTGAATGAAAATCAGTATAATTATTTAGAACAATCAACATATAGAATTTTCGTCTGTCTCCTTGAACGACCTTGGTCGTTAGTCATACTGTATTTTCTACTACCATGGTGATTCATACAGAAACAGAAAATTTCACTCCCTTCCGATCTACCGCAGTTGCTATTTCAGAGATAACAGCAGAGTTTTAAAAAAAACCAGTTGGAGTTTATAGACAAATTACTCACACGGCTGCTGAACCATCCATGTTTTGGAGATGTGACGAAAGTTAATGAATTCTTATTTGCGTACAGAGCTGGAAAATGATTGAAGAATGAATGAATGTGTCAGTGAAGTTCCCCTTGAATCCCTGACAAGCAGTAATTTTAAAAAAACAGTAGCATTCATACACGATCCACCTAGTAGTCATTTTGTTAGGGTGTTCCTTATTAGTACGTGTCAGTTGTCTAATACTTCTTCATTTCCAGTGGGTTTCTTATAAAGATCAGTTCGTGGTGAACGTTATTTCAAAATATGCACTATAAGACACAAACATACTCATTGACACTAGAAAATATTTAACAGGTGGATGGCTGATCAAATGGCGTTCAAGTTGCAGAAGTACAGTGAAATCAAAGTAACTTATTTCTAGCTATTATTGTAATTCAAATCCATTGCATATTATTTATCTTGTTAAAGACTTCATTTTAACTACATGAGACAGTTATTGATTATTAATAACGTCGGAACGCGATGTAGCAGCAAGTATTTATAAGATTCTCACATGATGCTAAATGTGGTCATCTATGGATACACAAGCAAGTGATATAGCCAATAATTTCTCCATAAACTGCAAATATACCTCGGTGACAAGTAATGACTACCTCGAAGCCTAGTTTAAATAAAGCTTACTGCTTATCGCCTACAAATATCTAACATTCCTCATGTATATTTGCAATCATTTTATTTATCAGCCACTGTGTATCCAATACAAAATATGTCACGAGCTTAAATGTCAAATAACTAATAGGGTGAATAGTATTTTTATCTTCATTCTCCAGGTATGGTCTCGGAGAACAGCATCTACCGTGATAGAACCATTATATTTTGAAGAATGAATCAAAGTATATCCAATATTCGTGCTTTAAATACCTGATTATCATCGAAAATCTGGGATGTCCTATGTTTTATACATATTTCAATGGAACGTAATAGCTTTTTATCAATATAGAACATTTAAATTAGTTAACCACTATGGAGTTTGCAGCAGTAATCAATATAGTTCGATTGATTTAGGCCTGAGACATGTATTACCGATGGTAATGGATGAAGATTTTAAATTATAGCGTGCTGGCTGAAATCTTACACATAATCCTTTGGGTGTTAAAACCGTGGCCAAAGTGTAACGTGCAACTAGGTCTTGAAATCTCGTAGTATAACTGATTCGCACATTTGCAAAGCATCATATTAGAACAAATCAGCTATACAGTCCATTCTCGAGTTCAGAAGTTGTCAACTTCAAGTCATTTTATGATGCAAATATTATCGCATACCTAAATGTGTTATTCAGTGAGAAGATAATATTGCCGACTTTTTACTTCAAATTCAATGATGAACAAATCATTTCATTTGACAACATCCGTGTGTTGAAACTATAATATTTATTTGTTGGAATTTAAATCAAATTCATAGCAATATCAGAACTGTCAGAAATGTGGCTAATTGAAATCAAATTAATAATGGGAGCATTATACAGATACTCCACTTTAAATCAAAGAACGGAAATGCATTGAAAAATTATTTATGGTGGGTTGCTATGCAAAATAAAGCTTAGCTCATTTGTGACAAGAGAACCTACGCTTCAGTTTCTACATAACTGGAATATTTCAACAGTTGTAAATTTTTGATTTGAATGTGCTTTCAGGTTGAATATTTTGTAGTAGCTAACCTCAAAATATTTGCATTTAATGTTGATTTTATGCAGTTGTTTAACGATTCTACTTGCCTAATAATGTCTGTGAGTTGAATAGAAGCATAATAATCCACATACAGTGAATTTATATATACTTTTATGAACGACCCATTGTATGCGAACTAGGCATAATAGTGAACCAAAATTTGCATATCCAAGTTCAAACCGATGTCTTTTTGACTGGAAACCATTTATCATCAACTATAACCAACCGTTCAGTTTAAAAAAAAGTTGAATTATGACGAGCTACCGGTAAAATTTAGAAAAACACGTTAATCAATCCAAATAATGCTGAAGATAAATTGTGATAATTTACATCTTGAGATATAAAGCAGGTATTCGATATTCCTTGATTTTACTCTAAACAATCCTCATTTGTACTGATAACAAAATTTGAAAACAGATAAGATCTCCTTGAAGTAGGTTGTTTTTGATTAAGTTTGTGTAAACGGAATTATTCTTTAGACTGCACTGGATTGGATTAAATTTAATCCATAGGGCTTATATATAAGATGTAATATATATACATATAATATATAATAGTAATCTGTAGAATAGGTATACAAACTTTTATACCTGTATTTGCTAACGATTGTGCATGACTGTAAGAAATCAATGCACACAAATATTAGCCAATGAATGTCTGCGCACCAATGGTAAGTAATAAGCTGTTTTGATGACTGTACCTGTGTTTGCTTACTGTATATACGTTGCACTATTGCCTGTACGTAAATGTGTACGTGTCTAGATCTAATACACTAAAGTAAACATGAACGTCTGACAAGAAGCCGGCCGGCCGGCCGGTTACTTTCATTTACCGGTTAGATGTGATCACTATTTACAGGCATAAGTTGCCTAAATGTCTGCCTATTTTCTGATATAATAAGTCTGTCAAGGATTATTTAAAGGAGCGAGTGAAATTTATTACTAACAAGAACCAGTTCTCTTTATTTTCACTCAATTACAAATATTTGATAGTATTATTTTATTATTTTTAATCAACTGAAGACGAACGTCTGTGTATTGCAGTCAGAAAGGATACATTTCAATATTTAACTCATTAAGCATTCCGTTGATATCAATGTTCAATGATAACTAAGGATAGTAACTAAAAAATTAAATTTCACAAAATTATTGATAATGTTTATAGATTATTCTTCTTTATGAATTACATAAAATTACCTAAAACATTAAATTAAAAAAATATTTTTTTCTTTGCCACATTTTAAGAACATCTCTATAAAACAAATGAATATTTATGTACAACTGACTAAATAAAAAATTAAAATGAGTCGATGAAATAAGTATAACTGTAGAAAAATCACAGTAAAGCTTTTTCTGAATATAATACAAGTGAATTAAATTCATGTACATCTTTAAATCACATGGAAACCTATCCATCTAACTATCAATCACTTCCAATTCTCAGGTTACTTTATACAACATTATTGACAATCTCTTATTATAATTGGAACAATTCTATTGCCATTGATCATCTATTTAAAGGTATCATTCATTTTTAACACTGAAAATATTTGTTCATTTCTTTTTGAATAAACAAACAATGTTATTCACACGTATTGTCAAAAATCTATCCTGTAATAAAACTATAACCGGTATAAATACTATTATACTTAAGGACAATTTATTAGTTTGTTACTTATAAAATAAACCATCAAATTGTTTACAGTTATTCATCCCATTATTTCTTACCCATTGTTGTTTCTCTTTCCACTTCATGAAAGCATAAAATCAGTTCAAGAAATACATTGTCACTTTTTTTCCAAACAATTATCTCCATGACTTCTATAATTCATGATTATAATTACCGAGAAGAAAAGTCTAATTTGAGCTGAGAATATTTTTTGAACATAACGATGAAATACTGCTGGTTTTTTGGGGATATTTTACATTTCTTACTTTTATCGCAATTATCCACAAAAATTACATCCATCACAACTATCCTAATGTACACGGTGTTGACATTAACCCATAACTGTATACATTTAGAATATTTACGTAAAGATTTAAAAACATTTTATAGTAATGATCAATTTATCAATCTGTCACAACCGTGTAACATGATCGAATTTTGTATAAATCCTTTAAAGATGGTAGGATATTTTCAACTAGGGTATTCTCATAATACATGTAAAACTACAAATATCGATAATGCAACAATATGGAACAGTACACAATATTTGATTTCACAAAATAATTACTTTAATAATTCAAACTATGATTGCAATAATTTTTATGGTAAGTTGATTATGTTAAATATATCCTATCGTTTCTCAATATTATAAAGTATTATAGTATGTAACCACTTGTATTTCTATGTTAATTATGCTATCTAGATAATATTTAATAAGATTTTCTAGAGAACAGTGCAGTTATATGCATCCGTTTTAAAAATCCATCATACTGTGGTTATAATATATCTAACTGAATTAAATGCATTCGTACTCAATTTTTTTTACTTATTGTTGGTCATTCACACTAATATTCGGTATTGTCACGGTTTTATTTGTTAAACAAGCAATGAAAGTGTTGAACTGTAATATACTTTGTTTGCCGAACTTACGTTTGCAAACCAAAACATTTTATGAACAGCCAGAACATTTATGTTTATTCGCATCTAACAATGCAGGCTAAGTTAAAACTCGTGTTGTGATATTTATTTGGTCTCAGATTCATTGTTAACTATTGTACGGTCATGTGCTTGATCAAACATAAAAGTATAAATCAATTTATTTCAATAGTAATCAGTGATTCTAGCAAAATTCACTTCAATGTAGAATATTGAGGTTTAATAGTAATCCGCACGAAAGTGATTAAGTGCATCAAACTACTAATAGAATGTTAAATAAATTCATGTATTGCTTTTATATCTGTATCTGTTGTATGTAGATTCATTGAAATCAGAACTGATTGATTACAGTTGCGAAAAGACCTAGTTATTTATTTCGAATCTCAGAACTACACATCTATTTCTATATAAATATCCATTTTATTCTTCAACACATAACCAGATGTTTATATTTGTGTATAATCTAAAAGGATATAAATTGAATAACCTTTATTGATTATTTTACAATTACATGAACTAGTATGTTGCATAAGTTAGTTTATCTAGTCATTTTTCCTTATTTTGAATTTAACCATCACCCTGGGAAAAACCTAGATATGAATGTGAATATATTTCTACATGGTTACTAATTATTTGAAAGTATATGCAAAGACAAGCAGGTATGTTTAAATAAAAGCATGTAGGCTTTTGCCATACGTTACTATGCAATCATAGATAGAGAGGAAAATGAAAACTGGAAAAAAATGTGCATGAAACATACAGAAAACTACCTTGCGTAGAAACTACTTATCAAAAATATCAAAAGTTAATTTGTAGTCAATGTAAGATGTTATTTAAAAAATTATGCAAGGTTAATGCATTAGTACTCTGTTGAGAAAGCTAATTAAATTTACAAAGAACGGTAATCGGAGATTCTTACGAAATTCACTTCCAATTCCACTTGTGATGGTATCGATGATACTGGTATTGATATTTTGACTGAATTGTAATCAGTCTTTGTTGGAATATATGGAAGCTGTATTAATTGCTATGATAGAGACATTATGACAAGTTTTTGTGGAATGAATGGAATATGGCGGGGGTTAGGAAACAAGATACTCGTCTGATCTCATTCGGGTCTCGTCAGCTGGGTGTGGCAGTATCGTAGTGTTGATTATTTGTTACGATGTTCGTATGTGATGCCTATCTCAGTGGGTTACCTACTTAGCTACTGAATCCAGATAAAGATTTATATGTGCAACGGATATGAATTCTAATTTTATCTGTACTGGATTGGATTATCCCAAAATTAACTGTGATAATGCGAACCATATATATTTTAAATAGTGGTTTTTGTAGAAGCAAAAACGGTGGAATCCAAATACATTGAACTGAGTTTCGAAAAAAAATTGTAAATCATCGTTTCTAAAATAATTTAAATTTTCAAAACGATCTGTCCAGAAACGAGAAATAATATTTAAATATTCACTTGGGAATCTTACAATCTAATATGAACAGACTAATTTAACCCTGGCTATCAGTAAAATATGATCAGATCACTTTGTGTATACGAGATTCTTTTTTTACGTAGAAAGAGTAAAGAACTACTGTTTCATGTATTCTTGGTGTTTGTGAGTTAGTTCTGGCAATTATAGCTATGAAACATTATGGAATCGACCATCCTTCATCATAAACTAACTACGAAACGGTATGATGATTCTAAAGAAATAGTGTGATTGAAATATATCTGCAACGATACAGTATGAAAATCATGCCAATATCCAAATTGTTTCCACGTTTCACGTTTAAACAACAGTGCACTAAAAACTATAAATTAATATTGTGATAAACATGAAGACGATGCTTTCAGTAAGCTTACCTATGAAGTTTTTAATTCCTAAAGGACTTTCAGTGCATTTCAGACAATTAGTATCCAATCATGGTTATTAAATCTCACTAAAGTGTACTTAATCCCAGAACTTATACAAAAACTTGATCCTAAGGAATTTTCCGACGATTCATTCTTGCTTTGATTGAAAGTTTCATTTATAGGCATTCTTTATCACTAGCTGACAGTACAGTTGAAAACTAAGGGGCACTTGATAATTCAATGAATGTCATATCCTTTAAACCATTTACAGCTAAATCTTGTTGTTCTAAGTTCAGTAATTGTCAAAGTTCTGTGGGTACATACTGTTCAAATATTTCGTTCTAAAATGAAACGATATTTCCAAAACTCTGGTGTTTTTAATTCCTATTTCAATGGATTTCAATATATGACATAAACTATCTACAAACCCACTCATCGATTGAAACATTCTTTTTATTGAATAAAAAGCAATTTCCATGATAAATGATTAACATCAAAACGACTGCTTTAACATGGAATCTTTTCTAATTTTTTTTTGTTTTTTTTCCATCAATAGAATGTACCTTAAATATATATGAAAAGGTCAAATACTTATTTATATGATTATTAATGTAAACGAGAAAAATTCAAAAAAAATTATTTTTATCATCACTATTACAATCAATATTATTCTAAACGAATGCCGTGAAAAAAAATTAAACAGACATAAATTTTATTGAGATCACTAATCTGTCTAATTTAGGTAACTATTCAAACCTGAAAAGGGTGTACATCCATTTGCACCGAGCTTCAAATACTTTAGTAGTGCACATCCATTAGTCCGTGACCGGGTATCCAATCCACTACTTTACTCGTCATGCTCCCGAACGTTTAACTTCTTGACCACTGAGCTAATATCTATTTCATTCCCTCGTAATTAGCTTTTTGATGAACTATTACAAATAATATGCGTGGTATTATTTTTGACTTACAGAATCCTTTGTTTTCGAAGTACGTTTATATTTAGCAATTAAAAACTGAATAAATTATGTGATATTACATGAAGACTTAGAAATAGTAGTGTAAGCTTTATTCTTAACAAGTTTTATTTTGTTTGAGAAAGAGGTAATGATGAATGACATGTTAATTTAGTTAAAGTAAACATTTATATATACCTTATTCAATCCTTTTTAATACCGGTTCATTTATTCCATTCACATTTATTCCATTACACAAGCTAGTGGTCATCTGAACTCAGTGGTTAAGAGGATAACACAACGGAGTCTAAAGTGAAAAGTACTGGCCTCGAGTCCAGGAGTAAAAATCAACTCTGAGATGCAGGTGCATCCAGCTCACGCTTCCTGGATTCCACTGCTAGCCACGATCACATTCTCCTGTCTATTTACTTTGTAAAAAAAGAAAAGAATTATTGAATGTGTTGTAAAGTTTAAATTCTGATAATTAGAATCATGAAGATCATTTTTAAGGGGACCAAATGTTTACATACACGAATTCTACAATATGAAGATATATACAAATGTGATTAAGATTACTGAATCATGATTGAAAAGTTTACATTTTTAGTCCTAGTTAATTTATCACGATGGTGGTTAAGGCAAATCTGCTTAGCTTTGGTTTTTATTGTGAATGTCTGTCTGCATAAAAGAATACTTGAAAAGATTTCCTTAATGAAACCCATTTTCCGCTTCTTATTAACGTCATCATACAGTGTTAGCGTAAGTAATATACACAGTTAAATGGAAGATTTATGTTTATAGAATATTCATGCTTTTATCCAAATCGGAGTCAGATTAGCGGGTCACAAAACTGTAAATACACATTTAAGGTGATCAGAAATAGTCTTGATTGATCAAAACCGTCAACCAAAATTATTTTTACCTGAAGATAAATCATATCAAAACATGGTCAGTTAAAGAGCCCATTAGCTATTCAATTAAAATATATGCATTAATGAATATGATGATTTGAACTTTAGACTTAACAAATAAATGTGATTTCGTTTCCAAATAAATATAATTTGGATTAACATTAATTTTATACGAATTTACCGGTTACAAACCAAACATTCGTTAGTCTTGTCTACATGATTTGTAGTGGTTAAAATCTCCTCAAAAATGCATATCCGGTCGACATTCTCTGACTGATACTTTTCTTAAACTTTCGAACTGAATGTAAATATATCGATTTAAAATCTAGAATCTTTTGTCTACATAACAAAAGCACTCTTATAGCTGTTATGAAATTGAATAAAAATGCATTTCAAGTTCATCATTGAATACAGTTATCACTGTCACCGGTATGTGATACTCAAAAGCTGTATCGAAATGAAATTCAGTTGTCAGTGCAACTAACTAACAAAAGGTTAAATATTCAATTTTAATTATACCCGAACACATTACACCATAGTAAGGTAAATTACAAGTACTTGATAAAATAAAAAAATTAGTCATTATTATCGTGTAATAAAATAAATGTGAAAATTTCCAGTACAAGATTCTAAACAGAATTTTTAAATTTAAAATCAGTAAGTAGGAAATATGAATAGAGTGAAAACGTATACATAGTACATAAGTATGCGGCTACGCATCTGCTCTTCAGTATTCGACACATGTACTGTATACATCATTTTTAGGGATTGTTTGTTTATTTAGCGGGTAACTGATACAGACATTGTGATTTTCATGAACTTATTATCAGGCATTTTAGGATACTTCACACTCGCTTGTTAACAACAGACGGATGCGACTAACTTCAGCTACTCAAAGTGAAATCTCCAGTAAAAATTACACTCATATATACCGCACTTACTGAAAATCGAAAACTTATAAAACTTTTTGATACTGCAAATTAATTTAACATTGGAAAACGGATGGACAACGTTATACTTGTCTATAATTAGAGAAATTTTAAAAGAAATCCAACGAAATTTTGAATTGATATTATATAAAATTGAACGTATCAATCTATTGTTTCGCTCTATGTTGATGGATCACAGTTGAGATGTCAAAGGATAACACTGTAGAAAAATTGAGTTTATTTAAGGCTTAAGAAATTTATTCGATTATAGTTTAATTAAAATAAAAATTGAATTTTCTGTCTACCGAAAAGTTTGCACTTTATTAATCTGACGTACATATATTCGCATATATATATACATGTACGTAACGATTTCCCGCTTGCTATTTTCACAAAAACACCTGTAAATACATTTATACAATTTAATTATAGAGATAGTGTAATTTTATTGAATATGATAAGATAAAAATCAATTCCACAGAGAATCAAATTGTACTTTGAATGGTGTTATGTTTTTTTATATTGAAGATGTAAGCGGAACAGATAGGTATAATTAAGATTTATTAACTGGAAAATATACCAAATTGAAATGGAAGTAAAAATAATCTTCAAGGTATTACAAATGTTTTTGGTCAAAAAAGTATGTTCATATATATAATTGTACCGTAAGCAGGATATTGAAAGCAGGTAATTATAGCAGATGAGGTCAAAAGTAAATTGCAGTTTTTATAAACTTGCCTGATATCTATATGACCTAAATGTTAACTGAAACTTAATTTCATGTTTGCTTGCTATGTTAACGTAAGATACAGCTTGCGTTTCAATAGCTACCAATTTGCATGAAATTATGTAAGTAAATGACATCATACTATTGGAGTTTGGTAACATTGATAAACATTTTTTAAGCACAAAAATAAGTTGTATATGTAGAATATATGGGTTGGGGTAAGCAGTTATAGTCACGATTCATTTATCGTTTTATTTAACTCTCGTTGGATGAATGTACCGTTATCGCAGTTTTAATTATCACACTGAAACCCGAACCAAGTACGTTGCATATTAGATGCCACATCGTTACTAACTTGCTCGGTGAATACGACATATTACTAAATCATTTCTGTTCTAATAAACAATGGAAATAACAATTTCAGATTCGTTACCCGATCTGGATGTACTACTTATTAAAAGACAACCTTAATGATAAATTAACTTTTGTTAGTAGCATTCTAAACAAAATTATTTTCCATTAAACTACTATGAAAAACCTCTACCGATAGAATTCGCAAGGCAAAATGAGGTTCTTTCAAATAATGACCCGCCCAAGAAAATTATAAGATCACGTTCATTTTAAAAATATAATATTTTTATTCAAATTGTATCCTGCTCCCACAGTCCATATATATAGGGTTTTTTTCATCTTAAACGATAATTTTATTATACCATAAATACCAAACAATTCTTTATCTATTTTGACAATTCTCACCCATAAAACACAGGCTTAATTTGTCAATTTTTATTTGATTATGAGTTTTGTGTTAATTTGATCGTCAGTACTTAAATCATACAATCTTGTTTCATCCTGTTGATAATTCTATGCTATTTATTAACATATTGAATTATTATGAAACTTTCAATCATTCCCTTTAATTAAGTTAATTATTTAGAATTCACACATTTATGTTTCATTTGCTTGCTGATCATTTCACGTCTACAGTTCTCAGTTTTACCAACCTTAGTTGAAAGCATTTTTTAATTGTCATTTAGTTTGATGTCATTGAAATGTTATTTATTAGGGTGAATAATACTTTACTGCTGACACAAATAAACACAGTTCTTCAATAGATAAACATGATGCCTCGTCGAGAACGCCTTTTACAGTTAATACAATTTATCTGAATTACTTCATTCACATGAATACAAGGGTGAAATTATGTCAGTTTGTTAGCATATATCATAACCACAGTTTTATCGTGAATTGAATATGAAATACAGCATAAAATACTAGCAAGCTGAATATAAATCCAAACAATGTATGGAAATGGCGGATACAAAAAGTACTATCGGACAAGAAGCATATTATGAAATAATTCAATAGTGTCTAAATCAATCTAAACAACCTCGATTCTCATGTTCCATCAAATTAACCATTCTCTGACTTGAATACAAATGAAAAGGATCAATACAGTGACAATGATTACTACTTATAAAAAGTGCTCCAAATATATATTAAGTGGCTAAACGGTATATACATACATACAATAAAAGCATGTGCTAGATAAGTCGTGAGTACAAGGATATGAATTACATGTTATTTATTAGGGAGAAGTTATTTTTAACATTATACTTTACGTAAACACTAGATATGTAGTAGACATTTTAAGGTGTATCTTCTAAATGAAGGTTATTTTGATGCCAAATGTTTCCCAATAGTTACGTATTCTCAGTAGATAATAAACAATGTTCTAGCCAATTTCTCTTATATCTTTTGCTAACCTGTAAATATTTGAAAATATGAATGTACAAAGGAATTTCTTAACGGTGTTCAGCTACCATTCATCTTCTGCAATTATGTTCGACCTGGTTTGCTTGTAAATTTTTTTCACAGAAAAATATATTTGATAAATGAATTCTTTTGCAATCAGCTAATATTACACTAAGATGTACTTGAATGGTGGTATAAAGCACTTATTAAAATAGTTCCTCTTAATACTTTAAGTAAATAGCTTACTGACAGATTGTATTCTTCTTATAAAAGCTCGTGATTTGGGAAAGTCTGGCATTATATACACAGTTGGCTACAAAGTGCCCCCAGATTGGAGATTGAAGATGCTGCTCAGTATCAATATAGCACATGGAATTTCTGAGAAATCGAAATTACATTGAGATGTCTGAAAATTAAACTAATGACATTCAAACCACTGAACTCATTATTTTTTGTAGAAAAATTAGTTACTTATACTATGTTCAGTAAATTCAGAGAAATGTATCAAAACCTCTATTGTAAGATTATTTAATGTAGGAATTCCTGAATTTCCAGTTGTTGATAATGATAGAGGCTGTGATTGAACAGTTTCTCTGTTGTAAACTGGATATATCCATTCTGAATCTTTCTGCTAGCCACTAATTAACTTTTGAATAAATTCGTTTTGGAACAGGAGGGTTTCAAAGCATATTATGAATATTTCATCAAATTATTTAAATAATATAAACTTTTGACTTGTTATGTCTATTTAGTTTTTGTTTACAAGTAGTATATTTTTGACAGTTTATTATTATTATTATTGTTATTCTTTATTCCATTGATATTTTTATATCGGTTCAATGACAGGATGTTTTCTTTTTGTTTGGATAATTTCATAGAAAAAAAACATCTGAATAAATAAATAACAAACTGAACTGTTTTTAAAGTTCGGAAATTTCATGAAAGAATAAATTAAGTAGGTGTATTCTAGTCTAAAATAAAAGAAGTTTTCTTAAATATCTAAGTATCAAGTAACTGGTTTTCTTTTTGAAAAAAAAACGATAATATATCTCTTCTATCTTTTGCATATAAATTGAAAAAATGAACTTTTTTCTATGAGGTGTTATTGGGGAAGTCATGTAATAGTATTCACGTTGAAAAAAAGCCTGTTATGATCACGTGGACTAGTAGACATTATGCGTGGACTATGAATCCCAAAGAATGAGGCTTACAAAAAGAACCATGTATTTAGTAAATTGATTTATAGTTCACTTTCAAACTAAGATGATCTCAGTTCAAATAAAGACATAAATAATGATATGAATGATATTAACAGTTTAAAACAAAATTTCGATATAAAAATAGATATTACTTACCACGGGATTTTAGAAGTAGTAAATAAAATTCAATAGAAATTAGATAATACTTAATAACTATTATACCTTCAGGATTTTTCCATTAACATCACTAATTGGTCAGTAAAGTTTGAAAATGAAAAATGCCTCTAACAGTTTTAAAAACCCAGTCCAAAGATTTTTGTATAGAATTCAAGCACTGGTGAGGAACTTCATACCAGGAGAATGTGTCTATCTTGTGTATCTTAATCTCTATTAGTTGTCTGTCTGAAGTCAGTTCACGATACAAATTGAAGAAGAATCAAGAATTTAATTACTTTTGTCTATATAACATTTCATAACATATTGTCAAATATCAGTTTTTCAATAATTATCAACTATTAATGAATCAACATATACAAAAATATTTTTTAGCAATTAGTAACTATAAAAATTACTAAAAATTCTCCACAACCCCCCTTCTGATAAAATACAAAAATATATAAACAAATGATAAATATTATTTTCATAGGTTCATGTATTTATATTTATTTTGAATTTCAGACTATTTCATAAAGAATGAACAATTTTCCCCACACTATGACACTGAAATTGATTGTCAATTTAAACAAAGAATAATAACACACAATCAGCAAATGAAAACTTTGAAATCATTGATGTATCAAGTTTGTCAACCATTTGAGCATCCAGATAAGTACTATAATAAAATAGTAAGTTGTTTTTGCATAAATATATATGTACATGTATTCTGAATTGAAACTGAGAAATTTGAAATAATCAGAATTTAGTGTGAACTAATTGAAGTAACTGTTTACACATGATATTATAATAGATTATTTATGTAATCATCAAATTCAGAGAGGTCATCACTTCTTATTGAAGTTCGTTTAATTTCGTACTTTAATGCTTGCGTGGGAATAGAAAATTTATTCATGAAATCACTTTACATTACTGTTGTGTGAAATGTTCGTTTTAAATGTGAAGCAGTTTAATAAATGTGAACTTGACGTTCTTAGGTTACTTCAGTTTGAAATACGTATCTTTTTTATTATAATAAAAAGAGTAGAATCAATAGTCTTCTAATGTTTTTTTTAATTTCCCCTAGGGTGTAGCACCTAAAGCTTCTCACAACTTGTATAAAAGTGGTACATATATAAGCTACCAATTTTCCAGACTTGAAAAATAATACATCATGTATAACTTATCACTATTTGTTTTAAAGGAGTTGTCTTAATAGAGAAGAGAGATGATTGTATTAAAGTGTCTTAATATTCAGACAAAGATGAGTAAATCAATAAAACCACATAAAATATTAGTAAGACATAAAGTCATAAATCCAATTTCTTTTCAGCCATCTTTCCTCATGTCATTTATTTTGACATTGCATAATGTATGAATTTTACTCGTTTGTTTAAGTTTATAAAAAGATTCCTAAATTGATCATTATTCAACGTCAGTGTGTCACAAGATATTATACATAGTTCCTCTCAAAACCTTTTTCTGTAGCTGACGGGTCTACAAATAAATTTCATTTTAGTAAATGTATTTTAGCACATAAAGTGTGGATTTCCATCTAGCATATAAGTACACACCTTAATTTGCTCCTCTCTTGTTTACCATGGTATCGAACTTTTTGATAAGATAAATGAACATATAAACATATGTACTTATCTAGCGTATTTCATTTCATTATAAAATGCAAGTTACAAATAGGATCCGTTATCTTTTTAAAAAAAAATATGTTCATTCCGTTTATTGAGATCAGAATTTAGAGACTATATGTTTGAACAGCACTTCAAGTAATCTAACTGTAAAATTAGGTAAAGTCCTCCAATTTATTGAGTTGTCCTCGAGAATGATATAAGTTTGTCGGTTAACAGAACATTTAGGCCATTTCCCTTTTATCAAATCGACTATAAAACTTGTAATGATAACATGCGTGTTTACTCACCGTAGGAAGCGTTAGTCCTTTTAACATTATAGATTCCGTCATAGTGATGAGTACTGGTTACCACAAATGATAGGTACAAAACATCATGTTGACTAAGTCCAAATACATATTGTCATTGAAGAACACTAACAAAAAGGTATTTGATATCGGTCATTTTTGGAATTTTGAAAGTTACGGCCAGTGATGAGTCTGAAGGATATCTAAATTTAATCTAAGACCGGAATACTTTCCATGGAAAGGGATAAAGTAAAAATCTCTTATAATTTTGAGTTTTGAGTTTATATATATATATATAATTTTCATTTTGCCCGTAAAAAAAGGCAAAATGATGACGAAAGATTCGCTAAATTCTCTCTCTCCGAAGTTTTTGTTTTATGGAAAAATTTACTTAGTAATGCGTATGTCATCTATGCAAGTAAATGCAGGTACATACAGCAGACGAGCCTAAAATGAAACGAAACGCCATCCTGGATTTCACTGATAGACACACTCCAATTACTATATTTGGACTTGTATCATAATCTTTCTATCAAGATAATCCGAACAGTATACACATATCCCAACCGTAATTGAACAGATTACAGTTAAAATATAAACACCAAGATTATTCAATTTATTCAAAATGGAATCAATAAACTCTTATTTTCTCTGAGCCATAACAATCTACCAGAAACTTTTACTATCACTACTAAAAGCTACAACATCAAGCTTAATACAAAGATTTAGATATGTTCAGTCGCCCAATATTAAGGCAAAACTGTTTTGCCGATATCCAGAATCTGGTGTTTTACAGCTAACCTTTGTCCAAAAAAGCTTTACTTTAGACATTGGCTATATATATTTATAGATAGATAGATAGATATAGTTGTAGATATAGATATAGATATATAGATATGCGTGACTATGAAGTTAACAGAAATGCAATGAGTCAGAGTAATAAATATTCAATATTATGCTGTCAGCGAATTATTGTATTTGTTTATGCATATTTACACGAGTAGTCGTTTAGTTCTACTTTCATCTTGTAAAAAACATGGGTAAATTTTTATTACTGTTCGGTTTTCTTTGGCGTTTTAAGTGCATACAGTTGTTTATCTATTTCTTTTTCACTAACTGTTCCTTCCTGCTTCATGTTTTTGTTTGAATCTAATTTTGATAACTAATTCATACTTTGCTGTTGTTGTTTCTCGTGTTCATGTTAAACGTGCAATTTTATTTAGACTCGTTAAATTTTCTATATCTATTTCTTAATTGACTTGCTAAGCTTTCACTTCGTTAATGATGGACATTTCATAAATTTATATGTATACATGTATATCTTGTCAAGGTTTCATAAATCATCTTCAGTCAATCGTTTATGAATTAACTGAAAGTTTGTTTTTCTGAAAATTCTATTTCTTCCCTCTATTATTTAGCTTTTGTTTTAAAATAATTTTCCAGGTACGAATTTTCGCAACCATATATATATATATATATATATATATATATATATATATATACGGTTTGTATGTGGATACCTAGATATTGCGTTTGCAATAGTTTTTAAAACCGTTAACGCCTTCTTTAATTAACAAAGGGCAATTTATAAAGACAATCACAGCTGAAATGTTCATAATGAACGTAATGGTTAGGTTTTTCCTAATATAATTATTGCGTAAAACCTTTGGCTTGTTTTAACCTAGACTAGTGGCCACATTGCAACTTGGTCGATAGGATTCAATCTGCACTTAGAAGGACCTGGCATATATCACATTGTCCACTACCCAGTGATTTACTCATCCACCAACTTATATTCGGCATTCATAAATACATTTGATAAAATTTTTGTAACCAATGTTAGTGAAATAATAACTTTCCTTGCTTTTCATATGCAAACAGTTTTGTAGATTTATTAAATGACATAGTCAGAAAACAAAATTTTCTTGACTGATATATTCTGTGTATACTTTACGATTGTTGTTTAGTAATTCCTATCCCGTTAATCAATTTCGTCTACCATAAGCTTAAAAATTTGCACATGTTTCTTGTATTTGATTACGTCATAACTTCTCTCTCCCTTGTTTCTTTCATTTTTAAAGTGAACCTGCATAAATATGACAAAATGTGTATGATTGTTTTTTCACTCAAGAGCCAAATGATTTCATATGTTATACAAAAAGATATATTTGATAAACATCTTATTTATTAATACAAACCAGTAGGTTTGTGAAGGGGTTTTAGAGCTCATTGAATGAATTAAATTCACCTTATTTTGCAGTGTTTACCGTTGTAAGTATACAAAATTTTAATACAAAAGGGTGTCGAATGCGAAAAATTAGTATTATTGTGTTTTATTTCAATACCATGATAAACTTACTGGTAAATTAATACTTAAATGATCGATTGGCACTTAATGTTTTTGATTCATTGACCATATTATTTAATCTAAGGGAGGAAGCTTGAATAAATTAAAATAACTACGGCAAATTTCAGTCTAATGTCAATCAATCAGATGATGATTTTTTTACTTTTTGAATGTGAGTTTTGCAGAGTGATCTATCCCGTTCCTCTTGTACGTCACTTCTGTTATTGTATTTGCGTTTTTTGATGGAGATCCTATATATTTCTATAATTTCCGCCATACGACTTGGAAAAACTTGCAAACAAACCAGTATATTGGAACAACTTTCTTGGTAATAATGTTACCACTAGACTGCAATCATTTTGATTAAATCCAGTTAGCCGATTTACGTAACACAGAATGATTCATAAGCCGACATACTGCTAATGCAATTGTTTATCTAAAGTTTATCCTCTAACCAATTAAAGGGGGGCCTGTTTCAGTGAATCACTTTCACAGATATTAGTGATATCTTAAAACATCCATATTCATTTATTATTCACGGTCACATTATATACTTTTGAATTGAAAAAGCTTATATCCTATAAGTGTTCATCAAAATTACGCAGATGCCTGTCAAATGTGAGCATTACCGGTCCAAATCTGCAGCTACGAAATCACCGTTTCGATACCAATGGGCTCGTCTCTATACCTCACATTTACCTTGTTAAACTCATCATGTAAAAAATCAAAAAGTTTTAAATTCTAATTAATTGTGGTAATTTTATTATTCTTTTCTTGATTCTCGTTCGAGACTTGACTGGTGGAAAATAAGTCATATGGCAGTTTGTATGTTTAAAAATCAGTAGCAAACGACTTTCGGGAATACACTTCCATCCTTGTGCATAATGTTTTGATTATCTAGTAGAACAATTTATTTTTAACAGAGATTCATTATACATCTACCCTCAAGTCAGTAAAGATATGGTGAACTATCTCTTAAGTAAATTTTCTTCAATTATATTTATGCTGATTAATCTTTCCAAGCTAATTGACTAGTGATAGTGTTTGGTACACAAAAAGACACTTGAAATTTATAAACCCGAAACCTCTGGAAAACTTTCTTGAATGTATTTTACCTCATATTTCACAATGTTTGAAACTCCGATGTGAAGTTGAAGTAGACCACTCTCCATCCCTCTAATAAAGAAAATATTTTTGCTCTGTGTAAAGTTTCCTATGCATATGAGATTTGCCTGACTGTCGGATATGTGGACCAAAGTAAGAAATTGAACTTTTTTCCATCAGGTGTACTTCATCAAACATATTTCAATAACTATATCCCAAAAACTGTCCATAAACAACATCGTTTTACTCATTATAAGGAAGATATCTTTACCACGTATAGAATTGTCCTTGTCAGCTCTCAATATCTGATTGATATGGTATTGAATTTTGATGATCTACGGAATGCTTTACATCATATATGACAGTATGAGAATTATATATATATATATATATATATATATATATATATATATATATTAAAAAATCCCATCATTAGGTGCACTGAAGATAACTTTTATAACAGTGTAACGTTAGTTGAGTTATCACCAGAGACACTTGTATCCTAGCTTGAGAGTTTGCAGTAATGAGTACTAGTTAAGTTTTAAAGTAAGTAGATTTCCAATGATATTTCAAACTTTATTAGGTTTAGGAAACAACATTATAGCAGTCTATTCCCATAATTAGTCGATGTCTCTACATATATAGCTAAAATTCACAGATCAAAGCTTTTCACTAAAACACCAGGAATTCATCCTGAATTAAGTCACTAATGTTTACACTATTGCGATTTGGATAGATAATTTGTGGAGATCGATGCACAACTGACTGATCAATAAATAACTAACGTCACATTTATCGAGTCCTTATAGTCGAATTCTATTAATCTAGTTGTAGTCTAGTCATCAGTCTTAGTGAAATATGTTTAGATATTAAACAGTTGGATGCAGCTGGTAGGATATCCTACTCACCTTAAGCTTTGCACTACTTTACAATCGTCAACAAGATGTACTTATAATTTTGAGGAAACTGATGTTTCCTTGTGAATTTGATCCAGTGCTGATTAGCCTGACAATTATTATTGAGCTATTGGGCAGCGACTAACTGAGATATTTGAGGTTAATTGGTCGAATAACATAGTTTTTATTCTGATATCATTTAATAAATAATATTCAACATAATTTTATATAAATAATTAATTGATTTTGTTTTTTTCGAATAACTCATATTTTTGTTTTATTAATTTCAATTTCTAGTCACCTGATAAATCTATAAATATTTCTATAGAAAATAATCAAGAACAAAAAACTCTGCATATTCATAGTAAGTACAAATTTTAATCAACTGAATTCATTTAATATTTTTTTTATTTATGTAGGTTGTTAATAATAATTACACTTAGAAACAAATCCCTTTTTTAAGAAAATTTTCTTTTTTATGAACAAACTTACTTTTTTTCATAGTTGAAATCATGAGTCAATTGAAGTTGTACCACCATGGAAAACCTGGGAGCACTGGACGGCCAACCCGTCCTATTATGGGACTCCTCAGCAGTGCGCATCCACGAACCCACTCTCGCGGGATTCGAAACCAGGACCTACCAGTCCCGCGCCAGAGCACTTAATCGATAGACCACTGAGCCAACATCCAACGGTGTTCATATCTAAATTCAACCAATCCACGAAGTTTGAGCAACCAATCACCAATTGTCTTCAGTGAGTTGTTATCTCACAACAGACGTGGATGAACTCCACTGGTCAGTGCTTACCACTAGAACTCCAGGACATGTATCTTGAAGTCAGTCACTAATGAGCATATGATTATAATCAGAAGGGGTTTTGTGGAGATTTCAGTAGTTTTCATAGTTGAAATCATGGGTCAATTGAAGTTCGACCACCATGAAAATCCTGGTTCATCGGTAAAGTGCTCTGGCGCGAGACTGGTAGGTCCTGGGTTTGAATCTCGCGAGTTCGGGATCGTTGATGCGCACTACTGAGGAGTCCCACAATAGGAAGGAACGGCCGTCCAGTGCTCCCAGGTTTTCCATGGTGATCTAACTTCAATTGGCTCATGATTTCAACTAGGAAAACTACTGAAATCTCCACAAAAATTTCTTCTGATTATAAACTTACTTTTTTCAAGAAAAAAAATTTCAAGTTCAATATACTTTTATATCAAAGTTGCAAAAAATTCTAAATTACATTTTTTATTTCTAATAGAAAATGTTATACTGAAAAAAATAATCATTAAATATAATTTCAAGTACATAATTTTTAAGTACTAAAACTACTATAGTTATTATATAATAACAATTATATTGTCCCTGGATAATCTGATCTAATTTCAATAAAGAAGAATGTTCCCCTGGATCTTAGTCATTTTAATTCTGAAAAGTTAAATTACTGCCTTCTTTTTTTGAAAATCTTTTTTATTAACGTCTGTTGATTTGTATTCTGTCTGACAATTATGTATGTTTCTTAGTCATCTAATGTACAGAAAATTACTACATCATACTTTTGACTGAAAATACTCAGTTTGTAACAATTAAGCATGTTTTAAACTAATTTTACTGACATATTTTTTTTCTCACTGTACAAGCTTACTTTCATAGCTTCATCAATATTAAACTGAATGCATCCGGGGACAATGTACATAAAAAATATTAGTTAAATCAACCAATATTCTAATAATTATCCATTCAGAAAATACTATGTTTCAACAACTAACACAAGTTTTATCATAAAAGAGAAAATTTAAAACTCCAACCCGTTTTATATGCCAATGGCTTTCTAGACTCAATAGATCAGTGAATAACATATTAGCTTTCGGACATGGAAAGTATTGATAATGAGCCCTACTAGAAACATCAACACAGGGACGTAGGTACGTAAACCTAGTGAACCCAAAATAAGATAAAACTTGTTTCGCGAACGCAACTACTATTCATAATTCAACTTCACTAAAACACGTGACTGAAGGCAATTTATGAACAACTTGTTCAGGAGGTACTTATGCTGATAGAGGTTGATCAAAGTTCAATCCACAATATTAAACCCATATTTATATACAAGCATTTTATGAACGTGGGTTTTCTAAACAAATGTCTGTTTCAGTGTGTATTGGTATAGATTGATATACCACGAACAAGGCTATAGATTCTAAACATTTTTATGAAATGATTATACGTGATATTTTACAAAATGATCATTAAAATGATTTGATATTTTATATAGATTTTATCTATATTTTGTTTATAGCACATCATCAAGCGGAACGCGCTGATACTGCCAGTCATATGATGCTCACATCACATCTTAGTAAACATCAGTTAAAACAATTTAGAGACAATCATGATAAACATTCCAGAATACAGGAAACTAAACGTAAGCAAACGATTAGAAATCGTACTGCTAGTAGTTATAACAATATCTCAAATTATATAATGAATGTATATGGACATCGTCAGTCAGTTCGTATGGATCAAAAGAGCAATTTTGTTATAGATCATTCATCATCATCAACCGTATCAGTACCAACAACTATCTACAGGTCGGTCACGTCGATTCATCATGTTCCACACGCATTAGCAAATGAATTATCAGCAAATAATGAAGCGAATAAGGACAATCAACAAAATAATAATCCAATATTAAGTTTTCAGTATGTCGAACCACATACAGTCGAGTTACTTGTTGTTGTTACTGAAACCATGAAACAAAAATTTGGTCTATTTATTGATGAATATCTTCTTTCTACCATGACAACGGTAAGATTGAATAATTCTTTTATTTTTTCTATAGAATATATCTAATATTGATTTAAAATAATTTTTCTACGATTGTATCGATCCTCTTATATGTCCTTCAGGCAAATGACAAGATATACTCAACTAAGCACAAGTTCGCTTAATTTTCTTCAGACCAATGACCTTTACTATGGCCAATAATATAAATTAACCTTAGTAGATGGATCAACACGTGGCAATCTTTTCAATTCGCTAACGGGACAAACACGTGAAAGACTCCAATAGATTTATTAATGATTTAAAATTTATTCACGCTTTGCAAGAATGTTGTTTTCATTTTCATAAATCAAATGCTTTTTGATTGTCTAAGAACCGGCTAAGAATTTGTCATGATTATTTTCCTCTCATCTCTATATTAAACTTTTGCCAAATTTTCTTCTTTTCAATTATATTTTGAGATCAGACATTAAGAAACTTTTTCAATAAAAATTCAATAAATATTTATGGTTAATTTCAAATTGTATATTAGTCTTAAATAAACATAAAATATACTTGTTTACCTATACCAAAATTTAGAAAAAAAACATTTTCGAAGTAAAGTAGTATGCTTAAACACTATGATCACCATTTTCATTACTAGTACTATTATTATTATTATTATTACAACCATGCCAAGTTGTAACGGTGATATAATATACTCATTAACGAAGAAATAGAAAGCTAATCACTTATATCAATACCATGTTCTGTAACTTAAAACATTGTATATCTAATCATTGTATATCTAAATGTTTTGAAGAGTTCTGACAACATAAATTCTCTGATCCTTAATGTATATACACTTTCAACGTCACAGTTTATTCTGACTAATTCAAGTATTAAATCGTACTATTATCATCATTATTTTATTTTTCCAGGACAATGATAGTAAAGCAAATAATTTTCACACACACACACACACACTAGTCTATTTTCACTGCATACATTCATATATACAGCACATATGTCTACCTGCAACAACATATATACGCTCATTATGTACGTACTTTCATTAATGTACACGTAGGCAAACGTAACCTGTGCATCTTAGTTTATGCAAAATAGATATTATATATTAAGAGGAAAAAATATATACAAGCTATTTGATCTTATTTCATGACAGTTGAGGAATATTTTATTATCTTCAATTAAAAATCCATGTACTTATGTGAAAACATTGCTGAAAGACCAAGATTGTGTAAACAAAAGTCAACAAAACCAACCATGGAAGATTTTTTTCTTATTAATCAAAATCGATTTAATCAAACTATTGAAGAAATAATAATAAGTAAAATCACTTAATGACGAAATTGTTTAAAAGTTCTCGATTACTCAATCAAAAGGTTAGGGATTTGAATTCTATTTCATCCACTTTGGGTTGGGCAACGTGTTAGTTTTGCTCATTTCTAGAATAACAGTTGATTTGTGTATAGTACAATTCACTTTCAGTTCTCTCAGTGAGTTACTGTTTTATTTTAAACTATCTTTGGATCATAAGTTATAACTTCCACCTGAAATTTCGAAATATTTCGAAATACTAATCATCGTCATCTCGACCCTTACAAAATAGCAGGTTTGACCTACTTCTTAAACTACTTAAATACCAAAGGTCTAATAAAACGTTAACTAATCAAAATAATGATAAACTTCATATTTATCATATTTTTATCGGTTCATTTTATGAAGAAGGATTAACTCGATCAAACCTATCGACGTTTAATTAAAAACAGACAGCTGAATAATTCAGCCACACATTAATTATATATCGCACTCTTTAATTAGTTATCTAATACGAATATTTAAAACCTGTCTATATATTGCAAAAATATATCCAGCATATGTTTCGATGAAAAAAATTCCTATGTTTGAAATCAACCCGGCGTTCATAATAATTTTAAAACAGAAATTTGATTGTCAGTTTCCAGTTACATTACAAAGTTAGAAACCATTCACCATTATTCCATGGTGACATCGAATGTTCGAGAGAATTAAAGTAGTTACCCTTTTCGCCAAAAAATATACCTTAAAAAGTTGCATATTTTAATCTTTACATCGAGTCAGGTTAAACATTACAAAATTTAATAAAACTTTTGTTCTCTCTTATTCAGGTTTCAACACTTCTTCGGCATCCAAGTTTGAAAAATTCAATACAGCTAAATGTTGTGGATATTATACTTTTGGATCCTGTTTATGCAGTAAGTCTAACATGTTTTTACTAATTATTAAAACTACTGTCAAGTAAAATTTGTCGTTCAAGATAATGGTAATGACTGTTAGTTCATGTTCGTTGACCTTAAACTATGGCAAAACCACCAATATTCGTCCTCGATTTGATTTATTTGAGTTCATTATAAATTTTTAATAACGTGACGTTCTCTGAGCTGGATGATATAATCATGAATATTTCACTGAGTTCAGTTAAAAACGTCTGACATGATTTGGGTTTAGTGATATTGTCTAGAAACACAATGAAGGCTATTGAGTCAGATCATCCATCTAATTGATCTTGATACCAAATAAGTCATCCTCCTAAGCTACAAACTATTGACACTGTCTGAGGACTCACTGAAAAGTTTTACGGTCAGTATTTATTTTCTCAACATTTTCCGTTTTTAACTGAAATAACACAGATCTATCACGTTTCGTATTATTTTATATTGTTTTAAAGGATACAGTAGTCATAAATCACTTTAAAACATACTGCTCATATATATCTTTTTAAAAAAGGAAATCTTTAAACGAACTCTGTTTGTAGTTATAAACCCATCTGTTATCAGAGTGTTTCTCAATGTCACCATTCAAAGAGGTAGAACTGAATATTTACAATATTTTGACCTTGTTAATAGAGCTGTGGACAGTGGTTTGTCAATCCTTTAAATAACCGAAAATGAACTTTCATCTCGAGGAAATAGTTAAAAAGCTTTGAAGTACTGGTTTGCTATCTAGGATTTCCTAAAATTGTGAACTATACCTATGAAATACACTGTTAAAACTCATCAGGAATATTTCCAATTTCAAATGTGAACACACTCAATGTCTGTCAAGTATCACTGTGTTATTGTTAAAGCGGTTAAATTTCTAGGCCGTAGCGTCCAACAGTAATTTATTTTATTGGATCTTGGGCTAAGTCATTAATTGACGGGCGTTTATTACAAGGTTAGAGTGTGAATCTTTCTTATTTAAAGATGTTTTTATGGCGAAAATGCATTTTGTCTCATAAAACGATATATTACTTCATTTACTAATTCAACATGTTTAATTCGTTCACATTTAAAGTCATATCCACTTCAAAAAAAAGATAATCCAATACTAGTCAATATCATAATACAGTCAACTTTTGACTGATCAGTTCTTATGAATGAAAGTCTCGTAAAGTAGAACTTGTTACTTAATATTATTCCTTGACATTAATTTTGCTAGTAGTTTATTGCTTCGCACAAATTATTATTTTTTTAGCGTAGACATAATCTTGAAGATTGGTCAAACAGTAAACAAGAACAAGTTATGGCCAGATTTTGCAAATGGGTAAATCGACTAAGAACGCCAACGTACACTTGGGATTCAGCGATTTTATTGAATGTTGGGTGAGGTTTTAGAAAATTACTCCTTTTATCTCAATTGCTTTTAAGAACATGAATGCACGCTATCATTTCATACTTATTTAGACAATAATATAATAATATAAGAATCTAGTGTAATGATGTTTTAATGCACTTAAAGGACATTGTTATTTTGTATTACTAATAAATGGCTGCGGTGAATATTTACAATATGCTTTTATCGAATTATTCCTATTATTCTTTATCTACAAACATTTAGATACTCATGACTCCTTTATCTCAAAGACGATTTCAGTTTCGAGTATAAAATGTTGGTATTCAAAAACCATCTAAGGATTTATCCTTTAGTCTAATGGTCTTGTTCACCTATTTACATCTAAAATGTCACAATATTTCTTATACAAAATTAGCACTAAATCCTTTGTATCACGATAGATATATAACTAGAATGCTTTTTAGATGTAGCTTAGAAAGAAATTAATAGTTAATCAACCTTAATTTCAGATGATGGAATAATAACTTTTCAAGTTTCTGACTTCTCTTTTCTCGTATCTTCATGGATAATCAGTCTATTCCAGTCTGCTGCTCTAACCTCAAGCTACATAAAATGTGTACGCTGATTTAAAGTTTATGAATCTACATATAGGATCGTCTTTACCTACTTTTTCGTCTCCGATTATAAATAAAGTGAAGTTGAGAAATAATCATGACAAAGCTAACTAACTAAAATATATGATTCACCAATGCAAAATTCTAAATATGATTCTAAATTGCAATTCCTAATTACTGGAATCTGTCAAATCAAATCTATCAAACACAAAAACTGTATTCGTCATTTGTTTGTGGAACATTATAGAGGATTATTCCAAGGAAATAATGAACAAATTATTTTTATCCTCTTCATCGAATACTTCCCATTTGTTGACTAATTTTAAGAATATCTCACTGTATTAGGTTATATTTTATTATCAGTTATGTTAAGAATATTAGTTTCATAGTTGAATGTAAACCCAATTGATTACCTGTCAGTATGAAGAATTATATTACCAGAATTTTGTATTGATGGTAATTTATGTAACACAAGCATCATTTAATATTGCTAGGAAACCTACCTTGAGTTGCAATTGTTAACGATGAAAAACGTGATAACCGTATCTTAGGTGACGTTTAGTCATTTTCTCACCAAATCAAATCTATCATTCAGTTAAACTATCTTCCGAAATACCCTATGGTCTTGACTTTAATACCATATCGGATAGCTGATTCTCAGTGTAGTTTTCTTCATTCAGTTTTCAGATGACGTTATTTAGTAACGTAAACTATCTTTAAGTAGAATGAATACTCACAAAGCCTAAATGTCATATGAATATGAAATATGTATCTCCAGCGACGTATTTTACCAGTTACATAGTAATGTTTTGTGCTGACTACAATCTGAAGTACATTTGATCATATTGACTTGGGTGAAGCATATTAATGTCTTTGTAGAATAGAAAATACGTCATTTTTATTTTCCAAAAACCCATTCATTACCTCTACCACAAGAAAATAATTTTATCAAACAATCTACGATTTCTATTTTAGACATTTCAAATCTACTGCGCTTGGTAAGTTAAACGGTGCATGAATTTTATAATGACAACTGGTTATCCGATCCATTATGATCTGATTTTCAACAACTTTGTTTATAAGGTTTCCGACATTTAATTCAAAAGGTTTTGAATTCGACTTTTTAGAAGTTTGATAATTTTTGTTTATAAAAGTTAATTTAGAACAAAGTAGCAGTTAAGTTTACTTTTTAACGTAAAAAGAAAATTTTTGAGCAGCAATAGCTCGTGAAAAAATATCCCTTGAAATGTAACAAACGATCGAAATCGATCAGAAAAACGGAGGATAGTTGAGACATTTGAAAAACTCAGAAGAAGGTCTATACAAGTAACTGTCACTTTTATCAGCTTTAATATTGTCATAAACAGTTCCGATTTTCATAGTAAAATCAATCAAAGCTATATAAGAATTCCTCATCCGGGGGTAAATCGCACTCCCAATAGCTCATGAGTAGTGCCTCTGTCTGTTAAGTAGAGTGATTCTGGTTTGAACGTGACAATAAATATCGACCCCCTCAATATTTCAGATACACTTTGAGATGACTAACATTAAAACTAGGTTAAAAGTTTTCTCTTGGTCACCTTTAACTATCCAGTATCTCAACATATTAAACGTGATCCTGAGTCACTTAAACTAGTGGCGATTGCAACATGATCGATAGAATCCAATGAACATTAAAAAGTAAGACAAACTTGGCAATGGTCACAGTTTAGTGACAGTTCAATTGTGAATTCCTTAGTAATGATCTGGAGTTCTGTTTGAGTTCGGAAATATTTTATAGCAGTTCTCTAAACAAATCCTCAACTAAATCTACTTCAACACTGTTTAAAAATATTTACCGTTCATACACATATATATCTCCAAACGTGCATATTTGCATGTACGGAGTTCCTATTGAATATCTCCTATCATCAAATGTTTGTTTATGATACTTAAAACACTTTTCTGATTTCAATAAATTGCCTAAAAATGTGTATGGTTGTTGTTTTTAATTTTAATCATTATCGCTTCATACATATTGATACAGGAGTCGCACATTATCGATCAATGTGTAACCCAGAAAGTTCATGTTTAGCTGTTCTTGATCGTGGATTTGGAACAGGACATATAATAGCACACGAACTGGGACATCAGTAAGTCAAACCATTATCATTATTACTCTATATAGTGATAATGTGATACCCATTATTAACTTTTTATAAGAAAACAGTTGTTTCTTGAACTGATCAAAGTGAAATAATTCGGGGTATTTAAGATGTTAAATACCTCCCGTCATGTTCTTTTGAGAGGAAAAATGACCAATATAGCTGCTGAAAAATATGATAAATAAGACGTCTGCATTAGTGATTAATCTCAATAACACAAGTTAAGAAATTACGGTCTGATTATTTGAATAACAACAACGAATACTAAACATTTGGCTACTGCTTGCCAAACTATTTCCAAATGGTCATGAACGACTAATCAAAACAGATATCCACCTACATTTTTGGATAGATGAAAAAAAGTATTTTAAGAGTTCACTTGACTAAAACTTTGTCAGCTTTCAGTGACCTTAATCTTAAATACATCTTCATATCTAACGTACGACTAATTCATAGTAGATCCAAATCTAGAATGGACTTCCAAATTAGGGACTAATTTAGGAACTACCCACAAATGTTGTATAATTACTACATCACAACCGATAAAAATTACAAACTATATACATAATATATTTAGTCCATCCCTCTCAACCTTTTAGATAATATTTTCCACACATCCAAAAAGCAGTATGTCACTCTCTTACACTTTTAAATGTATTTACTAACTATGTTTGCATAGTTACTAAAACTTTGTTTAGCTTTTTGGAAGGAACTGTTTACTAAATTACTATTATTAATATTATAAGAGACCTCTATGCTGACCAAACTCCATTTCAGATACTTTTATCAGTTAGTACTAGTGATATTTATCAAAAAATGATGCTAAACACTTGAAAATAAACTCACGCAATTAATTGCAATAAATATCAAGTTTAACTACGGTTTACCAGTAAAGAGCTACTTTGGCTAAAACTTTTTTTAAAGACAGATTGAAAAAGATCATAACAATTATGACTATAATTCCAAGCGCTGATCATACTCTAACCAAAACCGTTCATATAATCCATTGTCGAATTTTTTCTTTATTTAATTTAAACGAAGAAAAGTGTTGAAGCCTTGAAATGAAAATATTGTGTATATATTTTTTTCTTATCCAAAGAAGCAAATAAAAATATTTTAGAGATAACTAACAATCGCTGTATTATAACTACCAAAATGAGTGAGTTATTGACAATTTTCAGTGATATTTTCATCGGTTAGGGAATTCACAGAACTGTTCATAAACAGTCAAAGCGAACAGCTGCATAGCATCAAACAGCATAACTGGAACAAAAGCTTTTTACTCTTACATAAAAATCAAACAAATTTATATGATTAAATCTGATCATTGATCTCAATCACTCATAACTGTTTAATGCAATCATTATTACGGTAAACCAAGGATCATAAAGAATGTACAGCTTCAGTTTAATGTGTTAATGACTTGATTATAGAGTAAAATAAGATAATCACAGGTTAAAATAATAATACAATTGTAATTGATAATACATGCGCAGACATAAATCCAAGTCGTTATCTGGGCCAAGAATACTTAACATCTCATCTTCCATGAAACTTGTAAAACATAACTTTTATCGGATAACAATTATATGCTCCGTAGTACTAAAACCAAGGTAGAGTTTGATGTATGTATGTATGTATGTTTTTCTGGATATCTGTCCACTAACAAATAACTTTTATGCTTGTCAATGCTAATTACTATTCATAATTTATTTAAACTATGTTGGTCCAGTGTATACTTAGTTTAATTTAAAATGAACTGGATTATCATGTTAGTGATATTTTCGTCTGAAAGTTGATACGTCTTATTTAGCACCAACATTCAGTCAACCGGAAAATCCAGTCCATTTCAAAATGAACTAAAACTCATACACGTCACACAAACGAGTGACTATCTAGATTCAGTAGATAAAAAACAACCTGTGGGCACTAAATTTAAGAGCCCTTTGAACTATGCATCAAACCATTTACTCACGACATTAAAACTTATTTGTATTTAAAGTTCATCAATAAAAAGGCTGTTCAAAAAATAATGTAATTTTAATAAATCCATCTAAATAGGTGAAGAGTAAGGCAAGACCAAACTCTAATGCTAGCGAGTTACGAAAAATAGCTCTTTTTCAATAGCTTTCAAATTACAAATGCTTTCTAATTGGTTTCATTTATACACGACTTTCTAGGCTAGGAGCCAAACATGATTTTGAATTAAACTCTAGTTGTGGATTGGAAGAACAGGATCATCATATGACTGATCCACTAACAAGAAGTAGCGCTCACGACTTAAAATTAGGTACATATCCTTATTATCAATCTGGCGATGAATGGGACTATAGAGAAGACTATCGTAATTCAGATGTTCACCAATACGAATTTGTTCGACGAGACACCATCATGTCTGGCACATTATATTTTGATCAGTTTCCTTTAAGATGGTCTGCATGTAGTCGACAAGCTATACATTTATTCATAGAGTAAGTTACAAATAAGATTTTTAAAAGTTCATTTTTTTAATATTCATCTACATTCTCGTTGTTTTCACTTTTCGTGTAAACTGAACTAAATGTTTTGAACATCTACGTTTGGATAAAGGTCAACATACAATATTGTTCACTTCTGTAACAGTCTAACTAACGTATCTATTTATAATGAAATATATTCTCTTCCAAAATCAAGAGCGGACAATTTTCTCTTTTTTCAACTGAACATTAAAACTTCGAATATGTTATCGTAATGAATCTGATTTATATATACGACATTTTAAATAGTTTATGACACATACAAGCCAGATTCAGTGATTGTGAATGGTATGTCATATATTGATAACATTATCTTAGAAGATCATTATAATAAAACCGTGATATAACTTGACATTATCTAATGGTAAATTACACATTTAAACGATCGACAAAGTGGTTAGGAACTTATGATAAGAGTTGTGGAATAGAATATTATATAAAAAGAACTGAACGATCTTAATAGCAGTTAAAATAAAAATAAGATTCTAAACTTTGAGAAGGTAATAGACTGAAAATGTAACTCAGACGACCAATATTGTCGAATAAATACTATCATACCATACTAAATGAGTTTTGACAATGTGACAATGATTATTACTCACATGAGATGTAGTTATATCCCCAATTGTAGAATGAAATATTATCTGAGCACATTTTTTACACTTTTGACTTACTATATTGATCGAAATAATTATAGGAATTAATATTTACTCGAATGATTCGTTTCTTCAAATAACAAACTGGTAGTAATTCAGAGAAAATCGGTCGAAGTGTCAAACTGGATAAGATAACCAGCAAGTGAAATTCACAGCAAGGTGTGTAATTAGCAGTGAAATTCGAAAAGTCAGATTTTTTCTTCTATGGAACTCATCTGCTGAATAAAACTTTATTTCACTTTTGATTTTCACACTGAAATACGTTTACCATTTAGCTATTGATACCAGATATCCATAATTTAGTCAACAAGTACTAAGTTACTACCAGCAGGTTGTAAATTTCTCATTGTTAATACTCAAGACTGAAATTAATCAATTTATTTTGCTTCGAGACATTCCACTCAGGTTGCCTATATGACAACAGGTGATGAGCAATTGCAGGCCTAAATATTAACAACTGGAAATTACAAACCTTTACTTATATCTTTTACATTTAGCCTATGAGACCAAAACATAGGTGATGATTTTTGTTTAAGTGACTATTTCCTATGTTGTATTACGTTTTTAAAAACTGAAGTAGAATTCAGATTTAACTTGCTATTAATGATGAAGTGATCTTATTACCATATTCCCATCATTAATGTAAACTATCTACAGCTAATCAGTTTTAAAAAATCTATTCTTTACAATACATTAGTATTTATCAAGCGTGTTAGAGTGGTTTCTACATTTAATGTAAAATTTATTTGATTGTTCTACATAGATTGGACCATGTGTTTTGTAATTTATTCATCTTTATTTTATGAAAGAAAATGTCTGTTTCATTAGAATAAACAATGTCACATATCTTACATGTGAATCACATGTGAACAATCAAATGTAAACTAAGTATATTTATTTAATAATTTCAATACTGGTTAATGTAGTTAGGATTGTACAAGCACTAGTACAGTCGATAAGGTTGATTACTAATCATTACAGATAGAAGAAACTGACAATGATTTCTCATGAGATGTGGCTGGGATAATCAAATATTGATTGGATCAAGAGGACTCCTTTTTATCTATACCCAACTCTTCCGTCTGATAACTGATCACAGAAAGCAGATCTCCATTTCGCTTCTAATAAACTCTTATGATTTAAACTCACACAACAATAAATATTGACAGAAATAGCAAATTACAGTGAAAGAGATCTAAGCGAAATGTTCTCAACTGGTGAAAAAATAACTTAAATACCGGAAATTATAGAACACATGTTTATAAACCAGAAGAACGGTTACAAACAGGCAAATGTAAGCATATAATAACTCAAATGCCAAACTAACTAACTAACTAACTATCCAACAAAAATGTAAATAATCAGTTAGCTCCAAAATCTACTATTTTCTCAGTATCCTTTCAATTATGACAATTACTTTTCACTTTTGGTAACAAAATCTGTTGTCATTTTTAATTTTAAACTGATTAGATCAAATGGTGCTAATTGTTTAAGATATTTAAACTCTGGAACAACATTTTATTCAGCTGAAAAGTTAGCTCATCATTCTATGGATAATCGTCCTGGGCAAATATTCTCACTTAATCAACAATGTGAATTTGTGTTAAAAATTAATGGAACACAATTCTGTGGTCAGATGGTAAGTTTAAAATGTGATATTTTTATTTTATATAATTTGTTTTTATAAAATCGTGATATCATAGGCTGAAATCAATTCATAATCTATTGAAAAATCAATATTAACTTAATTCAGCAGTCTGGAACTTTCCAAGTTTCTATATCCTTGTCTTGGTAAGATACTCTAACGTTATTCTATACACCATGTAAATAGTGCGTCAAGGGTTTTACCTAATAATTTTAACTAAATTTAGCATCTTCTAAATGGTTGGTGATAACAAATATATGTATATATGTACATATATATTTTTTATATTGGTTGTTCAAATTTTATCATTTATGTTTACATCTGCAAATTACCAATCTCTTATTGGCGTATATTCATCTTTTGCGAACCGCCTAGATATTACTTTAAGTCATAAGTATGATAAGCAGATATGGTGGGTAGTAGTGAAATCCAGAACGTGCGTTTCGTCATATTTGGGACTCGTCAGATGTATGTACTTGCACGTCGGAGTTGATGTTCACTCCAGAACTCGTATATTTAGATTTTTTAACACGTTTATGAGTAAAACATTTGATTTCAGACTTTGCATGACTTAGTTTAAGTAGATTCTTCAGAGAATAAATAACTTTCTCATGCAAACATAAGTCCGCTTAAATAATTAACTGACATCTAATATTTATGTAAAAGATGAACCATTTGATCAATAAAGAACCTTCTCCATAATTATATAATATATGACCATTGAAGATTAATTAATCGAAAGCAATAACTTTCTATATTAGCTCAAAGACCGTAGAATGCAAATGGCAACAAATTTCTCAGTCTAATCGTGTTTAAACTTCACCATTAACAACTTCACAATCGAACTCTGAGGACATCTTGAAGCAAGCTATTGGTGAGCTAACTACTGGAGCTTATTTGAATGGGTTTTGCGAAGACCACTTAACTTTGTAGGCAGTATTCATCATAGATTTGTGTCATTTGGGTTTCAGTTGAATGCTCAGGACAACTGTTTCCCCTATTATTGAAGTCATCAGCAGCAAGCATCCGCGACCCCTAATAATTGTAGATTGTTTGGACAGATTGGATAAGTAGTGACCTACAAAGGGATATTCCTCAACTTCTCTTACGAAGTTGTAATGGATGGAATCCAGGTACGTTGAGAATGATATAGTCGTTACCAGTAACAATGTGTGTTTGCAACGCTATATAGCAAACTGACCGAACTTAAAATGTTACTGCTGGAAGCCAACACACAACTTCAAACATTTACACAATGGTAGAGAGAGCCAAAGTTCAATCTGCACTTAGTTCATGAGTACCAATTGTTGACGAATCTCATACTAGAACAAAACACCGATCCCAAGCTGTTTGCTTTGAAAAGCACTTCAAATGAGATAAATCTAGGGCGAATGCTACCTATAACTTGAACCGAACGCCATAAAATCCCTTCGATAAAACGAACAACTATGATATTAGAAGTTTTGCAATTATGGCTAGGATTAGTATCGGTTCGTTTTGAACTGATCACACCTGGATATACTTGCACCCAGTGTCGGTATTCTCATCTTCACTCAGACACCGTATTATTCACTTTTAACACGACAACACGTTATCTACTTTGCTTCTGAGACCAAATAACCAATAACTTTTTCAACGTGTGTGAAAATACTTTAGAAAAAATTAAAAATGTGCCAAATTTAAACAATTATAAAAAATATACAAGCTTTAAACGTCAAATGTTTTTTTTCAGAACTGCTATGGCAAAATACTGAAAGAAGGAAGTACTAAGTATTCTAATGTTAAATAGCTCAATTCAAACTTTAACCTGTTAGTAAGCTATTGAGAAACATCCAATTTTGTCATCTTGCATTGTTTGGACTTATTAAGTAGTATTGAACATTATAGCAAGTTAAATTCCATTGTCATCACAGAATTGTATATATATATATATATATATATATATATATATATATATATATATATATATATATATATATATAGTGATGTAAAACTAAATTTCAGTAGTCTCATTATAATATGTCTGGAATTCTAAAAAAAGCAGATGAAATCCTTCAGATCTGACGTTGGTTAATTCATATGGTTATCAAAGCATAATCATTTATTCTGTATCAAGTTCAAATGATATGAATTGAGACATTTTATAAAAGTGTTTTGTGCTTAATTATTTTAAATCAATCTTTCAATTAATATTTCCCTTTTTATTTTATTTTGTTTGTTTGCTGGTGAGATATTGTAAAAATACTGTTGCTTACTTGCATAATAATTAAATTCAAAAGGATAATCACGTAACGTCATTGTTCACAAATGTACCACTCAGAGAGACTGTAGAATATATTTGTGAACAGATTAGAGAACAGGAAGTAGTAACTACAGTCCCTGTGGAGACCATCAAAGAATTGCTACTAAAATGTACTATGAATGTACATTTCAAATTCAATGGTGAAATCTACTGACAAATAGATGGTGTCGCGATGGGTTCACCCCTAGGTCCCATATTGGCTGATATTTTTCTCGCGAAACTAGAAAACGGTCCACTAACACGACAGATTGAAAAGTTTTCACTTTATTGCCGATATGTGGACGACACGTTCATCCTATGTAACGACTATACTGACTTAATGGAGACACTACAGCTATTCAATACAGCCCATCCGTCTATAAAATTCACATGTGAGAAGGAAAATGGAGGTAGGATCGCTTTTCTAGATGTTCTCCTTACAAGGAGAAAAGACCGTTCATTAAGGAGAAACAGAAACAGGAAAACACCGTGGACGGGTCAGTATACTAACTTTCTTAGTTTTGTTCCTCTACAGTACAAAAGGAACCTAATTAAGACATTACAACATAGAATTAAGACCATATGCTCTGAAGATACGGTCGAAGAAGAAACAAAAGCATTATATATGACCCTGAGAGAAAATGGATACCCGGAGAAATTTATAAATAAAAACATAACTGATTAAAGAGACCATAAAGAATGTTTACTTGTGAATAAAAAGCCTCTGTATATACGTCTACAATTCAGAGGTGACGCACCTAGTGAAATGGTAAGATTGAAACTACGAAGATCAATCGAAAGGACTTTTAATGCAGGTAAACTACAACTAATGTTTTCCACACGCCCAATGATCACGCCGATGTTGAAAGATAAATTGCCTAGACTAGCCACTTCCTTCTGTATCTATCAATTCAATTGCTCCTGTTGGGCAATTTTTATAGGCAGATGCTCTAGGAATTTCTATACTCGGGCTCGTGAACACTTTCCAGTGTGGTTAAGCAAAGATGTAGTCAGAACGGTTAACAGCTCTGTTTTAGCCCATTTAGTTCAGACGGGACATAGAGCCGACATTGAGCAATCTTTCACAGTAATATATCGTGTAAATAGCAGTCTACCTAGTTCTGTCAGACAGAGAATCCTGCAGACGGCTGAGGCAATTGCTATTCGGATCAAAAAGTCAGAGCTCTGCATCCAAAAGAAATATGTACAGCCGCTCCTTTTACCCTGGCCAACTTCAGGGTCAACTTGTTAATGATCAATTTTGTAATATGGTGACATTAATTTGATTAATGTTCATTTCTATATCTTAAACTTAGTTTATCTACACATCTTATCAGTCATTATTCTTCTTATGATTATCTTTATTATTATTATTATGATTATTATCACACCTGCTAACCTTTTAGAGAAATTTATTCGTCATCCACCCCCTATCTACTATATCTGACCTAATTTATATAATTCTACATATTACGTAATTTCCGATTTGTAATCCTATTTTTGTAGCTCTCACCCCCATGTCAACTATATATATTCTGATCATTTATCTTACGATTTCATTTCACCTATAAACTGATTCAAGTTAACACATCATATTAGTCATCCCAAAAACATTAACGATTCGATCTTATTTTATTTTATATGACAAACAATCCTTGATTCACATATTACAGTTTCTTAAATTGATGTACTCCGCCTTAAACTTGGCCAATCTTCTTTTATGGATTATTAATTTATAATTGTAGAACCTGATGAGAAATTATTGAAAAGAATATTCTTCGTTCATATAATTGTGTTTTAATATGATGGGAATTTTTCAGCGATTATAATCACTTGAAAAATAAACTACATTTACAATTAATAAGTAGTGTATTCTGAAATTTATAAACTGAATACCAAAGTCAGTAGTAAAATAATACCTTAAAATAAATGTTCCACATTTGTACAGTATTTACGTTTCATTTTGAAGAACATAAGATGATAATGTCGTATGTAATGCACATTTTCTACATTCACTGATAATATTTGGTCTACATTTGTTGGTTACCTACTTGATTTCATGATAAATTAATGGGTACCCGAATGTGTGCACTAGCTGAGTTGTGTCACTTTTAACTGTCATTTTGACTGCTTTCAATCTTAGCCAACTGTCCTATTAGTATTCAAAAAACCTGAAATTCCGACAATTATTTTCCACTGATTAAAAAAAACCTCGGCCTTCTCCCCATGGTTTAAACAGGCTTAGTATGTAATATAACACGTCACTGATGAAAACTATTATGAGCTGCTGGTAACGGTTTACTAACAACCATTTGGAAAAATCAACAAAACTATTGTTGCTTAATGCCTTAAAGGTCCTATTCGTGGATTTACTCCTAAAACAGACGGAGATTAAGTTTTCTTGAACGTATTCAGTACACTCAGTTAATTGAGACTGAAAATATATCATTTTAACGTTAAATGGCTAAAAGCTATCAGACAAAAACCCTGTAAATTGGTTTTATGGAAGTTGACAATAGTTAACGTACTGTATTTCGTGAAGAAACTTTTCATCATGAATTGTGAGAAAATAGATTATATGTCTATCCAATAACGAATGTCTTCAGTATGTAATGGATATATATATATATATTCTACTTTGAAACTCTTCAGTAATAAAGTCAACTTACTACTTTACTCAGGATAAGAAACAGAATGTTTGAAATTTTATGACGAAGACAACAGTTTTAAGCTAATTAGTCAAGATTTAATGAGGAACTGCTCGCTAGTATAATTATTATGAATGTATCTAGCCGATATTTCAGTTGTGCACCTATATTGAATTCAATTACAAAAGCCATCTTAAATCACTAAGATTTCATATGGTGAACTAAAGAGAAAAACAAAATAATCCATGAATTTCAATGACAGTGAACATAAATATTTGACTTTATTTGTGATTTAAACATTTTGTTAGAAGTTATCCCATTTTGCAATATTTTAAACTTTTTGTAAACCCTTGGAAAAACACGTTTTCATTTTTTCCCTGGCTTGTACAGATTTGATCAATATACGGAAATTATAATTTACTTGACTACGTGCTGATAGTAACTTTTATCTTAATATTTAGCTTCCACCTTGTCGCCAGCTATATTGTCAAGATAGTGAACATAGATCATGTTTACCAATGGAAACGGCTTGGGCTGAGGGAACACCATGCGGGAGCAGTAAAGTAAGTGTTATTTTTTTTGAATTTTGCGATTCATAAGGAATAACGTGATTGTTTCACTATAAATGAACTAAACTATGAAAATATGCTTTACTACCTCTCAAGTACGACACGTCAGACGACACTGAAGTTCTTGTGATACTGCCGAAATGGTGAAAATATTTGTGCATACGGTGGTTTTATATTTCTAACAAGTTTTCCTGGGCTTTTTGTCATAAATAAATATATGCACGTTGGCTGTAAGTTGGTAAAAAGCTGGCATGACATAACGGTCTCTCAACCATTTATTGGTAAATTTTGGGATACATTAAGCTTTTGAATTGAATCAACTGTAAACCAGTAGTCATTCGATAATCGCTTCACTATGGAATGAAACTGCTTAACAATAAGCGCCCAAGACCAAACAAGGGATCAAAGGCTTTTATAATACAATTTTATTCAATATACCATGCATCACTAATAACATGGTATCATTCAAAAGTCACCCTAACCAAGGAAAACTGAAACGAGTTCTGACTGATTTATGTTTCGTATGAAATGGCTACACCAATCGCTAAAGATAATTTTTATGAATGAGACATGCCGAAAACTTTGTAAAGATCACTTATCAACTTATCTAATAAAACAATCGCGGATGTGTTAAAATTATTCATCAGTCATTAACATTATCTTTACCAGTATATATTATATTTAATTTTAGTCTTTGTATATTTTATGTCATAAGCTAACATAAACAAAGTGAGCACTGACAACTAGTAGGCATGCGTAAACCAACTAAATTCAAACCTAGTATATATTACATCGCATAAGGACGCTGTGTAACTCAAACTTGATTACAAAACACTCAGATAACGATTTTTGATTACAGAAATCTGATTCAGTGATTTTAGAACATCATAAATGCGTGATTATCTATTCTTTATATCAGCTAGTGAAAGGATCATATAGTAAAAAACAAATAAAATCATACTTGAATGTAATGAATTCTAATCAGCGGTATCATTGAAAATCCTTTATAAATATCACCTTAAATTGAAGCAGATCTTTTTCATAAACTGACCCCAACAGGGGTACTAATGAAAACAAGGGATGTGTGTTAGCAAAAATGATTAAATGCTTAACTTAACTGACAATTTGTTGCATAAAATTAATTTATCATGTGACGGCCCATTTTGGTTTAGCCAATCGCATGTCTTTCAGGATCAAACTAAGCGTATATCTTTTTATGTATGCGTTTAGAAAAATTCATTGATAAGCATGAAGTATATGTTCAATATCTATTTAAGCGAATACCTCTTCTTTTTATCCACTGTCATCGATGTATCTATTTTCATTTATACTGTTGTTTACGTTTGCCGTTAATATTTTCCGTCCGTAGAATATAAGTAAATAATCATGTTATTTCAAGAAACAGCGCATGTTTGACTGTTATGTCCGTACATGCTATCGTTTCAACAAATTCAAATCAATCTTTTACATTGATGTTTTTACGGATTTTATCACTGATATAGCTTTTGATTGGTACAGTGAGAATAATATATCAAGAAACAAGGGTAATGATACACGTGGTTTATGAGTATATAGTCCTAATGTGTTTCTTCCAGAATGTTGGGGTACAAAATAGATGTATACTGGAATATGTTACTATTTTCAGTATTTTACGTCAGGCTGTAACATAATTAGTCTAAAAAATTATTACAAACTATATAATATGCGGTACTTAAAACTTCAATGGAACTTCTACTACTTCCGGTTTCATCTGAATTCTGGTATCTCGCACCACAAATATCAGTATAACACAGTTGCTAATGGAGGGCTTGGTACTTAAATTGTTCGAGGAGGCCACATTTCCATCGCATTCTGTAGTATCTACTTGTGTAGTTCAGTAAAATTGAACACGTTATTTACATCATTGATTCTCCAATATGTGGTAGACGCAAGATGTTAAACCTCGGATTCGTTATCAAAAATAATGTACAGAATTCAATCAAGATACCAATAGGTTCAATACCATCCACATATTTTTACTTCAACTTAACGATACTAACAGTTCCATTTTTCACCTTATTGATTACCTATTTCTTATTTTCTGTAAGTTTCCACCTTTATTTAAAATTATGTAATCAGATTTCAACTACCACCTAATTAAATTCATAAAGACATACAGTTTATTTGTTAGACTATAATCTACTACAAGCATGGTTAGCAGAGATGGATAGTGGCTAGCAGTGGAATCCAGGACGCGCGTTTCGTCCTATTTGAGACTCGTCAGCTGGATGTACCTGCATCTCAGAGTTGATGTTCACTCTGGGACTCGAACCCAGTACCCTCGCTTCAAACGCCATCGCGTTATCCACTCGGCCACTGAGTCCTGATAGCCACTTGCTTGTGCGATGGGGTGAAGTTTAAATTCAACTTAGTATTGTTTGTTTGAATCTTCCCATCGATTTGTTCGGACTGCAACTGGTCAGTCTCTAACCATGCTAACCATGCTTGTGAATTAAGGTATATCGAGGCAATACGCACAGTATGCATATATGCCAATTAGAGATTGACCAGTTGCAGTCCTAACAAATCGATGGGAAGATTCAAACAAACAATACTAAGTTGAATTTATAATCTACTACATTTACGTACAATTGTATGGCTTTGAAAATGAATTCATTAAAGAAGTTTCCATCATTGAATAAATTGGTTTATGATTTAATGCGTTTAGTTTTATTAATTATTTTGATTCAATTACAAGATTTTTGAGAAAATATAATTATCTATAATTAAGCCAAAATATATTTTATGATATGTCAACCATAATAAAATTATTTTATGAACTACCCCACAAACCAAGAAACAAGATTTATAATTCACTTAGAAACAAAAATTATATACTAACTAGTTACACCATTATTTATGAATGTTATTCACAATATTAATTCATATAATCTACTTTTTTCTTGTTTACATAGTAAATCAAACTTCTGTAAAAACTAGTGACTGTCTTCGGTAACGACTATCCAACTTACATTAGAAATTGAACTTAGACAAATATTGGAAGCCAAAATGTGATGAATAACAGTTTTCTCTAGTATGGGAAACCTTAATAATGCTCATTCACGACCCCATTGAGGATCGAACACAAAACGTTCGAGCATTATGGTAGACGCTTTAACTTCAAACTACTGAGTGGGTATCAAATGGTTGACATTTTAAATCCTGTTGTAGTTGTGAATGTGCACTTCTGAAAAGTTATGCATTAAAATGCATTAAAATGGTCTAGTGCTTCCTATTCTTTAATGGTTGTCTAATTCAGATTAGTCCGTGACATTAGCTATAAAATTCAACACTACCGGCAAACATTACTTATATATTCATATATTTGATAATATTTGTCAACTTGAAATTGGTTGCGAGTTAAATAAAACTATAGGAATAATAAGTGATGCGAGGAAATAGCGATTACTTAATACATAAATCATGTATCACATAGTAAGGAACAAAATAACTAAATAGAATAAAAGTATATTGAGTTACTTTATCAAAAGAATGATTATCAACTGACTTAATGTGATGCCGCCAAAATAGGAAAAAGGGGGCCAAGCTTTTTTTGAATCCAATGCTTCAAATGATTACATAAAGCATTGGAGGGGTGATTGCATATGGTAGACTAATTTTCACAATAGACATTACTGAGATGTGCAAATGTTTTTTTGTTACAGTCAGCCTAAAACAGATGGATCATGATCAAATTAATTACTATATGGAGGTAGATATCATTACCAAGATTTGATTTGATAATTTTGAATAAAGTGAGCATTGGGTAGATTGTTATAAATAAATTAATATATTTCTAATATCCCAATGAGTAGAAAAATTAGATTTTCTGCCGTTTCGTGGCTCAGTGTAAGCCACTTCTTCAGAGAATAAATAACTAAATTAACATTAATCCAAGTTTAAATAGTACAACGGAACAACACTAATATTAGGTGATCAATCAAAAAGCAGGTTTGAATAAATCAATGTCATGTCATTTCGGTCAAGGTGATTCATAAGCGACATGTATGTAATTTTGTGTGTATGTATGCACTGTTAATGATGAAAAATGTGTGACCTTTATAATGACAACGGATAGAGTTAAATTTGTAATGTAATTGTGTGAAATTGTAAATAATATCAGACTAGGTGACTAAGATAGATAGTCCAAGTAGTATGTATGGTAAGGCCTTCCTTTCTATTGAGAGCAGTAGGATTAAGCATTATATGGAACGCTTCAGCTACTGTTCATTTTTTGAGTCATCTCACCCAATAATCGTGTTGTTCCGCTGTACTATTTAAACTGGGATTAATGTTGATTTGGTTATTTACTGTCTGAAGAAGTGGCTTACGCTGAGTCACGAAACGTCGAAACATCTAATTTTTCTACTCATTGGGATATTACAAATATTTTATTTATTTATACTATATGAAGGGTTTGTGGGTATTGTAGAAATTTTTATAATTAACACCAAAGACTAATCTAAAGTAAGTAGCTGTTGAAAACCGGGAAGCATTGTAGAGCTGATTTATTATAGATTGGGATTCGTTGCCAGTTCCCATCCAGTACATACTGGTTTTCACAAATCATTTACCCAAGACCGCGATATAGATTATAAGAATTTATTCGAGGTCTTGAACATACTTCTGGTTCGCTACTCAGTCTATTGTTGATAACCCTCACAAAATGAAATCCTTAAACATTTGTCTAAATTGCATCAAGCATTTTAATAAGTCATTCAAGTTAATAATCAAAGAACTCTCTGATAATTTAATAGAACTGTTTTTACTATTTATAAATTTAAAAGGAAAAATAGGGAGTTTAACTAATACAAATACAAATACATTGTCACTTGCATCAATGGTGGTCTTCAGTTAATATGATTCACTTTCTGGTATTACCACAGACCATGACATAGGTTTGAAAGGGCAAAAATATAAGCAGTTAGTTTAATTTAAAAAAAATTGATTTTAGCATACTACTATAGTGAACGTACAATACACAAACGTGTTTTCAATTTCTATATCAAAGGAATAATTCCCTGCTGTGTATACAGACATTATATATATATATATATATATATATATATATATATATATATATATATATATATATATATCAACTAATGGATTCTACCAAATAGCTTCGTGTTAATTCTTAATCTTGGGTTCTCTTCAGAAAGTTAATCTACCTAAGTTGGACATGACTTGTAGAATCCAATGAATACTTGGTAGTTCATTGCCTTCTCCATATAAACACACACAAATAAATAGTTATATTCCGTTCAAAATATTAACGTTTAAATATTTAGTGAATGATTCATTTATCGGTGAAGAACAAATTATTTTGAAGGTGTTTTCTTCTGTAATAGAATACTTCTCTAGGATGTTTGACTGAGGATAACCTTCACTCTTGTTCTCAATTTTGACCTTACACCTGAAAACCTACCAGGATGAAGCAGGAGATATTATTTACGCTATTGCAATCCATGATGAAGGGTGTGTCTCGCTCGCTATAGATTTGGCTTGTTTATATGAAAAACGTAAAGTTTTTTGCTACGAAACAACCACTCGATTATGCTACGAAGGTGTCGATTGTTGAAAAATCAGAAGACTGCAAAGGTCATAGATTGACTCAATTCTCAAATAAAACACGTTCCAAAATATATATAACTACGCGACTAAATAAATGAAAACATAACCGTAATCACTGACTACGATACACTTGGATGACTTAACAACATGAAGTTTATGCCCAGCCGAATGCTTTTAATAGTTTTCTCATTTATAACCAGGAAGTACCATTACAATTAACTGTGTGGACAAGCATCGGTACATAGGTGGGAGTAATCCAGCAATACAATTAAAGCTTATGAAACATATGCCTAGATAGCTTAAGATTCAATTAGTATAAAATGTGTTGATAAAAATGGGAAATAGAAAGCCCTGTGTCGTTTACACACAATCAATACAGGCCATCGAATGGACACAAACATAGTTCTTGAAAAATTGTACATTCAGTATTTAGTAGTTGATCACTAACTTGTTTTTAAGAGAAAAAATCCCCATCAATAACTAGGTAATATCTGATGTTGATGGTTGACACTGGTCGATATTTCTTATCGTCAACAGTATTGAAAATCAGGACTTAAATTTACATATCTTTATCTGAAGTTGCGAGATGTAACATGCTGAGAACTTGAACTAAGTACAAATTACTATAATTAAAAGGGACGTATCATCTTTTTCGTCACAAAACCATAAAATTGCAAAATGATGGTCGTTTTTGAATGATCTCAGCCAAGTACCATTGTATAAAACACAGAAAGGCTGCCAAATACTATGCCGTTTTTCTAATGATTTTTTTAAAGTAACTTTATGATAGAAAGTATTTCAATTTTGAAATTATTTCATCTAAACTCTCAAGTTTTTGTTGGACGTAGAATTCACCAATTCCTCGGGATTAACATCAACATTTGTTTCCATTTTTAGTGGTGTATTCAGGGACGATGTGTATCAACTAAAGAAAATCCAACTCCATTACATGGAAATTGGGGTGAATGGGGATCATGGTCAAAGTGTTCACGTAGTTGTGGCGGTGGAGTACAATTTTCCGAACGCGAATGCAATAATCCTGAGTAAGACAGTGATATTTTGCTAATTTGTGTCAGAATTTTCCTTAAAGTTATATTTAGTATGACTGAAAAATTTCCAGATCCGATAAGCTATTTATTTTCACGTCTATGAATAATGTTTACACAAACATCGTTAAGGAAATAATTAAATATTTGCATTCCAATATGTTATGGTTTAACAAAGATTTCTTGAGCAAGTCTCTATAAGCCCAGAAAAATTATGAAAGTATTTTATCCAATCACGAGTGAATAAAATATTCTCAGAAACATTTAGAAATGGCTCAAGTTTCATTGTACAATTACTAATATTGCTATTATATTTAGTATGTTTTCAGGAGTTTCCAGGTTATCAAGTCACCTGAACATCAATAAATATACTCCAGTTCCTGTATAAAAATTAACCTTGGGGTAAAACATTAACTCATATTTTGCTCCTTTCCTCTGTTGTCCGAGTTCACGTTAAAAAGTAGTCTGGGGTTATAATAAGCAGCTAAGATGTCTGCATCATATGTTCAAGTAGCAAACTTTTTGAAATGAAGTAATGAATTGTTTCCATAAATAGATGGTAACTATCACTGATTAAGGATAACTGAAGATCGAAGTTTACTTCTGAAAATCACTTTCTTGTCTAGCCTGAAACTTTACATTGACGAATACATGAAATCTACTTATCGATAGTTATAAGACTTGCGATGGTGTAGGCTTTTACTTACTGATTACTAAATATTTGCTTATGTATGAATACACTTATTTTAATAAGTGTTAACAAACCTCTAATTCAGATCGATCTGCATTTCCTAATAATCACTTTAAAATTTGCAGGTCAACTATTTAAAGTACTATATACAACCCTAACAACTAAAGATCACTGTTATGATATTATAATTAATTGTTTAGATGGACTGTTAATGTTGATAATATTAAGTCTAAGGGTGAATAATAAATTCACAACAGTGAGGAGTTCTGAAATAGTACAAAAACAATTATTCAGTGCTCCTTGGCATCCCTCTAGTTCTTGAACTGATTTTAGCCTGTCATTAAATCAAATCCAGGTAAAACAGGCTTCGTGTTGCAGTGGAATACACGCTTCATACGGTCCAGGATTCGTCAGTTGGGCAAACCTACTTTTCGGTATTGAAATTTATTCTGAGACTAGAATCTAGTACTTTTCTCATGAAATGCTAACGTGTTATTCGTTGATCTACTGAGTGTAGACAATCGCTAACTGTCCAACAGGTACAATGTTTATTTCATTATAAGGGGCGATTTGAATTACCCTGTTGTTGATATTCAGGAATGATTTTGATTGATCTTTACCGGTTTATATGAAGTGCCTTGATATAGCCTTTTTGTGGATGCTACCTACCATCCATTTTTTCTAAAAATACTTGTTATAAAATGACCATATCTAGGCTATTCACACACGATTCACATATTTCATGAAAACTGATCAGAATTCAATCCTGAATACTAACAACTGAATAATTCAAGCCCATTCTAAAGATTATAAAACTTTAGATTGTTGGAAAAGAAGTGATTTCTGTATGATTTACAATTATCACGACTCTATGTTTTATTAATCAATAAATTCATTGGTCGAAATGTGAATTCACTGATTGTAGTTGATGTGTTTTACGTTTGCTTAAGATGATACAGTATGTAAGAGGAAATAATTACCTTGACAACCAGTATTTTACAAGGCGAAACTGTTGAGTTTATAATTATTTTCTATGGAAAATAAGCTTTAATGCAAGAAAAATAATTCAACAAAATTTCTTAAAACATTTTCATATCTACAGTATAGTTGTAAGTGAAATTCTCTTAATGGACTCAGTGAAAACTCCATCATGTCAGGTTTGGAATTTAGAAATGTAATCATTTGGGACTAATACGCATAACTATTTAGGTAAATTTTCTTCAATACTGTTATCATTTTAATAGTCATCAGTAAAACGTGTATCAATGAACTGCAACAATAAACATGCACTTTCGGTATAATTCACTGAATAGATCGATACCTAATCACTAAGATACTTTAATTCATCAACTTGACATTTTTTACCATACATTCGTCTATACATCCTATTCCAGACCTCAAAATGGTGGGAATTTTTGTCACGGAACACGAACTCGAATGAGATCATGTGGAACTGAGGTAGGATTTGTGTTAATTCATTGACTTCATACATGTGATATACAGATTTTGAATTTTTTGCAAAATTCATAATAGTTTTAGTGCAATAGGTTTGAAAAGTTTATCGATTTACATCACAAAGTGAAATTACTCAGACAATTGTTAAAAATTAACCCTTCCTGATTTTCAACAGTTGTTTAACTCAGATCAGTTAGTCATGTAAACTATGGAAATTAAAAGTCTCCGCAAAACCATTACACTAAGAATAATCATGTACTCACTAATAAATAACTTTGAGATTCGATTCTAGGAGTTCCAGTGAGAAGCTGTGACTTTGTCAGCTATGAAACAGTTATTCACCAGTGCATTTGTAATATTATCGTGTAATAACACCGGTGGGTGTCGGGTCAGTGGTCTAGGGACTAAGCACTCGCTATGAAACCGGAAAGTCTCACATTCTATCTCTGTAGGGATCGTGAACACATACCACTGAAGAGTTGAAAACCAGATCAAAAAATCAGACCAGATCTTACTTATGCTAAGTAGTTTTTTTTGTAACTGGAGTCATTTCGTGATGTAAACAATGAATCACACTTTGCTCTAAAAGTTCATCATATGATATTTAAGTAGTTTACCATGCTGAAATCATAATAAAATAACTAAACATTGATAAACTATATTACCAGTCACAACAACTGAAACAAAAGATTGAAAAATTATAAAAAATTTTCATGAAAAAGATACAGTGTTTTAAGATATTATAAAAACTCAAAAAATCACCCTTTTTGAAACATGTTGCTTTTGTCAGATTTCATTTTTGATAATGGTAAAAACATTCAATAGAGGAAATTATATAGTCTAAGAAGTAAATTAAATAAAACAAAGTGGGAATATTCAATCCAAATTTAAAATACTATGAAAGTCTGTCAAATCAAACGTTTTCAATGTTAAATAGTCTCTTGAGATATTAGGCTTTCAAAGGGCTCTGAACCAATCAGATTTAATGATTGAACTAAATACCCAAACTATTTGTCTTTAAATAGCCTAACTTGGTTTAATATGGGCAACGAAATGGAAATTTCTTTGGTGGCAAATAAAGAAAAAACAATTTATTTTGTAACTATTTTGAGTTTTCCTGTTGTTCGTCTCCTTGAAACTATTTCTATCAGTCGTTGTTGACACATGTGCATCTTGTGCGACCCAACTTATCATGACCATTTTGTCGCAACTTTTATAAAAGAGATAAATCATGGCTCATAGGGGAGGAAATTTATCATGAGCGTTTCGTTCTCTTTGGGAATTGTCAACTGGATGTACTTATATTTTAAAGTTGATGTATACTCTTGGATTCGACAGATCAAAAGAATATCAACAACAAGAAAACTTCATTGCTTTTCTAAATCAAATTGAATTCATACTCGTTGCACAATTAGATGGATACATGGACTCAGTAGGTTACTGGATAATTCGTAAGGCACGTAAAACGAAAAGTAATTGATTCGAATCTTCGAGTGAACATAAGTACTGAGAAGCAGGTACATTCTGACAAATCCCAAATAGGACGAAACGCTTGTTCCAGTTTTAACTCCTAGCTAAATTCTATCTGTTCTATACTATCTTCACTGGTTTCTTTCACATACCAAATTGATAAGTTCAACATGAAAATTATTATTTTCTCAAGATAAATGTTCATTACAAAACACGACGGTCATGATTTTGATTGTATGTGGAATGTTGTATGTACACTGTTCAAAATTGCTTTTCAAGCTGTTTGGGTTTTCAATGGTTTTCTTGATCGTGTTCGTATGAGGTGAAAATTGTGTAGACATTGAATTACTCTTCACAAAACATTGAACTAAACAATAATTTCTCAACATTATTAAAACATCTTCACTATTGTATAAATATTCGTTATAATTTTTTTTACCGTTTATAGAATTTAGTTTACTTTTTATGTTTTCTAATAGATAGGATTTGTTATCAGCAATATAACAATTACCCTGTTATCTTTTATTTTATATATACTGCTAATATATTAAGCCGTGTGAGAAGCAACTGAATATTCGCCAAACGTTATGCGATAAAATAGATGGACAATATAAAGGTCAATTAAGAGCTTATTTTCCAAAACGTAAGTTAATATTTTTGTTAAAACGGATAAATACAATAAGGTGGATGAATTGTAACTATTAGCACTAGAATTCAGGACTCATATTTCGCTCATTATTTCAGTTGGATGTAACATAATCCTAGGGTTGGTGCTTACATTGGAACTCAAACTGATCTACCATATACAGACAACCACTAATATAGTGCGTATATACCGGAAACGATTGGTAAAACTTCAGTATAAAATTTCACCAAAGAAATAATTCAAGGCTTTAGTAATAAGGATATTTTAATACTAACTCAATTATTTTGAAATTAATTTATAGATTTTTCTCTTTTACCTCATAATAATAACAACTATACATAAATATGGGATTCCATTAACTAGTAGTGAACAGAAAAATAAAACAATAATCGTCATAGTAAGCAGAGATGGATAGTGGCTAGCAGTGGAATCCAGGACGCGCGTTTCGTCCTATTTGGGACTCGTCAGCTGGATGTACCTGCATCTCAGAGTTGATGTTCACTCTGGGACTCGAACCCAGTTCAAACGCCATCGCGTTATCTCTGCTAACTATGCTTGTGAATTAAAGTATATCGAGGCAATACGCACAGCATGCACATATGCCAATTAGAGACTGACCAGTTGCAGTCCTAAACACATCGATGGGAAGATCCAAACAAACAATACTAAGTGAATTCAATAATCGTCATAGTTTAGCTGAAGAGGTTTTTAGGAGATTAACCTAGTATATGAGTTGTGTTCACCGTAGCCTGATCTCATTTAGGTCACTGTTAAAACCCAGGAGGCACTACACAGATGTTTAATCATAGTGTACAATCAAATATCATTATAAACATGTGGCCCCACTAGGGATAAAGTTTAGAACCTTCAAGGCTTGTTATCAACTCTTAGAAGTCTTATACAAGGACCCAACACTACGTAGTTTTAAAATCTACTCCGACTGGAATCAATCCTTGATGAATATAACCAACAAAAGAGTTGTTTAGACTTTATATTACTAACATTATACGTTATTAAAATGAACTACATTAAATTTTCACCCTTGATTCATTAACTAATCAATTCGTCGTTAGAAGTGTTTACCAACAGTTCAAATTTGAATAGCTATTCTCATTTCCTTTATGTTTATAACATAACAATAACATGCACAGCTTTCATATTATTTCTTTTAACATTACTGGAAATGTCGTTTGCTTGTAAGATTTTACGATGTAAACAGTAAACAATGAGACATAGTAGTGATTTCGTTTAGAACTTTTCTACTCCCACGGAATCAAATAACTGATGTTCTTTACTAATAAGATGTTTTAATTGTCGATTTTCAGTTGTTTTAACAATAATAACAGTAATAAAACATCTAATCATACTCAAAAAATGAATTACCAAATGATTTATCAAAAATGTGCTAAAGACGCACATGCCAACCAAATCATCTTTGGCAAAATAAAGTGTACAAATTAAAGTGATAAAAATCAAAATTTACTAATCATTGAACGCATCGCAATCGGAAGACAGTTTAGCAATATCATGAAGTGAATAAAGTTAAGAATATAAACTACTCGAAGCGAACTCAGTACTCTTAAAGGTCCTGGGTTTGTTCCCTGGTGAGGTTTTGGATATGTACTGCTGAAGAGTCACATACTAAAACATGACAATCAGCCACCCTTTCCGTGTTTTTAGTGGTATACCTTGCATGAAATCCATGTCCAAGGTTTCCTAACGACCTCCTCTAACCGGTTAAAAAATGTAACCCATTTTCATTATTATCTTCATTAGAACAGAGAATTAGGTTCAGACCATTCATAAACAATCAAATTATAAACTAGGTCCTGAAAATAATATTTATAATAAACTTTTTTAGATTATCTGTGACGTATAAAGTTTTTTCTTTTCTCTTTAACAACTTTTATTTGCTTCATTGTAGTTGGTGAGCCTACATCATGCAATTTGGTCTGTTTGTATAATTCCCATTCTGTATCCCATGGTTTTAGTTTACCAGATGGAACACCATGTTATGCACTAAGAGATGATATATGCATACAAGGCAAATGTTGGGTAAGTTGATAATTAAGCATAAAAATACATTTCCGATCTCATTTGTAGCAGGATATTTTTCGTAACTAAATATAGTTTTTAATAATAAGTATATTTTTGTTATATCCCAACCTTGATATGGATACCTACAAATGTAGTTTTATTTACTTTTCATTACTAAACAAAAGTGATAAAGCATACAGTGTTTTCAGTGTGGAAATTGTATTTAAGTAATCGTGTAGCATGTCTTAAAAGTGAAACTCTATTTAGTTACCTACAATCTAGAAACACTTCCATTAATTATTAAAAAACAGGTGCAAGCGCTTTGTATCATTTTCACAGAAATATTTTGATCATGGTGTAAGAAAAAATGATAATCATTCACAAATAGTTAACATCACAAAATTATCCTAGTCCGATAATCATTGCAAACCATGAAGCACTGGACAGATGTTTCGTCCTAATATACGACTCCTCAGAAATATACATTCACGGCCCAGGACCTAAGTCATCGCTCTTGAGCACTGAACCTCTAGAATCTACATAAGACGTAAGAAAATAATGAATGACTGAGTAGCGATTGAGTAATATTATTAATTAATTACAGTTAGAAATGTAAATCATTTGCTATGAGCTTAGCAGCCACATGGTTAGTGGGCACCAGGTCTGAAAGTATTAAATCCTATCATTAGTACGGTGTTCATCAACACCTAATACTAAGATAAAGCAGCTGCGTAACCATCCCTGGTTTGTAATATTTGTTTAATTAAGGTCAATCAATGATCTAAACGGCTCACTTTTTGTTTGTTACACTGAGGTCTTCAGTGTGTAGACATAAGTGACTCTGAGTCTACTACTTAACCCTTTAGATTTAGTCGATCATGAATATTAAAGTTTACATGAGAAAATCGACAAAGCGAAATCTTAACAGAAAACCTTCTACGTTTTCATCTTTCTCATCTATGTGAACATAAGACTGTAGATATATATTTAATTATTATTATACTATATTTTCTTACAGGAAACTGGTTGTGATGGTATTTTGGGCTCTCGATTACGTTTTGATCGTTGTCGTGTATGCGGTGGAGATAATAGTACCTGTGAAGAAATAAAAGGCGTTTTCAATGGAAATACATTAACTCCACCTGGTACTTATCCACGTGGTATGTTTAATTTATAAATTAACAAATTAAATTAGATAAAGAAGCTTTATTTGTTTAAAATAAAAAATAAACCTTGATTTTTTTAAGAAAAAATCGTATTGTTTCGTCTAGGTTTAATGACAGCTGTGCGTATTCCGAAAGGAGTTACAAATGCATTTGTCAGAAAAGTTTCTGATCGTAACACTCCCTACTCCTCAGATTCGTATGACGATTTTATGTTGTGTAAGTTTAAAAATTTAACTATTCATAAAAAAATACATCATTTCGTTCCATTATTTTTGAAGTTATATCAATATTTTATCAACTGTGTTAAGCAATGTATGAAATTCATTAGTGTTAGATTTTAATTTAGTGATTTACAGATGGTTCCTGAGATAGTATTTGTTCAAGTTCGTTATCCAGGGATTAGATTGCAGATGCTTTTTCTGTACACTTGTTGATTATTAAATTACCATTAATCTTATGTATAAGATCTAATCGTTGGTCAAAATCTTAGATCGAAGAGGTCCAATGTTACTTTTCGGGTAATTAGCACCTTTAATGGAAAAGATCAACACTTTAGCAATCAATGATCGCCTTTCAAAGCCATGAGAACTAAAGGTATCACCAAAATATTCCAATGAAAGGTCAATTTCAACATTTAACCACTCACCATTTCTACCAACAAGTATTATTGATTAACCTATTCAACACAGAATCATTTGTATTTACCTACTAGTAATATCTTATATAGCATCTCATTTAAGTTTACCAAACTTTCCCGATAGTAATCAATAATTCATGTTGAACTGAATAAGCAGCTATCTGAAATGTAAGAAAGGATCAGTCGTTGTGTATTCATTCAAATACTGAAATGAAAATGAGTTATACCTTCTCGATCAATTTAATCTTTCTCCTTGCATAAACGAATTCCATTGTTTCTCTCCAATCAAGTGATATTTGAGGAATTAAAAACTCAAATACGTAGAGGTGAAACACATGAACCATTCGCTGGAGCCGAGCTTTACTACAGTGGAAGTCGTAGTCGTGAAGAAATTGTTTCAATTACTGGAAGGCTCAATAAAGATGTGAATATTGTTGTAAGTAAAGTATATGTTCGTTTTTATGTACCTCTTATAAATCAAGGCGAACATAAAGAATACAAATCTATCTTGAATTTCACCCATTTTTCCATAATAAAAGAACAAGAGCCAGAATTCTGTTGGGGGACACATTATTTCCTAAAAATTCGACACATATCAACCAATTAGTTTACAATTTGGTAATAGTATTATATGGGGACAAACTACAAAACTATCCTCCACAAACGTACTACCATTTCCTAGCTAATTAGAGAACACTATGTATAAATTAATACTTAAAAGCGAAAAATATGTGAGCGAATATTGTTTTCATTAACTTCATCACCAGGCTCTACAGTTATAAGCCCCTAATTATTGTGTGGTGTTATAAAGTACAAACTAAGACTTGTTAGTACGTTAAACAATTTTATGTTAAACATTCCTTTTGTGTTTTTATCATCCCTGCTTTTTCTTAAATTTACACATTCGTCTCTCCCAATCTATGTGAATTTTTTACCGTAGTTACCTTCACAGCACCACTTCTATTACATAATATATCCGCCCGACATTTATATTATCATTATTATTATTACTGATATCCCCATTCACCCGTCGGAAGTCTCCTACTATACATTTTATTGGCAAGATTTATTTTATTATCATCGTATTGATTATAACTCGACACTTAATAACGAAACATTCCGATTAATTGTAAATGACCTTTCTAATTTACAAACAAGTTCTGTCTGAGAGTATTTCGAATTGCGTTGGCTTTTGCATTGATATTTTGATTTACACAACAAAACGCAATTCTATAACAACATGACAAATTTCAACTTTTCGCACATATCATTATACCGGTAGGAAAATCAAACAAACCCGTTCAAACCTCAAGTGTTAAATAAGTAAACTGAAAAGATTGAGAATTCTCGTGCGCTACCGAAGTTCTTAGATTCTCAATGCTGACGAGTCCCATACTAGTCTGAATCAACCACCTAAAGTTTTCAGGTTCTTAATGGTTGTTTAACTTAGATCAGTTTGTGGTTTTAATAATATAATGATATGTTAACTTACAACTTGTTAGATATATACCGTATAACAGTAACGTCATTTTTCACAGCAGTTTAGTAGTTCGAAAATTTTTTTCGTTGAGACCATAAAATTAATCGATCAGTACAATAGTATGTTTACTAGTTCAACTAGTAAATGTTGAAATCACAGAACTAAGAGGTGACTTTTATTCCGAAATATACAAAAGTTATATTTCTTCATTCTAAGTTTTTTTTATGATGAAGTAATTAGTATTTAGGATTTTATATAAATTATTTAATAGTTCATAAACACGATTAAGTTTCTTAGCTTGAATTTTTCATTATTATATATCAAATGAATAATGGGCAGGCTACAGTTTCAAGGTACATTCAATACTACATAAACACTACTTTACTGTTTCCTCTATCCTCCATTCACATAAGATAAATGAGAAATTTGTTTAACAAAATGGACCATTGGGTCCTGATTCACTAGTCAAATGATAACGACTTTCCAGCAATACCTGAAGATCAAGAGTTCGACAAGTAGTAAAGACGTGGGTATGGACTTTTGAAGGGAATTAAACTAGGAAAAAACATGTTCAATACTTTCTAATCCAAAAACAGCATCTCAGTTGATACCCATCTCTTACAAAATGGAGCTCCAACTAATCTTCATAGAGCTTTCAAAACCACACTTACTGAATGTTCTTAAAAGTTTGTATCAGTCTTTTATTAAGTTGATAATGTTTATAGATAAGATTTGATGAGTTTTTCAAGAAAATAGTTAGTTGAAAGAAACAAGTAAATATAAATGATTCAAATATCCTCATTTAGGTATTAAAAGTACGAACTGAGTAGAGAACTGCTGCTTGTCAATGACCTCATTATTATCATAGCCTCAAGATTAAAAAAAGATTATATTTGAATGCAAAATTAACACCGATTAGCTGATGTGAATTGAATTGACAAAGTATTGATAAAGATAAACCGAAATGCGAAATGATAAATTATTGCAACCTATTATACACAACAGATGAATAAAACACCAGTTTAAGTTAGGGTTCAAAAATCAGTTTTAATTATCTTCAATGTGTACACATAAATAAAGGTGAAAAAGTATGAAACTATGTTTATAAATCGATGATTTACTCATATTGCTTACATAAAAACAAAAGTGGTGGAAATGAGCACTGAATATAAATAAATAGTGAGAATCTCTAAGTCTATTTAACATGGGATATTACATTAATATAAAATGTGGAAGAATAAATGGTGTCTTATTCAGTCCACTTTATTTTGTCAGATATAGTTCACAACACAATAAATATCACAGAAATTCACTTAAATAAACCTCAAGTTTGTATTCGAAAATCCAACTCTAGTCATAAAATTAGTTGTTATGTTTAATACCATTTAATCATTTCTAATAATTGGCTGATTAACAATTTGTAAGTTGCTTTCATCACAAACTGATCTAACAGTAAAATCTGAAGGTCATGATTTCGATTCCTAATAAGGTCATAAGTGAATACTTTTGAATAGTTCCATATTTGAATAAAACTGTGCAACATAGTTTTCAATGGTTGCATAGTCTTTGAGTCAAGCTGAAAAAAAAAGATGCTTATTGTTCAGCATAATTGAAATTTTTTATCTAACTTGTTAAGCTATCGAAATCAACGATTAAAATAGATTCAGTTTTGGATAATTGGTTCCCAAAAAAAGAGACAGTTAACCTATATAACTAGACTTGTACAAAATAAAATTACGTCCATAGGGTCGACATATCTAAATATCATATATTTTACAAGTAAACATTACAAAACGATGTTAAAGTCTGGAAAAATATAACATATTAACTATAAAATGCCAACTGTCAATGGAGTATAGAGAATAGAAGAAAGATTGTTTAAATGTCATTTCAGATGAGTAAAATAACTAGCCTTGTGTTTGCAAACATAAAGCAAAACATCTTAGATTAGATAATGACCACTGCCGAAAACCTGAAAGTACTAAATAGCCGTTCTGTCCCACTAAAGAGCTCCTCAGTGGTTGGCATCGACGACCTCGCATCCAAGAATTGAACTCAGGATCTTTGGTTTCGAGCACAAAAGCCTAAACTGTAAACCACTGAGAGTGTATGCAATGATTTACAATAATAACATCAATGAACTTACTAAACTCCGCGACCACTTTCATTTTTCTGTTAGGATATGAGGATATCTAACATGGTTGAATTCCATTGGTCATGGCTTTTCATTAGAACTCCAAGAGTTGTATCTTGAAAGTGCCCACTAATAAGCTCGTGATTATTAAGTATCTTCAGAGTTTCCAGGTTTTCCAATGGTGGTTTAACTAACATCACTACACGATTCAAACTACGAATATTCTATAGTCCCCACAAATTCCACCATACTAAAAATAAGGAATAATCAATCTGACTTTCATAACCTTAATGGTAGTCCCTAAAACATTTCTTATATCAATTAAAATAAAATTTTAGCACGATGACTAAATGACATAATGGTTTTTTACGCACTTAAAACTAGCTATTCACTAGTTAAAAATTTTTAGCGGTTCGAATAGAGCATCAATCACATGAAATTCAGTGAATGTAATCTTTTCTATGAAAATATAATCAAATTATATATTCATGCACAGTCAGTGAGTCAATCCTAATGAACATTAGAGTTAAGCACAAATTAGTAATGAGCTAAATAATTATAACATATTAGCACAATGACATGAATAGCTAAAGAATCGAAACAATGTAGTAGTTATAATGATGAGAGAATAATTATTCAGAATGTAGTGGTAAAGACAGGATGAAAATTTATGTGTGAAGGAATACTGAAATTCAAGATATAGAATACGGTTGCATTTATACCATTCCTACCGATCTGAGTCATGTCACTCAACGTCTTGAACCACTGGTCATTGCTATCAAGCTGAACCCTGCCAGATGGCCCGCACCCACCAACAAATGTCAGACCACCCGTCAGTGGTTCCACGAACTAACTCTATGTTTTGATTTGGACGCCTCTAACTTTCATCTGGCTCAACCTTACACCAGCTAACAATGTCCGTCAAGGTAGGCAGTTGTAAGATATACTTAACATTCGTCCCAGAAATCTCAACCGACAATGATTCACTACTTACTTAAATACGCCCGTTACCTCTCGTGGAGGAGCATAGACTGCCCACCAGCATTTTCCATTGAACTCTGTCCTGGTCAATTCTTTCCGGTTGTTTCCAGTTCCTATTCACTACCTCATTTACTAAGTGGACACCATTATCCAGTCCCTTGAATCTAACCTCAATATTTCCTACTAGATCACTGCACGAGTTTCGAGAAGTGTTTTGAAGACACCTATGATCAGTAACCTACTCTCAAAGACTATGTTTCCTACTTAGAAAGTAATACCTAACAAAGGACTATGCAATATGCATGTCCTTTGGTCGGCTGGTGGATATCTCATCCAAACTACAAGTGATTTAAGTTGATAGATGGAGAGAATCGAATCCTGTATATGTTTGTGTTATGGATTAAGCAATTAAAAGACTTTGCATTTAGCCAGCATTTTCCAATAAATGTATAAAATCTCAGTTCCGTAGGGAAATATACACAGCGAACAGTCACAATAACATAATAATATAAATTTTCATACTAAATCATACGATCCAAAAGATAACAATATAAATTGTAAAATGTCTACAAGATACGCGTAATTCATGAAAACAATAGGAAAATAACTTGAGCTGATAAGAAATTTTAAAGAGTAGATGCATACAAAAAGTAGAAAGAACAGGTTAAACTTTAGATGAACACAAAGTCATGACTTGTTTCTTCTTTGGTCACATATCAAACATCATCTTCTGCGTGGATAATACTACAATAGGTAAAAAGATTTTACGTAATTATTCAATTTATTGAAGTCTTCTACAACTTTCCCTATGTCTGGATTAAAACATCAAAGTCAAATAAATCCATGCATATAGATATGAAACGTATGTCTACTGAAACTTATATGAGAGCACTAAAAGGTTTCAAAAGGTACTTTGATTGTTTCTGTGTAGGGTTAGGATTTAAGAACAAGATTTCTTTACATGCTATTTACATTTTACACTTGATATGGTTTACTCTATCGTTTTCTATTACAAAAACAAATAATTTTTCGGTGTTATTTCTAATGTTCGTTTTATGCGATATAATAAAACGTCATTCACGCACAAAAGCCTGATAGTCTTTTTCTTAGTACTGATTGGTTGGTCTCCAAGCATACTTTCACCGTTAGACGGATGGGAGTTCCCTGAAATTTTGTTCATTTCACATCAGGGATTTTTCATTTTAACCAAACACAGTATTATGATTTCAATAGCCTGTCAAAGCTATATAAATATCCTTTTGTTAGCTAATAAGACAACACTAAATGGATACAATTAACGAGTTCATTTCTTCAGAAATATTACAACATTATCATAATTAATTTTCTAATCATAATTATTATATTTTATTAGATTCGTGTCGAAAACTCGCATACAACTCAATCTTTACCAAGAGTGGAATACAGTTACTTTATTGATAAATCACAAAAAAATAATTCATTATATTTCATTGCGGAAAGTGAAGCACGATTAGCTGAAGATAGAATTAATCGTCGTACTGGAAGATCCCAAAATATTCTTTCATCATATCAAACAGTTGATAAATTAATTCATCCTGTACAGAATAATCCAAATGAATTAGACAATCGTAAAATTAAGAATGAGAAACCACAAATATATTTCGTCTGGAGAATCAGTGAACTACCCACAGGTTGTACTACATGTGCAGGTAACCGATGTCAATATTTTTTAAAAGTTCTGATTAGGGAAGATTTAGTAAATCAGAGGGGGTTTTGTGAAGAATTTAGTATTTTCATGAGTCAATTGAAGCTATACCACCATCAAAAACCTGGAAGCACTGGACGGCCGTTTCGTTCCACTATGGGTCTCCTCAGCAGTGCGCATCCACGATCCCGCACTGAGGAGTCCCATAGTAGGACGAAACGGCCGTTCAGTGCTTCCAGGTTTTCGATGGTGGTATAGCTTCAAAAGACTTAGTAAATATTAAACATTTTAAATGTAAATTTATTAGAACACTAAAAGATACAAAAGTTAGATTTTTTTTATGTGGAAATAAAATAATTCATATTTATTGTTAAGATTACATTTTTTAGTTAATAACTATTGTATATTAATTTTCAACTACTAGGTTGACTTTAGTATAGAAGATTTGTAGAGATTATTAAATTTGTAGTTTACATCACAGATTAACTTTAGCTGGAGAACTATTAAAAACGTGAAAGTGTGGTACAGAGGTTTCGACAAACCAGGGGGTTCCAAAGGAGTACATATATCCTCTATGGTAAAAGTATAGATATTCTACCAACTTTGTATGAGCAACACTGAAAGTAGTTTAGCCAATAAACATACATCTAGTTTTCATCATGAAGGTGACCTAAAATTTTGTTTATTTTTTCAAATCAATAAAATGACTAAGAAAAACTCAATCATTTTTAGACAGTACTATCATTGGTCAAAACTCTTAAGCAGTTTTTACTCCCAAACTCATACAATATTAGCCATTCATTTGTTATCTCATTTACGATGATACATAGTTCAACATTTATGTCAAGAGCCATAAACTAAAACTATTCAAAAAAATAAAAGATGAAACCGTATCACATAACCACAATTAGTACAACTTATATTCTATGGTAAAACTAAGTTATTTTGTCTTCTTTCAACTTGATATGTGTATAACAAGAAAAAGCAGAAAATCTCTTAATCCATAATATTCACTCATTATATCAATTACTTAAAATATTTACTGACTCTCATTGTTTACCTAGTCTAAGCAACTGCAAGTCTCAAAACATTTAGATTTAAACTATTCGCATATATATATATATATATATATATATATATATATACAGAGAGAGAGAGAGTTTGTTTCTGTATATCAGACAAGGTGACACTTTCAATCATTAACTGACTGTTTATAATAAAATGTAATGTTAACAATTCAATTTTACTGAACGATCTAAACACCTGTAGTACAGTTATGTCGTTCGTTCACTCATTTATACATTTTGTTTTTTCCCCATTTTTTTACATCCACCTTTCTATTTTATAAGCATAGATGGATAGTGGCTAGCAGTAGAATCCAGGACGGGCGTTTAGTTCTATTTTAGACTCGTCAGCTGAATGTACCTGCATCTCAGAGTTGATGTTCACTCTGGGACTGAGTGGATAACGCGATGACGTTTGAAGTAAAAGGTACTGTGTTCGAGTCCCAGAGTGAACATCAACTCTGAGATGCAGGTACATCCAGCTGACGAGTCCCAAATAGAACTAAACGCGCGTCCTGGATTCCACTGCTAGCCACTATCCATCTTTGCTTACAATGATTGCGAAATAAGGCTATATCGAGACAATACGCACAGTATGCACATATGTCAATAAGAGACTGACCAGTAGCAGTCCTAAACATCAATGGGAGGATTCAAACAAGTAATACTAAATGAATTTCTATTTTATGATCATAATTCACGAATGTTTGTGATTTAAAACTAGAAAACGTTAATCAAATTACTCTTGAATCCCTTACTTACTGACTTATTTTCTCTTTATTGATTTAGTCAATATGTCTACATAACTAAGTAATACATTACGCATATATATCTCATTTCCCACTAAGACGATTATAATAATGTATATTAAGATATAATAGGCAGTTTTCACAGATAAAACTTAATCAAACAAAAGTCAATGTATTTTCGTTAATCTCTTAATGTGATGAAGTCATTTAACTAATTATGTATATGTTTATATATATGCCTGTTTGTGTATGATTGCTTAAATGTCTTATCCATTTTCATTCATTCTGTTATTTACTGTATACTCAGTCAATCAATAAGTAACTGCTGACGTACACATTCATATCAATATTCAAAGCATAAAATAGACGTTCCCTTCCTGTGTATAGTTTGATTGCTAACGTGTGATCTAGTGAGTTAATTCACTACCAATAAAAATCAATTACGACTTGTATTTGTCTTCGAGATTTCGTGAGCGCGAATAAATTTCAATATACTTCAAGAATCGGCCTGGGAATATATATGAAATTATGATCTGGGCTATGCTTCAGGTCATTTAGTAAGCCAACAAAGATGTTATGATTATAAGACAAATGCTCATCTTTAAAGGAGAAATGCCACAAATATTTGATTTATTTAAGAAATTTATAAACAATAATTTGATTTCTAAGATTGTACTTGTCACTGATATCATCCGTGGGGACCTATACTAGGTCAACATAGCCGTTTAATTTTCTATGATTTCTAACGATTTTCTAGCTGATTTCAATTCATTAAGTAAACCACCTCCATAATTAATTAGCCAAGTACTCATTATGAACTGTCTTATAGAAGGATTCCTGGGACTTGGGTGAAAATTAGTTACTGATCAAGTCTAGAATTGTTACGAATAGAGAATTACCTTAAAATGGTATTAGATGACTAATTTTCTGCAAGACTGACTTATTGAAATATAAAGTGAGAAAGATTGGATAACATAAAAACACATTACTCTACAGATTAACGAATAAACTTGGAGGTCCATGGTTCAATTTCTAACAATTTGGTAAGTGTGCGCTATCAGATAGGTTTTCGACCAGAAGACATAATATATGACGAGGTTATAATCACTTATCATTTGAGATCCGTTACTTTAGTGAATGATATCGATAAACAAACAAAAACACGTAGCAGAAATACAGAAAGTTATCAACTACATACTACCTTCGACTTTCTAATTCATATGATGAACAGTGAAACTACTACTTAGTTAAACCGCGAAAGTTAGGGAGCAGTGGCTAGTGAGGGATTATATGACAACGAAGCCCACTCAATAAATAGTGCTCATTCTCATCAACGACAATATTGTAATGAACAAGAATACAGGTGGGAACAACCGATTTATTTTATTACAAAATTACGGAATGTCTTGATTAAATATCAGAACCAAACATTGAATATTTCCTTTGCAAATTTCCATCATTTGTCCTTCATATTCTGTATCCTTCTTCCTATTCTCAGTTTCTTTCCATTTCCCTTTCTATTTTTCTCAACTTGATCTTCTTAGCTTTCTGCTGCTAGGGCTTCCACTTCCGATTATTGTTACATACTACTTGTGTCGACAGATATAAGTAGTACACACCACGATATTCCCATTTTAATTTATGTTATAGTTAAGTTAATGCCATTTGCCTATTTAATCTCATGGCTATTACACTGACTTTTAAATTAATTTTCTAAGAATTGTTGAGTCCGGCCGTTCAGTTATATTTTTGTGTGCTATACGGAAACTAAGCACCCAAAGATTTTATCTAGAAAATTATTATATGCAGAAATCCACACAAACACACACAATTCTTTTTCGTTTCCACAGGAAATGTCACAACACCTGCAGAATGTTATCCATTAGTCCCAAAAGATAGTGAGAGAAGTCAATTTTCACAATTTGATCTATTACGACCAGTAGCTGATTATCTATGCGCCTCTATGCCGAAGCCACCATCAGTTTTCAGACGTTGTTCCGACTATTGTGGTGTACGATGGTCAGCTAAACCAATGCAAACGGGAAAAACAACAAATGGTATTTATAAATTTTATACTAGTAGCTGTTCAGCACGATGTAATGAAGGTCATGAAGCTGTCGAGTATGTATGTGAAGAATATATTGTACCTGCTGAACAAAAAGATAAATCAAAAGGAATTTGGAGAGTTGCTCAACTAGGAGAACTTGTGTGCCATAAAGCAGGCTTGGGAAAAGCTCCATCCCAACCAGCTTATGTTACATGTAAAGGTTCATGTCATCCTGTTTATTGGATTTTATCGAATTGGACAGAAGTAAGCTTAGTTTACAATTTCATCAGTTTAAATTTTCAAGTTGATCTTTATATCGTTTATTTATTAGATTTTTTTTAATAAAACTGTCTACAATCTTGCCCACAAGACAAACCCTTCGATGAAAATATTAATCTAATCGATCTTAATACACAAATATAATAAAGCTATTCTACCTGTCATTACTAGTTACTGTTTATAAAAATTCTTTGTTCCATAGCCAATTTATGGTATGAGGGTTGTTGCTCAGTTGCTTCTTTATAAGCTCATGCTGGTTTCTTATTAACTTTATGATATTTAGCGAGGAAGTATCACTGAATGGTTACATAAATGGCGATGATGGTTCGTAACAATTTCATCCCTTTGTGCTAATGAAGTAAGACAGCTCAAACCAATATACACGTGTATCATGTTCTACTTTGTGTCTAACTGACTAACTATAGTGCGGCTTTATAAAGTTTCTAAATCAACCTATTATTATATAATGTTTCCAAAAACCTTATGGCTCAAAAATACGAGTAAACACTTTATTAAAGTATCAATTATCCCGAATAAATTTTTATTTGTTTTAGTGTAACAATTCTTGTGGTGATGGAACACGTAAACGAATTCTTTACTGTCAAGATGAAATTGGGCAAAATTGGCCTCTCAATGAATGTATGAATTACGGTGAATCAATGATTCACCATTCAAAAGCTCCAAAACAATCTATCACCATTCATTCAGCCCAAGAAATCATTCTACTTTATCAACAAAATAACAATTTCCAAGTATCATTTGAGCACAATTTATATATTGAACAATATAATGATTGCTTTTCTTTATCTAAATGTCGAAATGATATTAATTGGTCTACAACTAGATGGTCCGAATGTGAACCGTTGGATGAACAGATGAAGTCCAATTGTCGTTTAGTTGACAATATTACGGATCGCAAAGATTTAATCAATAAAATTATTGGTGTTCGTTATCGGAATGTTTCATGTATTATTGAGAATAATGATAATTATCATAATTCACTAAACAAATATATAGTGACTGATCAATTGACGTCGGGTTATTTTATGAAAAGAATACAATTAGATTTAAATTTTTGTCGTAAAGCTAGTATGCTTGGCGAGCTAATGGAAGAACCATATGGTAGAGAAGCCTGTACTCAACCAAAATGTTACAGATGGGGAAATGGACAAATGTCAGCGGTAAATCAAGCAAGTTTAGCTATTTTTCAACTATTATACAGTCTAAATGATTTAGGAATGAAATAGGAATAAATAAAGATGACGATCAACAACAAGCGAGCTTAATGGATATGACTACATAGAACAGTAATTAACCTTTTCCGAATTCTAAAAATGCAAACTTCAAAAAATAAACTATGATCTCAGTGTCTGTAGTTTATAAAATCTTGTCTAATTACATGTACAAGACCTAGATAAATTACAGGTTATGACATAATTATTATGATAGAATTATCAATATATTAATAACTTGTGGTTATTTTAAAGTACTAGAAACGAGCAAAATCATCAATTTACTTGGAGAAATACATAAAATAGATATGGGATAATTTGATGTTCAGTCAGTCAAAGCTGTCACAAATTTTCAAACTACGTAGAAATTTTTTGCTAAAATTATATAGTAGATAACAGTAGAATCCAGAACGTGCGTTTTTTTTTCCCATTCGCGATTCGTAGGCAGGATGTACCTGCACCTGCACTTCAGCGTTGATGCTTACACCGTGACATTGTTACTATTGTTATCTTTCTAATTACTTGTTATCACAATCTCCTGGATACTAATTGCTAATAATTTAAAAATATACGGGACGATAATGACGACTAAAAAAGAGAAACTAAGCTATTATAAACCAAGGCGTGAGCACATCAACAATATTTTCATCATCTTACGATGAATTCATAAATCTATGTCAATGTTATAATTCATTTACTTGAATAAGACTAATTAATAAGATCTCATTATAGTGACACAAGTATATATCATGTTAGATCATTTTTTAAAAATTTACTTTTCACAATATGTCTGATCCTGTCAAAATAAAAATAAAAAACGGTAAAATGGTACCTTCATAAAAAAGTTATTAGGATTTAATTGTAAACTATTGATACAGTTTGGTATATTATAAATCATAATAAACGGAAAATAACTGCGTATTTCACTGATTTATAATTTTCAGAATGAATTAACTTACATTCAATTACTAATTCCATGCTAACCGATGTATGTTAGCTAACTTAGGGAATATTCCTCGTAAGTTAACCAGTTGATTATAATCAGCCTAGGATCTGAAACAAATGTTTCTCACCATAAAACATCACACTTTACACTAGCATAGTAGAAAAGGGAATTTACAGAATGTGTTGGCAAATTAGGAATACCTACGTTAGTAAAAAGAGTTAAATATTACGAATATACTATCTATTTATTGCTATAGCTTTAGGCCTTAAAAACTTTACTCTCAAGAAGACTTTAAATTAATATACAATCTAGGTGGGATGAGATAAGTTCATCAAACCTTCAAAACTTGGTAGTTTGTGTATCACTGATATTCAAAGAGTAATATTCAAACGAAGAATATTCTTTTTGATAAATTCTCTTCAGGTTCTACAATTATATATCCAAATTAACAATCCGAAAAATGGCCAGGTTAAGGGAAAATTGCATTGTTTAAAGTTAAAGCACGTGGATTTAGGATTGTCAAACAGAAAATAATAAAATTGCTAATGTTGATATGACTCGAATGGAATGTTAACTTGTTAAGTGAAAACTTAAGATGTTACTTCATTATTCACAAATGTCCCGCTCGTAGAGATCATGGAATGTATATGTGAACAACTGCGTGAAAATGAAATTGAAACTATAGTTCCTATCAATGTTATAAAAGAGTTACTACTGAAATGCACCAGGAATTTGGATTTCAAGTTCAACGGAGAAATCTATAAACAAACGGATGGTGTTGCAATGGGTTCATCATTGAACCCTATACTAGCTGACATTTTTCTATCCAAACTAGAAAATGGATCACACAAAAAGATTATTCGAAAATTCACATTTTACTGTCGATATAGGGGTGATACGTTCATCCTCTGTAATGATAATGCATCACAGCAAAAGGTTCTTAGATAGTTTAATAAAGTACATCCAGCCATCGAGTTTACATCTGAAGAAGAAAGTAATGGTAGAATAGCCTTTTTGGATGTTCTTTTAACTAAAAGAGCCGATGGATCTTTAAAAAGGTATTTAAACATAAGAAATACCAGGACTCTTAGTTATCGAATACGCACTATATATAGTTGAAGAAGAGCTGAACACCTTGCGTTATATATATATATATATATATATATATAAGTCCTACAAGAGATTAGTCGTACCCGCAATATCTTATATATAACGCTTTAGTCCGTGGAGGGTGATACAGTCTCCAGTCTCATAATCCTAGTCAGTCCCCTCAAGATTAAGAGTACGCCCTGATAACGTGTACCAACTATTATAAAATCAAAGCCGTAAATTTTCTGTCGACTACATTTAACTACTTAATGTATGTCAAAATCACTTTAATATAGTACACTGCTGACATCGATTAATCAATCTATAGACTATGTTATCATGAAATTATTAGTTTCACAAGATTTCAGTCGATAAGTGTCCTTAAAATCCCCTCAATTTTTATGTTATATCTACTTTTTTAAATATAGCACGTATTTTGATTCTTTTTACGTCTGCTTCTTCAGTGTTCTGTAAATTGCGGAAGCGGAGTGAAACAAACTCGAATATCATGTGAATGTATTATATTAAAAGATGATTCGGATACAAGCTCTAATGAAAAGAATATTGTTTTACAAGGAATACATATTGTTGACAATGATAAGTGTATGCAAAATCTTCAGTATATGCCACGTTTATTCACTGATAAAACAAACGATACTATATTTGTGGAAACTATTGAAAGACGGATAGATAATGATCAAGAGATGATACCTTTAAAAGTCGACAATATAAACGAACCCGTTGTGTTGACTTGCAATGAAGCCCCATGTGATTTGCGCGTACCAGCTTGGAGAACAACCTCATGGAGTGCAGTTAGTATTTATTTGTTGTTTTGTCTAACCTGAATGATATTCTAAATCATTTTATGCTGACTTTAATTTGTTTATTTTTCATAGAGTTTTAGGTTAGAAAAGAATATTTGGGTGGACTATCTTGATCCATTCAAGTTAATTGAACTATAGATAACTGACAAAGATTAAGAACATCCAAAAAGTTGGTACGAATTTTTAAAGATGTAGAAATACGCAAATAAAACTACTGAATATATATATTCTTAACTGAGAAATCACAGTACACTAGAGTAGTATTTGTGAAGAAAATACAGAGAAAATGAGTCCAGTAAAATAAAGCAAAATATTAAAATAAAAATTCAATTTATAGATGCTAAAATCTATCAGTCACAACATTCATCAAAATGTACCATACTACTGTAGTAGATTTACTGTTTTAATAAGTAAACCTACTATGCAGTTATGTAAACTGTTGTCAAGTACTAGGTAATGATTTACTTTTTATCTCAATTTCACCGTCAAATTAATGGTTATTGTATAAACATAAACTAGAGGTTCTATTGAATTGCTTATCTTCTGAAATGTCTATATATTATTCTCCTAATAATCAATTCTTTACCATGTTAAAATAGATACCCAAATCAACTTGTGATAAGATAAAGAATGAATTTAATAAATTTTATAATACTCTTCACAATAGTTAAAATGTCTGAGGAAATTTTACAGCGAAAATCAATAATTGTCAAAAAGAAAAAGTGTCACAGTAACTTTTAATTCCATTGGACTTCTTGTTTAACAGGCATCGGATAACATTTTAAGTAGTATAAAGTGAAAAAATTCTTTCTTTTTTTTAATTGTACCGAATTTTTGTAATATATTTTAAATTATTTGATTATAGATTTGTTTGTCAAAATATTTTAAATACAAGCTAGAATAAATGAATAAATGAATAGATCTGTAAGAAAGCCTAATATGAAAAGACTAAAATAGCTACCATATAGATTATTCGGTCAGGTCTAATGCGAGAACAAATTCTTATGAATTTATAAATACGGTTAAAATACATTTATTCTAAACGCTACTATAGACCTACTAATAATTTACCCCTAATACTTTCTGCATAAAAATTTGCAAGTTGTTTTATGGTGAATCATACACCCTGGTTTAATCGGTTGTTTAGCTATATGTTTTGATTTTTCAATACTTCAATATGTATGACGTGTAGAATGTACAACGTAAATTCTGAACATCTGTAAAATTACTATGATCGTAAAGATTATCCTACCGTCTATTTGTCTTTTGTTTAAACTTTCTAATTTTGAAAGTTATACCGTCCTTACAAGTGAAGATGAAAATAACAATTGAGTGCTATTTCTGATACCCTTATTAGTCGAAGGAATGGTGAACCATTTCTCTAACACCAAGAAGTATTCTATATAACAATTACAACTAAGCGCATTTAGATTTTGGAATGAAACAGAAAACAGTCTACTAGTTGACACCAATGATTAAATGTATCTTACACGATAGTTCATATTCTTTAAATAATTGCATGTTTACATCAAAAACATTCGGACCTTCATAGATTGGCTGTAAATTGTATCACGGTGACGACTTGGATGAACCCATTTGAAATAGCGTAAAACGCATAAACGAGACTTAATATCTCACTGGTAACATTTCTAATTCGCTATCACATGGGTTTGAATCCCACGAGAGGTTCCCCCAAGAGTGAAAACAAGCCCGGAGTTGCATAGAAACTCAGCCCTTGACATTTTATCAACTGTCTTTAACATCAGTGTATAAGTTGCTTTAGGACAATTGAATTATTTCATTAATAATTGCTGAATGTAGCTCATATCTCAGCTCGTCTGTTGACAATTTTAGATTATCTGACATGTTTAAAGAACTTTCACTACAATGAACAATTATTCTGACAATAATTTGAAATACAATATTCATCTACTTTTATTGGTGCTTACTTTCTGTTACATTTCAGTGCTCCAGCTCTTGTGGACTAGGTGTTAGACAACGAAAAGTTATGTGTGTAGTCGAAACGCAAAATGCAAATCTACATAAACGTCATTCAATATCATATACTTCCATATTTACGACTAGTCGATCCAATATTGAAGTAGTTGATTCACAAATATGTCATAATGCATTATTGCCCATGCCAACGGAACAAGAAACGTGTCTTGAAGCTCCGTGTCCTGTGTGGCAGGCTGAAAATTGGCAAGAAGTAAGTTTACATTACAATGATTAGTTGGATGGACGTTCTCTAAAATACCACTGTTTTAATTTAGAGAAGAAAGGGAATAATTAGCTTCTACATATTCTTCAGTTATCCTTAGTGTTAAGAGCAATAAACCTTTGAAACATAAAGAAAGAATAGGTCTACCAGTATATGAAAATTTCATCTTTACACAATGAAACAGTTCTAATCTTTCAGTTACATCGAATGGACTAAAGTGAATGTGAACTATCTGATTAACAAACCCTTAGTGATACTACACGGTGTAGTTAACGAGAACAGAAGTAGAGACAATTGAATGTGCTTGGACACAAAATTACAGAACTTCATAATAAAATTTGCGAACCATACAATAAATACTTCGTTTGCAAAATGTTAACCAACTGTCTCAAATTTGACTGTTCCTTTTGCAAATGTTAGTCAATCCGTCTCAGACTTCATTGTTCCTGCATTTCCATACCAATTGTTTTCTGTTCCCGTTCGTTCCTCCTCGATCTTCTTCACGTTCTGCTGACAGACATTTTATTCAGGACTAGCGTATTGTACTACTTATGTAGATGTAAGTAGCACACACCACAACGGTATAGCCAGTTTAAAAAATTAGTTAATCTGTTAATAGGACAAAGTGTTTATTCTAGATTTATTTTTAGCCATAAAAACGTTTTAATAATATAAATAAAGACAGAATTAATAAGTGATGATCACTTAAGCATTCATAGTTTACATGCAGAAGAGTGAGGAATAAACTATAAACAGCTTTGATATTCAAGGGCTATGATTACTAAATTCTTCGAATAGGATTCCGACACCTTCATTTGTAAAAGGTTCATAACGTCAACATTTGTGAACTGATTAAATATTTTAATTTCTTAGTCCGTTCTTATTCTAGACAAAATAGTACGTCGAATAGATTAGGATTAGAAATAATTTTCATTTCTCTCAAACATTTCAGTCAGTGCTCTATTGAAACTTTATTAATTAAATGATTTCCCTTTCAACAAACCCTAAGTTTCACCTAAACGTAGTTCATTTAGTAATCCGATTATACTCAATATGTATATCCTTGGTACAATACCAAACGACTGTAAGTCTTACATCCCTCCAATTTCTAAAGTAGGATCAATAAAGCATTTTGACCAGGATACTCAATTTCATTTGTTTCCTCTATATTAATCCTCTGATTTATGAAAAATAAAATGGATCGTGCACAAATAAAGGAATATACTTTTGCTCAATAAATATTCAAGAAACTAAAACCAACTTGACTTCAATATAATTATATTCAACAATTGTTTTTCATTATGTACACTCAGATTTAAACGAAAAATATTTTCCGCATGTTATTGTTGAGACAGTTGAATCCCATTAAAATCATGAGTTGATTCATGTTAGAAGGAAGTCGCCCATTATCATGGATTGACTGAAGCTAAACTTTTACACCACCAGGTTTCGGTTCAGTGGTTTAGAAACTGGGTGTTTGCTGTGAGACGAAGGACCCCTGGTTTGATTCTTGGATGTGGATCCACGGATATGCTCTGGTGAGGAGTCCCATCCAGTTTCGCAATAGTTGTCTAGCCTTTATTTGTTTGCGATCGCAATAAAAATGTTTTTAAGAATTGGTGGATTGTGACTAGTAGGATATTGAGCAGGGATATATTGTTTTATGTCGAACTCGACTGCTAGATTTACTTAGATCCTAGCTATTAAGCTCACATCAGGACTGGAACCCATTGCCTTTTGCTTCAAACACCAGCGCATTATCCACTGAGCCACTGAGTCTGAATAGCTACTTACCTGTTCAGTGGGGATGAGGTTTACATAATTATTAATAAGATTTTATTTCATCCTGTCGGTGATTTTTAGGAGGCTTTTGTCAATAATGAATAACTCGCATTTTATCATGTTTTTTATTTCAGTGTATAGGTGAGTGTGAGTACGGGATACAACATCGAAAAATTAGATGTATAATTGAACTGACCTCTTCACAACAAATAAATAATCATTTACAAAAATCGGAAGATGATAGTTCATTACGTTTATCGATAAATCATCTTGATTCTTCTTTAGTTCGTCGATCACGCTCAGTAAATATAATGGATGTTGATCAAGAACGTTGTCGAAATGCCGGTGCCAAACCAATATCAGAAAGACCATGTTTAATAAATCTAAGTTGTCCATATTGGTATAAAAGTGAATGGTCAAAAGTAAGTTTATTTCTTTGGAAAAACTATTTACTAATAATCATTCAATTACGTTGAAATTTACTCGCTGTCAATTGTGTGTTCTAATTCACTTAGTTGTATAACAGCTGAGATGAATTAGTTTATGCAGTGAATTTAAAATTATCAGATTGTAATTTTAAAACCACAGTAGATCTTTTTGTGTTTAGATATCCAAGTACAATATTTAACCTCTACATATAAATCGTCACTTCACAGTTTGATAAATAAACACACTGATTACCGAACATTGACTGTATTATTGAAGTGTACTATACTGTCGATTCGGATCATGATACAGAAAGTGTTTATCTGTCTTATAGCGAACTTTTCAGCAAAGAGAGTATTTACAGTACACTGAATTGCTAAGAATTATTAATTTGTGTAATCGAAAAAAGGGATGATATTATATAAATCCAAATATATTTGAGAGTCATAAATTATGTTCAAAGTGTCAATGAATACAGAGTTATCTGACTTTCGTTTAATTATAGTTAATTTTAACGGGGGACAAAATTGATATTGATACAGCTTTTAAAACATTGTATAGAAATTGTCAAGCACGTATTCTCAGTATTATTGAATCCTTGGCTATTTGTATATTTAAACCCCCTCTTATGTGTACAAAAACAATTTGTCGTAAAACTGAGTTTATCCTGGCAATCCTTATGTCATTCTATGGCAGAGGATAACGAGACAATTTCTTATTCTTTCTATACGATGTAAAATATTTCTCTCCCCTTTGTTACTTTTTTACTTGAACTTTCATTTAATTTACCTTTATTATTTTCAAATGAAATGCCTTGACAGTTATATGTGTGACCAGATTTTTCGAAATGTATAGAGTAAATACATCACACTTTTCAAATCAACTCTGTATTCTATTTGTTCTATCGAAATTTAGAAAAGGGATTAATTGCTTTAAAATATAAGTAATTCATTGTGTAGTAGACATTCTTATGGAGTATGGACATCTTAACAGTTTTCCATGTACTCAAGAATTCTTCCTCCTAAATAAAACTATTTTAATCACCCATTTTTCATGTATGCACAAAACAGCGAAGTGACTTTATGAAGTCATTCTGTAAACTATCAACAATCATAAAGTATGAGGAGAAAGATAGAACTGTAGTGAGAATGAACTAGTTCCTGTGTCACTGCTTTGTTAACCTTAAAATTAGAAACCAACTGTGAACACGATAATGTTTGTACAAAAACACTGTACAAGTTTTATTGGCGAGACTAAAGAACATGGACGAGCCAATCAGAAGCTTTCGCCGGTTTTCAAGGTCACGGCGCTAAGTTCGGTACCTGACGCTTACGTACAGTCGGTTTACAACGGATTTTAAAGAAAAAATGATAATTAAGCGTCTACAGGATAAGTTATCATAAGATTTTGGCGCAAAATTCAATTATACATTTGAATAGAGTTGTGGCATTACAGCTGATGTCAGTTCGTGATGAAAACCCTAAGTAAAATTCATAACCCTAACCATGAACTGTAAATCATAATTTGAATTCTTCACACGGGTTTATAACCCTCATTTAGTCTTAGTTATTACGTTGACACTCTCAGATTCACTCTAGCGTCGCTCAAATGCCGTCCATAATTTATAGTCTCATCTTTAACCCTAAACCGTAACCCTAAACCTTAACCCTAATCCTAAACCCTAAACCATACCAACATACCGACAACACTGAAACTATGTGGTCGAGGCTGAAAGAATTTTCGGGACTTTATCATGGTTCCAGAGGTCGACTACTATGGAGCTACAAGGATGAGCTCCTGTGCCGTATGCACTATGATTTTATAGCTTCTGAACCTATATCTGACCTTGATAAGTTTTTGATTCATGTAAAAGAACAGTATCCCCTTTAAATTTTGAGTTTTGTATAATATATTTTTACTGTATGATAACTGTCTTCTGATTGGCTAATATTTCTCAAGGTCATTTAAGATTCGTTCAAAGGTCGTCCATGTTCTTTAGTCTCGCCGTTTTATTTTCCTAAGTGTTTTACAGTAAACTGTGAGTATTACTGATAGATATTCATTAAATGATACGGAATATTAAAAATCTTATTTTTTACGCTGGGTCGGCAACATGGTTTAGTTTCATTAGTGAAACCAAGTTATTCACAAGCTAGTAAGAATAAAATTATTCCTCATACATTCTATCTTAATATTTTTTTCGTAAATTTTTCATCAAGTCAATTCAGTGTAAAAATAAAAATTACTATTTATTATAAATAATGATTATTAATTTTAAGTCAACAGAAGTCAATGAAAATATATCTGGTGTAAAAGATTGATAGCGATTGTTAAGTTTTATAGTTTATATCACTAAACGACATCAATTAAGCAACAGATGAAAACCAAGGCCTTGGATTCGATTTCCTATAAGGTCAAACAGTAATCCTTTAGAATACATTTTTTTAAACAATAACTTATAGAACAAATGTAATCATTTGACAGTTATGATTTTGTGTCATACAAAATGAATCATATTTATAGGCCGTGGTTTATGCCTGCACAGATATGAAGATTCGTTATTTGAAAATTTTATATCACAGTCTTTGTAGCGTTTCATTAATTATCAGTATGGTCTATCTTAGATCAACTTATGAATCCAACTGTTTTAGAATTAGAATTTTTGTTATAATCCTTCATCAACATTTGTACCAGTAATATATAAACACCTTTATTTCAGTGTTCAGTAAATTGTGGCATGGGAATACGGTCACGTCAAGTTGCTTGCCGATCTTCAAATGGAACTGTAATTAATGTTGAGACAATAAATGATAACCAGACATTTTATCACAACATAGAGTCATCTCATGTAAATTCAATTCAATATACCATACAGACTATAAAAAAGAGTATCACAACAAAGCGCAAATGTCTAGGTCCACGTCCTATCGATAAAATTTCGTGTGGAACGCGTCCATGTACAGGATTAGAAGTATTCTGGTGGCCCGTTGCATCATCTGAGGTATGTCGGACTTAAAAATACGTTCAGTTGAACAGAAATCTGAAACTATTTGATTACTTTTTACTAACTCTCGTTTTTATTTGGTACCTTATTCTGATTTATTTCTTTATTTCAATGTGTAGGTGACGCTAGATAAACTGTTTTAATTCAACCCTTTACTGATCTAATAGCAATATTTCAGGCACTTAAAATAGACTAACATTCAAATATAATAGCCGATATACTGGTGACTTAGTTCAAACATGTACCTTGAGTTTTAGTGAAAAATCCCGACTCTGAGAATTCAGACGCATCACGTGTGTAACATTTTTCACCAATGATATCGATTCATTAAATATGCTATTGAATTACTGAACGCCAACCCAGTGGTTCTAACAGTTTCGCATTCTTCATGAGACCCGAAATTCCCAGTTCCAATCCCTTATTGTGCCGTGGAGTTCTATGCTAAAATGAACCAACTTTTCAGTGATCTCTCCTTTCCAATGGTCGTCTAACTGAGACCAATAGTTAATTTGAACCATAAACTTACAAGATCATCAGTTGAGTAAAATTTAAACATGTTTGAGTTTTGAACCCTTTACTCAAACATCATATGTACACATATTATTTAGTTTAGCGTTCGAGATTGACTAAACTATAGAACTAACATTCAACGTTTGATTAAGAAAATGTTTTGATTGTCGGATTCCCTCATATACTCCAGTTATCATATTAAAAATGTAAGAAGGATATCAATATTTAAAAATTCTAAATAATAAAAATCATCTGAAGCTATTCTCTGTAATAATTTTGGCCATAATTCTTATTTTTCTACGACTTGATAAACATATGAAAAGTTTATTGGTTTCATGCCTATTGTCAAATGTGTTAATTCAAAACCAAAAAAGTATAAACTCTTTATTGACACTAGACTAACACATTTTACTGGTATAAATCAAACAAATACTGTTTGTCATCATATTGTATAACATTTTTTTGAATAAGTATTCATATTTCTTATTGTTAGTTTATGAGAACTCAGTGATTAAGTACTGATTACACTACTTAGTAAATGCAGTACAACGGATCCTACCAAAATAGCGAATCACAATATACTTAGCACTTCGTTCTTCAAATAACCCAGTGAAATAAAATATTGAAATTTGAATTGCTTAAACAAACTGGTTTGTTCTTTTTCATTAATAAACCGACAGAGTTTAGACAACTAGAGAAAGCACTAAGACGGACTTGACAAGCATTACATTGATCACTACCAAATGATCAATCAATCGTGATTACATCTCAGTCCTACAGAAGGTCGGCTGTGGCCTGAATAGCTCAATGGTAACGTCTCTGACTGTGAAGCTGGGTGACACGGAATCGAATCCGTCAGGGAGCACCAGTTGGCTCAAGATTACAGATACACCTTGCTGACGAGTGCCAAATAGCACGAAACCCGGGTCCAGGGTTTACTGTTGACCACCTCCAACCATCATCTTATCTCAACAGAGAAAGCAACTTCTTCAGCAAAGAGCGATGATCATCAAGATATGTTTTTCATACTAAAAATTAAAATAAATCACTAAGCTTGGGATAGATAAATTTCACGAAACAATCGACTTGTAAGTGCATAAGTTATGAGATTTTTAAGAATCGGTTATCATAGTCGTATACATAAGAAGCAGTTTCGTATAAGAAATATTTATTCTATTTAATTTCATGATAATGATCATTTGTCAAAAGACATCTAATAACACTTTTCATGTAATTAAGATTTGTGGTTTGAGATTACTCCAGTTGAAGGTATTAAATATAATAAACTAACTTAAGTAAGACAACCATTGGAAATGAAGAACCAACTGACAGTTGTTTAGTCTTATTTTGATACTACGCGACAGCTATCAACCACGACTACATCAGTGATAAAACACAGAATATTTCGTTGTCGAAGATAATATATTATCTCAGCACAACAGGGTCTCAATTCATTGGTCTAAATTTCTAACGTAAGTTCTTACAATGCTGATCAGTCATTATTTACTATCATCGGTAATATTTATCTCTGAGATAATTATTGGTGAATACATGTTTGTTATTAATATAGTTTATCGATGAAACTTGTTCATGAAGATTTTATACAGTAACACGAGTGATTGTAGTTGAATAATGAAACTGAATATAACAGAGCACTGGTTACTTATTAGTAGACTATTAGATGGTTATAATAAAATAAGACATTCTATAGAAGGATATTTGAATCGCTTTGAAATTTGATCTAAAACTTATTTTTGCATCAATGAAAAATACATTCAGAATTTTTCAGCAATATTGATCATAAATAACGGTCACTCTTCACTGTTATACTAACGTGATAAATAATTTTTTTCATTTTTGAGTACGATGTGTTTGAATTATTGCTTGTTTTTATCTAACATGGTATATTGATAAGTAAAATAAATCTGAAATTGTTTAACAAATGATTGACCCTTATTAAAACTATCAAACTTAGAAAGTTCTGTTCTTGAATTTTGATAATTTAACACCATTCTGAATAGAATAAATTGATAACCGGATTCTTTATCATTCTATTAGAAAATATCGTTGAAACATAATTTACAAGTTAACCATCACTTTTAATGATGGTTAATGATAGTTATAGACTTTTATGAATAAATGCAGCACTAGCTGAAAGTGGTGCGATAAAGTGGTTGATCACTCTGCTTGTGTTATTTAAAACTATCCTATTAACCCTGAAAATATAGGTGAGTTAATATGATTTACGTAGAAATAATCCATCCGTCTGAAGCATAGATAACGAATCATCAGAACAGAAAGTCTTCTAATTTAGTAAACACTTGAAATGTACTTGCTGAAGTTAAAGTGTGAAAACCTTTAGTTTTACAACTGAAAATCACAAACAATTAGTCTGACTTTTAAGACGTTCAATGTTGATCTCATATAATCTTCAAATCAATTTTTCTGTCTTTCAGTGCAATATAACAGGATGTGAATTGGCCAAACGTGAAAGAATAATCAAATGTCTCAGTCCAAGACGTGGTCCAGTTCATGATACGGCTTGTAACCATTTAGAAAAACCATTGAACTGGACCATTTGTGAATCGTTTAAATGCAAACGATTTGAATGGCGTACAGGATCTTGGAGCCAAGTAAGTCAGAAGATCAATTCTTCTCTTTATTACTTAATTGTATTATATTGACTTGGTCTAAATGAAGGTATCGGGTCATAAGAAAATGGTACTAATTAGTAGTTTCTTTCAAACTACACAATATTTTCATTTAACTAAATAAAGCTCACTAAATTTCTATATATATTCATCTTTTAGTTACTTATAATTGATTGCATTGTTCGTCTGTTTGAATTGCTAACCGGGTATCTGAATACAATTCTGATACTGCTCTAGTCCCCACAGTTCATATGTCTATGTCAATATGATAATTGATTGCCACAATGTTTATAGCACTTGAACAAGGATATAGTTATTGAATGTCACGAAACGTTAAAAGTATCACATATGCAAATATGTTAACTTGGAAATAGAATTTTCTTATTGATACGAAGCAGTTTTAAATACTTGTAGTTATAATTCCAAGTCATTTAGGGAATAATAAAATCAGTAAAAGTATAATAAACGGACGAGCAAATCAGAATCGAGAACGCAACTTTTAAGCTCAATTCAAGTATCATGTTCAACGAGTGGTAGAAATATTTTTATGAACTCCTCAAAATGTTCAGAATAATAGAAAAACATTACGTTTTGTAACCACAGAGTAATATATTAGTGTCAGACGTATTAAATGGTTAGTTTTGTCTTTGTAGATTGTATATAATAGGAAAGTCAAAACCATCATTAAATCTTAAACCCTTAATCCTGAAGCAAACCCTAACCTGATATCACCACATTTTCTGTGACAACGAATCATATACCGCTTCTCTAATTTTTAGAAGAAATCCGTTCATCCATATGGCTAATGAGCATTTTTACACTACAGCTGATGTCAGTACGTGATGAAATCCTACACCACAAGTCCTTAATTTTTTCCCTAAATATCTAACCTTAATAAGGAACAATATAAAGACTCACAAATCTGTCCGAGTACTTATCTAGGTTCGAGAATATAGACAAACCATATCCATAAAGTTGAGTTTACATTACCATTGTTGTTTTGGTTTAGAGGCAGAGTAACCTGCAGAAAAGATTAATAGAATTTCTAATTATGTGGAATCGGTTTACTCTGTTCAATATTATCGTTTTCTTTTTGGCAAACTATCCATCTATGAAAGCCGTGTTTCTCGTTGGCTAGAAACCAGCTGGAATTCGTCGCGGTCTTTTAAAGCTCGTCACTATCTATAATTTTACCAAAGCTAAAATAATTAAAGTTTACCAAGTTCGTCCAACTTAAAACTTTTTTAAAGCTAATCATATTTTCCTCTTTTTATTTTATTTCTCAGTGTCCAGATACTTGTGTATCAAGAATGAAATATCGCCAAGTAAAATGTGTAGATGATTTAGGCAATGAATATTCAGAAACTTTATGTCCAGCGAATCTGAAACCCAGTAATCGTGGTGTATGTCCAAATTTATGTTCAGGTATGTGTATAGATAATTTGAATATTTACGTTTGATATTGATAATTGATAACACGAACTGATTCTAGTTAGATAGCAATTAAAACCAGAGAATATCTGGTTAGTTATTTTGTCCTAGTGTGTAACTTCACAATAACGCCCATCCTTAATCCTGCCATAGAGAGAGCCCAGAATCTTCAGCCTTAGAACTGAGGGTTTGTAATGGCTTAGCTTCATTAATCAATCACCTTGATAACCGTTATTATATAAATCCCAACGGTGTTTGGTATCAGAAGGCAATAAAAAGCGGTGACTATGGTTTATCAGCTGATTGCACAGATCACAAAGCTTTAAGCACACCGAGAGAGTTTGAAGCGGAGGGGCGAATAGGTGTATGCGAACAAATATAGAGACGAATTTATGGTCAAATTGAATAATGGCACAGCAAGGCAAAGGTTGTTAATATAATTTCAGTACGTATATACATGCTAGAGAGATAATATGTGTGTAGGCTGTCATGTGATCAAAAGTACACGTTTATGCAGACAAGATAGTGATCATAATAGTACAAAGTAATAGATGAGTTATTACTACTCGAATAAAATTGTCTGTTAAGTAAGTTAATAAAAGAGCTTAACAAAAATTAACAATAATCGAAATTGATTGTAGAAGAGTTGTTATAGATCCTTAGACGAAAACGTAGATCAACTTTCTTTAATTTTCATAGTGTGTCAGTTAAATAAAAACTGTTTAAGAATTGTTCGATCATTACAAAATTACCATTCTAGTAAAATCATATTAATGACCTGTGAATTATGCAATAACACTTCAGGCAATCAATCACAAAGCAGCGATTGAATTTCCAGACAAAAATGTTACAATCTTCATATCATATTGGATGCATGTAAATTTAATTTGTGTATTTGGTCATAAAATGGCTTTAAACAGACCATTTTCATTATTTGTAAGGGTTTGAGTTTTCTCGTTGATCAGTATTTACTGACACATGCATAACTTCATCACCTAAATGGAGGTATCCCTTCTTAAAGAGTCCCAAAATAGGATGAAACATGCATCGTGTAGCCCATTTCTTACCAATATTCAATTTTAATAAAAGGGATTTTCACTACTGTTTTATTCAGTCTCTTATGGGAATTAATCATTGTACGAAATCTAACACAATTACTTTTAATTCATATCATTTCATTTAGTTTATCTTGCGCGGATTACTACTACCGAATGTCGTGAATAACTTACTACAATTTTATGGGTTTACTCATTTAATATTTAGAAATTTTAAGGAAGAAACTGTTTTGTACTCATTTTTTCTCATATTAATGCAGATATCCCTAAAAGTTGTCGTGAGTTAAAATATCGTTATCCTTCAGCTGATGATGGCACATATCAATTATTAATTGAACAATCCTTAGTTTATGTAGGTTGAATCTTTTCTTTATTGTCAATGTTTGTTTGTAATATGTATAGATTCTTACATAATTTTGGTGTCTTTATTCATTTTGTTAATTGAATGTTTGACACGATAAGTTTTTATAGCTTTAGTTTCAATAATATTTCTTTAATTTATCATTCTGTATGTATACCGTACACTTGACTAAGACTAAAAATTTATTCATAAACATATTATAATCATTTAAAGATTTCCATCATATTAAAAGACTAATATTGGGAGAATCATTGCGAAACGTGATCGTCTTCCCAGGTTTTCGAGAACGTTTCAGATGAATATTTTTTTGTTAAGTAGTTGAAGCGCGTTTTAGATTCCTTGATGACTCGTTGGACAGTCTTGAAAGTAGACTGTGAGGCCAGATCACCACTTGATTTCACTACAATACCTGGGATGTTCAGCTTCTTAGACGGTGGCACCCGGTCCTTTGTGATGAGGGTCCGATCGCCTACAGAGTTTTCGGGGACTACTATTGCATTCAAGGATCCTGAGCTGGGAGACCCAAGTTTGCTGAGGGAGTTTAATGCTGTCGATGTTATAATGGTGCTAAGCTTCAGCATATCCTCACTGGTATGGATGCATGTTCCGTCTATACTAGCATTGTAGATGTCCCTCTTCTTTCTTTAACGCGAGTCTTTGTACATTTACTCGTTTTAGGATTACCTTCTTCAGGTCTACTGACAACTCCTTTCACAGACCTGTCAAGGTAATGATGATGGTGCTCAGCCAATCCTCAACATCTATGTTCCACATGCCGTACACCCACCTACAACCCAACTTATTACATCTGTCGTTAGCAGTTACTGTAAGGTTTTTGAATGCTTCGTGGAACCAACCTTTGCAATCATCATACTGCATCGTGGTCGCTTGCATGAGTTCTTCATGACTACGGTGATGTAAATTGTTTTATAGATCCTAGCAAAAGTCTACAACCGTAAAACAAAAAAACTGTACACTCAAAAAAGATAAAATGGATAAAAACGGGTGGTACTAAATGTGAGGATAAACTAAAACTAATTCTGACGTGGAAAACTGAAGAACTGAATAGTAAGCTGAGGCAAAACCATAGTTGACTATTAAGTTGGGTAAAACTCAAAAATAAAAATAATCTACCAACCGTAAAGGTCAGGATAGATTCTTCAGATCAGAAATGTTACTTTTGTTGCGTAAAGACACAGCGAAAGTTTGAGAAATGTAAATCACGTTAGGATTAGACTTCCCCTTCGTAAAGCGCGCGTGTGGACAGTGCCATATTTCATTCACGTATATATAAATTCAATTTACAACCGAGAACTTGTTTTGTTAATCAATGAAACAATTAAAACCATACTAGTGATTTTACATGCATAAATGTGTATTCGCGATACAGACTGACTGATTATTATTTCATACAATTGAAATATTCAATTTCAACATAGAAACTGTATTTAAAAACAACTGAACTAATGAAGGCCATCAACGGCTGAATTTTAATAACACAATTTCGTAGTTTATTGTTGAAATTTATTGAAATTCGATATTTTTCTCCATATTTTGTAGATTTATTGCGCAAACATGGAATCTTCAAACCCATCTGAATATATCACTTTACGTCAGATTAACTATGCTGCCTCATCAGAATTCTTACAGCCGTAAGTATAAAATTCTACTTGATGTTTGTTAAGGGAAAAATCTTGGGAATATTTCTTTAATGACTTTACCTTTATTAGCGGGAGATTAAGTTGGAAATTTGAGACGAAAGATATTTTGTTCGAGTCCCATTGGGGACCTTTACATTGGGACTCAGGTATTTCAAGCTGAGAAATCCCAGATAAAACAAAACATATATCTTGTATTCCAGATTTAGCCAAAATTCATCTACTCTATAAATTTTATGATAGAGTTGATATATCGAGGCACTTCTAACATGAGGCAGTATGTTAACCAAGGCTAATAAAAATTCAGTTCTCAATATCAACTAGGGGATAACTCAAACTACCCATAATAATGATGATGGATTCAGATTAATCCTTTGACCTGTTTTAACTATATGTTTGACAATAGAGGACGAAGAGTGTTTATTAATTGTCCTTAATGTTTTATTGGGATGTTTTGTAAAATACTGCCTTATATCGGACTTTGTTTAGCAATTTACATGATCATGTGTGTGATGATATGCATTACGTGAAAAGGATTAGTATTGATTTGCATAAAAATATGGGCGAGTGTGCACTCGAATGGTTTAAAAGATGGACAATTCCTAACTAGAGAATTTGAATGGCTGTTGAATGTAACTGCTCGTTACTCTTTCTCCAAATATGTTGTTGAAATGGGTTATTGGATTGAAATAAAATTTACTCTTTGTAGTGTTGTTATAAAAGTAGTAATTTGCGACAAATAATTAATTCTATCGAAGTCTAGACTATACAAGAATTAAAATGAAACATTTTAGAAATAAACTCCATGATGAAATATTTTGCTTTTAGGAAAAAATAACAATTTCGTGTTGCACACAAGTTCTCTTATGTATATATTGGATAATTTATTTACTCCAAAGGGCTATTTGAATCATCGTGCCATTGATTCAAAGCATTTTAAGTAGAGTTGCGTAAAGGAAAGCTATAGGAACTAGGGCACTCATCCCGTCCTATTTGAGACTGGCCAGCTGAATGTACAAGCATCTCAGTGTTGATGTTAACACTGGAACTCAAACCCATCACCTTCCATTTCAAACACTCAACACATTATACTCTTAGCTACTGAGTCTAAATAATTAATGGTTTGTCCAACAGGCTCAGAAGCCAAGTGGATAAAGTGTTGAACGTTTGAAAACAAAGGCACTGATTTTGAACCACAGTATGGACATCAACACTGAGATGTTCAAATACCCAGCTGACTAGTTTCAAACAGAAAGAAATGAACGTTCTGGATTCAACTGTTTGGATGAGTTGGTAGATTATTGGTGGTGTTGTATTTTCTGAGCTACGCTGTGTAATTGAAAAGCTTCCATATTCGTTCTGAACATCATTATCAAGGCTTATATTCCGTACACGGCACCACCCAAATCATCCACCTGAGCTGAGAATCTTTCCAATCATTTACGACCGACCAGTGTTGTGATTTTCGGTTCATGTATCCATTGATTTTCTTGCTATTATACAAAGTGAATATTTTTAATATGTACTAAAGAGCTATAATCACATTTTGATGTTTTCTCAAGCAAAAGTGAAACTTTAAATAAAAGTAATCTGATATTCAACATATTTGTGCAATAAATAAAACCTAAAGCATATTACACAGTTAACTTCCGTTTATAAAATGGTACTCTTCAAGGACATACTACATTATTTGATGAAGTAATGAAATTTAGACAGAACTGAATAAAATTTTAGACCTGAAATCGGATGCCTGACCAGTGAAGAACCATAATTTACCCCCTTCACTCAAGAGCTACATTCATGCCTTTGGATCTTCCAAGAACGAATTCTAAATCTCTGAATTTCAACTTAGTAGCCTAAACTTAACAGGCTTGTTCTGTCCGGTGATTAAATTGTAGATTTTGACAACTCTTGAGTTCCGAACTCTGGAAAAATAACTGTCATTGGCCAATGGTTTTCAATGGTTACTTAGTCAATATCAACCGGTGGCCAAAACGTCCATCATACTAAACAAAGCTACATAGTCCACTCAACCAATTTTTTACTGATGTGAAAACATATAGATTGTTATATTTAAAAACGTCGATAAATCACATGTTAGAACAGACTACCAAACCATAGCTGTACAAGCATTATAATCCCGATGTAATTTACGGAAAATTGATTAGTTTATTTTTAAAACAAATTCATGTTGGCTGATGGAACCATATTCATTTGCACACTTTGTACATTGGAAGTACGAATATTGACTATTTTTTTTAATAACTTTCAGTGAATCTTCTCGCTTTGCATTTATGTTATTGATTAGCAAAACTGAAAATAAATTACTTTAAAGCATATCAAATAAATTATACGGAAAAATGCGAATACTTTGCACTCCTATCTTGATTTCGATTAAAATTTTCGCTTGTGTTTAGGATATTTTACGATGCATAATGTTAGATACTATTGAAAATCATGTGTAATTGGATAATCAACCACTACTTTGAAATACTGAATTCTATGAATGAATAAATAATTCCAGTTTAAGTAACAATTGTCGCGACCCCACTAGTGAATTTATATTAGGTGAATTCCTGAAGTTCTATTAAGACGTCATATCTGTCATTATTGATGGCGTTTGGTAATCGCTTCTCTATATGATGAATCGGTTAAAGCTTAAAATGTGTGTCGCCGAACCTTAACTCAATGGTCTGGTAATGAAGACTCTGAGTTTAATCCGTGGTAGGGTTGCGGATGACCGCTACTGAAGAGTCACATTCTAGAACAAACTAGCTATATATAGTTTTCAGTTTTAAACATTATCATTAAGATAAGGAACGGTAGATATCTGTGTTATAATTCAAGATAAATGTAAGAATCGTGTTGATTGCAGCTCATCAATCGGTTGATGAGAATGACGAGTTAGTGATAATTTGTCGTTAAAGTTGAATTACTGGTTCAGAAACCTGAATAAAAGGATGATAAAATGAAAGAATAAAGACATTCTTGTTTCCCCTGGTAAAATGATATATTTATTTGTATACATAATACTCAACACAGTAATAAACATGATTCTCACCCAAGACACATGTCTGTTCAACAAAGACTAAACAATAAACACTTGAAAATCTCCATAAACCCTTTATGATAATTAAATATGATCAAATATTAATTTGAAAAATACATGATTGTGAGATACTGATTTGGTAGGCTACTCACCAGTCTATGAAATTAAATAAATAATTATCAATCTTGTTAATTACTCTTTATATAAATCCGAAAATTGATATTTTTACTATCATTAAAAAAGGCTATACTGAGTTTTAATTTAGAGTGTATAAATAAATTATGTGATTATATCAGGGATAGTGTAGTGAAAAAGAAGACAAGTGGGGACAATTGAATGTAATTGAGCACAATATTACGGACTATCTCACTAAAATCTGACAATCATACAGTAAACATGGTAAGCAGAGATGGATAGTGGCTAGCAGTGGAATCCAGGACGCGCGTTTCGTCCTATTTGAGACTCGTCAGCTGGATGTACCTGCATCTCAGAGTTGATGTTCACTCTGGGACTCGAACCCAGTACCCTCTCTTCAAACGCCATCGCGTTATCCACTCGGCCACTGAGTCCTGATAGCAACTTGCTTGTGCGATGGGGTGAAGTTTAAATTCATTTAGTGTTGTTTGTTTGAATCTTACCATCGATGTGTTAGGACTGCAACTGGTCAGTCTCTAATTGGCATATGTGCATAGTGTGCGTATTGCCTCGATATAGCCAATTAGAGACTGACCAGTTGCAGTCCTAACACATCGATGGGAAGATTCAAACAAACAACACTAAATGAATTCATACAGTAAACAGTTAATTTACAAACTATTAATCAATTGTCTCAATCTTGACTGTTCCTTCTGCAAATATCAGTCCATAGTCTCCGATTATTATCATTCATACATTTTCATATAAATTGCATTTCCTTTCCGTTCTTTCCTTATCGATCTTCGACTGAAATACATTCAATGTCCGACCATCGAAATACACTACTTATGTGGATATAAGTAACCCACACCACAATAGGATATGTCTGAATTTATAATGCATTTGTCTTTTGATGTTCAATATGTATTTAGTATCAAGCGTTCTTGAGCATTCTTGCTTTCATTTAATGAGTGAATGCTGTATATATGAGCATAATTTTCACCGAAGATTTCTTTTAAAGCTCTAACTTTTTTTAACTCTATTTGCTCTTTTTATCGAACGATTCTTAATACACTACAGTAGTGCTTCCATAGAAGACAAATATGATTAGATCCAATGAAAATTACACTATTGTATGCAGCACTCATAGACTAAATGAGAGGAAAAGTCCTCAAAAAATGGCAAATATTGGATTTTTGTTGAATGTTGGAGAAAAAGCTGGTTAACATCACGTATTAAATTATTGAACAATATAAAAGGCTAAACGTATTTAATGTAAAAAGCTTTCAGTCCATACTCATAATGCTTATCACATAAGAACTGGAGATTGTATTCTATCGATTTCGCTGTGAATCGTAAACTTTTTATTTTACAAACATTGAAAATTGTGTTTTGGATATTGTGATTATTCAGCTTACAAATAATTATACACTTTATTTTCCACTTAAACATTGTACACTTGGGTCAACTTGGATTATACATAGAAACTCACTTCTTGAAAATATAAATATCTCAAACTATTACAAAGATTTTCTCCTATTTTCACGCTAAAATATTAAAAAAGTTAGAATACCTAAACAATTCCTAAAGCAAATTGAAGATTTCTTTCAAAGCAGTGTACATTTGGTCTATAATGATGAATGTTGCCACCATAAATATTAATACTCATCGTACAAATATTTAAGTCAAGAAATAAACTCAGCTGTATTTACCATTAAAAAAACAGTCAGTGAAGGTGGTCTATAAACTATCGACTAGTTAACTAAAGTTCTCCTGCACGCCTAACACGAATAAGACTCGTCACATCACAACCAAGTGATTCTGCAAGCTATTTGTTATAGAACGCCATATCTTAAGTACGAAGCATAACTAATTTCTGTTTATTTTGTAATGAAAACTGACATTCGTCTCATATAGATATATTGAAGATAATGGTTTTATTATAAATGGTTGATCCATAACTTGATTTCTTGTTTACATACAAAGGTATCCTGATTTAAATTGGTGTCCTACAGTCAATCAGAATGCCTCAATGTTCAATATATCTAAAAATATGTACCAACCAAATTCAAACCTTGATTCATCAAAAGATATTCCTGAATCATTTCTAACTAGTATGGAAGTTAATAACGTCAACTGTCCCAGTTGTCCAACAGTGTCGAGTTTAGCATCAAAAACATTTTATAACAAAGTCCGATTGGATATATACAGTTTAGAAGTGAAAAGTTAGTTGATACATTATTTTCTTATTTTAATGTTGTTTGGGAATGCATAGATATATCGACAGGTAGATAGATAGATAGATAAAAGACTTACTATATTTGACCAACTCCACCTGTAGCTCTTCCAGGGCAACTGCCGGTCCCAGGCTCATGTAAAGGAGGAGGGTTGGGCATGGGGTCGACAACCCCATCCTGTAGAAAACAATCTCGCTAAAAAACGCTAACCAGAAGAAACAAATTAAACCATTTAAAATCTGACATGGGAGTTGAAGAAAGAATCATGAAGCCTCGTGATAAAATCCCAGATTCTTCTAAAGCCACGAAGCCGATGCTCCTTCTAACAACCAGAGCAACATTTTTTATAGGTACATGGAATGTCCGGGCAACGTGGGAGACCGGGAGGACTAGTCAAATATCAACGGAAACTGAAATACAACTTGGCAGTGCTTGGAATCAGCGAAACCCATTGAACCCAAGCTGAACAGCAAAGGTTAGGTATGGGAGAGATGCTTCTCTAGTCTGTTCGCGAAGAAGAAAATGCTTCGAACACTCAGGTAGTTGTCCTAATCCTGTCCATATAAGCACGAAATGCACTTATAGGATGGGAATCTCACGGATCCAGGATCGTCGAAGCATCATTCAAAACACATACAGAAGTTAGCGAGGACGACGATAAAGATCAGTTCTAGGAGAGGCCCTAATCAATCATAGAGAAGTGTCCAGGAAAAAGATCCGACTATCTTGATGTAAGACCCAAACTCCAAAGTCGAAATGAACAACACAGAGTATGAAGATATCATAGGACGACATGGACTGGGAGAAAGGCACGAAACCGGAGAGTGATTTATGCACGTTCAAAACAGGTTATAGATGTCACGATATTCTCCAACAAACGCAAACACAAAGCTGTATGGGTCTCACCGGATCCCATTACAGAGAATCAGATCGATCATATTAGCATCACCGAAAAATTCGGAAGGTCGATAGAAGACAAGAGAGCCAACAGCTGAGCTGCCATAATTTCAGATCACCACCTGGTGGTTGCCAAGATGAAACTGAAGCTAAAGAAATGTTGGACAGCTGGATAAACTGCATTACAAAGGTTCAATACACCATACCGTCAACAGACTGACAAACTCATTGTTTCAAGTTAATTCTCAACAACAGGTTCCAAGCGATACAAGATCTACTCAACAATGAAGAAACTATTATGAAGGGAAATTGAGAAGGGATCAAAGGAGCACTACCTTTGTCGTACAAGGAGATAATCGACCGCAAGAAGAATTATCACAAGGAATGCATCTCAATCGAAACCTCGAACAAGATTCAATGAAGGAAGAAGAAAAACAAGACAGCAATTAACATCAGTCGAACAAGAGCAGAGAAAGTCAAGGCACAGGTTAAATACACAGAAGCAAACAAACAAGGGATAAGGAAAATTATAGCCGACAAACAGAAATACGGGGAAGACCTAGTAACCTCAGTGGATAATGCTGCAAGAGAAGAAAAGGTGAAATAACTATATGATACAGGGAAATATAGTAAACCAGAGAGACCGGTCAAGTACAAAGTAGGCAAGTAAATCACTGATATTCAAGATCAGACAAACAGGTGGGTAGAATACTTCGAAGAACTCTTGAATGTACAAGTGTCATTGAATCCACCGAACATCGAAGCAGCACTTACTGACCTTCCTATAGATGTCACTCAACCAACGATCGAAGTACCCAGGATGACCATCAGACAAAGCAAGATTGAGAAAGCAGCAGAATCTGACAATATACAAGCTAAAGGAATAAAAACAAACACAGTAGCAATAGAAAACATGCTACACGTTCTATTCAGGAAGATTTGAGAGAAAGAACAAGTGCCGATGGACTGGAAGGAAGGACACTACATCAAGATACCAAAGAAATATCCGAGCAAATGCGAGAACTACAGAGGCATCAGTTTGCTGTCAGTGCCAGGAAACGTTTTCAACAGAATGTTGCTGAGCCTAATGAAAGACTCAGTAGACGCCTAACTTCTAGATCAAAAGCCCAGATTCCGTAAGGATCGGTCGTGCACAGACCGAATCACCACACTACGGCTCATTGTTGAACAATCAATTGAGTGGAACTCGTCACTATACATCAACTTCCTCGGTTATGAGAAAGCATTTGACAGTGTGGATAGGAGAACATTATTGAACCTTTCTCGACCCTACAGTGTACCGGTGAAGATCGTCGACATCATCCGGAATTCATACAGCGAACTACATTGCAAAGTGGTTCATGGAAGACAGTTGACAGACACATTCCAAGTAGGGAATGGTGCCAGACAGGGCTGTCTACTCTCCCCCATTCTCTTTCTTCTGGTGGTTGACTGGATTATGAAAACTTGTACAGCTGACGAGAAGCACGGAACAAAATGAACTATTTACATGCAAGCAGACGATTTCGAATTTACACATGACCTGACATTTACATCACATACACAACAACAAATCCAGGTCAAGACAAACAGTGTAGTAGCAGCCTCTGCTTCAGTGGACCACAACATACACAATAGAAAAAGAAAGATTATCAAATACAACACAGAGAACACCAACTCAATCACACTTGATGGAGAAACTCTGGAAGATGTGAAAACTTACTCGTCCTTGAACAGCATCACCGATGAACAAGGAGTGTCTGATGAAGACGTAAAGGCGAGAATTGGCAAAGTAAGGACAGCATTTCTACAGTTGAAGAATACATGGAATTCAAAACATCTGTCAACCATTATCGAAGTGAGAATCTTTAATACGAACGTTAAGACAGTCCTACTGTACGGAGCTGAAACTTGGATAACTATCGCAACCACCACTAAAAAGTACAATTATTTATAAACAGTTGTCTACGCAAGACACTTAATGTCCGTCGACCGGATACCATCAACAACAGCCTACTCTGGAACAGCACAAACCAACTCTCAACTGAAGAGGAAATTAGGAAAAGATACTGGAAGTGGATAGGACAAATATTAAGGAAATCATCAAACGGCATAATGAAGAAAGCACTATTTTGTAATCCTAAAGGGAAACGGAAAAGAGGAAGACCAAAGAATACACTGTGCCGAGAATTAGAAGCAGACATGAATGAAATGAATAGCAACTGGAAAGGATTGCACAGGACGGAGAATGCTGGTGAGCGGTCTTTGCACTTTCATAAGGGGTAACAGGTGTAAGTAAGTAAGTAAATAAGTTTGATGAATTGCACAAAGAACAACATGATGCTCCTATAAAACAAAAAGTTTGTGATAAAATACTATTCAATCCTTTTCAAGATATCGAACCTTTTCTCTTGCCACAACACATTCCACACCAACGACTCATTCCCATACGCAATTAAATAAACTTAAAATTTAATATCCTAAAAATGACTGGTTGCTTCATGAACCTATTTAGATTTTCGATGATTTTCCTAAAACTGTTCGGGACAGACTCCCGAGCAATACATGGAGGTCATTTTTAAAATTCCAATAGTTGAAATTATCACAAAAATAGTTTCCTTTCTGCAGGTTACTAAAAATTACAGCTTATGCTGAAATAGTCCTATATAAAATTTGTTTCCCATCACTCTTAGAAAGGTTGATGAATTTGGGCCATCTAAGTTTTGTGTTTTGTACAAAAAAGCAAATTCTATTCAATGATAGCAAAGTTTATTATCTTTTAAGAAAGAAAGCCCTTCCAAAATTTCAATTTTTCAAGATTAAAGTTTTTCTGTCAATTACAGGTCGATGATTTATTATTCATTAAACGGACATGATCAGTGTGGGGATCATCATAGGTCACCATTGAAAACCTAGAAACACCGAACAGGTTTGCTGTTCTAGCATGGGGACGCCTCAACAGTGAGCATCCATGATCCATGTTTTCGGTGGTGGTTTAACTTAGACTGATTCGTGATTTCAACCGTGAAAATATTACAATCTCCATAAATCCTCAAACTAGTAAAGATCACATCACCACTAGTGACCAGCTTCATGATGTAACTCCTGGAATTCTATTGAGAAGCCATGACCAGTGGAGTCTAATCCATGTTGAGTTTGAGACAGTAATCCACCTTACGCAATAGATGAAGGGTTGCGCAAGATCACAGATTGATTGAATTTAGACATTAACACTGGTGAATGCCGGCCCAGTAGTCTAGAGGTCAAGCTTTTGCGCGCGAGATTAAAAGTCCTGGGTTCGACACTCGTGGGCGGGATTATGGATCCCCACTGCTAGCGAGTCCCATACTAGGAAGAAAAAGCCGTCCAGTGTTTCTAGGTTTAAGTGGTGGCCAAGCTTAGATTGATTCGTGACCTCAACAGTGAATATGTATTTAATGCAAATATAGCTGAGAAAAATAATCGAAAGTATGTTTTTTATAAACACTATCTTAAGAATTTCTGCAGGATTTTGTTGTAGGAACTTTTAAGAGGAAAATTTAAAGCCCGTTAAATAAAAGACAATTCTTCAAATGTGGTAATAACAGAAATATCATGCTTCAACGAAGGATATCTGAAAGAAATAAACACGGAACAGGGAATAGTTGTTTTTATGTGCTCAAAGTGCAGATGTAATCACGTATATGATATTTTCACTTTCTAAGCTAAAATAAGTGGATCATCAAATCTAGTCGGATCGTCTCACTAGACTTTTCTTATATTTAAATACCAAAACATGCAACTTCATGAAAAATGATTTTAAATGTTTGACATCAACAACCGCTTCTCTCATCATTTGATCACATTTTGTTGACTGACATGATGGGCATTGTTCCAATTGGTCGGAATGCGAGTGACCTACGATACTGATTTTCTCTATTCGCCTATGACATTCAATCACGTTTACTCTTTCGTTAATATTTTGTAAGATACGCATGTTATTTTGACTAGAAAAATGACCTGTTGTACAAAGCAGCTGTTTTACTTTCTGGTATCAGTTCAGTTAAGCTGAGGGAATTTCAACTATTCGACTGACCATCATTCGGCCAGATCGTATTATTGCATCCTGTCTGTCGATTCTTTTATTTCATTTTAATAGTCGGAAATTCTTTCATAAGATCATAAAATCATATTATGTAGCATTAAATCAGTAAAAATATCACTTACCACTTAAACTATCTTTTTTTTCGGGGTTTGCAAATAATAAAACTGATCTGCTTGATGAATTAAATTTTCTTAACCATTTTAGTTAATGATGGACGATTTTCACATACTCTCGGTTCATCAATGATGCCGTACGGGACTGCAAAAGATTGTTTTTCATCAACCGTTTGTCCTCAGGTTAGAATTGTAACATTTATTAACTAGCTATGAACAGTATCGTGATAAATTCACTCTTGATAAACTAAATGATTATAAACACACTGTGAGAACGACTCTGAATTATTTGAAACTAAGACTATAACGGTGGGTATTTACGGTTATGGAAAATAATCATTAAGTATAACCACATAACAGAAACGAGCCAACAGTGATGTTTAAAAAACCACTTGATTTTGAAGCTACTTTCTTAGCCAGTAAGCAGAAAGTCTAGAAATCAAAAGTATTTTACCACGGAAGTAGCAGTGGCTGATAGAGTTTAATGTCTTAAAGAAGTCTAATTTTCCTATCTTTACCATCTGTTTTTCTATTTAAATATTATATAGATATCGCTACACAACCTTACTTATCTGAGGGCGGATATATTCATATTAAAGCCTTTGTAAAATCGTTTTCATGCTTTAATTGGATTTATAGGAAACTAGCTAAACAGTTGATTAAACGGACTGATAAGATAACCATGTAGAGAAGTCATCCATGTAAATCGCATCAACTTTAATATTTCGAGTTCATCAGCTTGCCAATTATTCTTCAGACCATTTTGACTTGAAAACGACAGAAAGGAATTTCATTTCAACCTTTTTTAATATTTCGAGCACTACAAAATGGTGTGTTTTGTGATGTTATATGAAATTTATCATTGAACTTCAAAGTAGTTTTCCGCACTCTGCGAGCTCACTCAATGATCTGCCCAAGGTAATTTAGACATCAGATATATTCTCATAATTCAGATTACTAATTGATCTTAGCTAAACTACTACTGAAAACCTTGTAGCACTGGATCCCCTTTTCGTCTAAGTAGCAAACTCCTCAGTTGTGCCCATCCACGATTTTACACCTGAGAATCGAATTCAGGACCTTCGGCCTCGCGTACAAACACTGAACTCTCATAACAATAGTTAACATGTGCTCGTTAATGAATAGCTTCAACATGCGACTCCTAGAGTTCTGTTGAGAGGCCATGATTAGTGAAGTTAAACCACATCAAACTTCAGACATTTATGCACCCCGGGGCAACAGATGAGGGTTGTGAAATATTTACATTAACACCGTTGGATACTGGCCCATAAGTCTGGAGGTCAAGTATTCTCGTGAGAAACCGAAGGTTCTCATTTCGATTCCTCGCGATGAGGTTGTAGATATACACTGTTGAGGAACTCTACACTGGGACAAACTGGGGCTCTAGATTTTTAACGGTGATATGGCCGATATCAATTCGTGACTTAAACTATGGAAATTATACAATCTGAACAAATTCTCTGATACTAATAGTATTAGATATATATTAAATAACATTTTCATTACCCAATAGCCATCAGTTTAGTGTACTATAATATCACATACGCAGATCTATTAGTTAAGCAGATCATATTTTACTGGAGATATCCTTTTCAGTTATCATCTCCTTACTCACCCTTTAACCAAGTGAACAAACTAATTGGGCGGTGTTATGTAAATCTCGAATGTATGTAGTCATTTATTCACAGAATAATTTAATGTTTTGTTGATTAATTTAAGAGAGTAGTTCAATTTTGAGGTGATTTTTATCATTTGCTCAAGCAAATCTATATATATAATCTAATATTCCACACTTCTGTTTTCAGACAATTTTATATGTTGCTCCAGGATCATCTAGTGCTCCCTAGTTTGAAGCACTTTCCTGAGGTCAATCCATGTTGTAAAGCCAACTCAAAATGGTTTATCAGTATAGAGTTGTGAAGATTGTTGAGTTGCAATGAGTTCATGAACCGATCAATTTTTAGACCACCGTTGAGAACCTGGAAGCAACAAACACCCGTTTCGTTCCAGTGCGGGACTGATGGTCTAATACTGATCAATTCATGATTTTAATGATATAATGTTTCTACTAAACTGATACAAACTATTAGTTCAGAAACATAATGTAGTTAATCCATGGAATTTGTATTAATATTCCCATCTATTTTTTTTCATAAATTCATTTTAATCAGGGGAAATTTCAAATCGATTTGAGAGGTACAAGTTTCAAAGTGAGCGTTAAAACACGTTGGACTAGTAATCGAATTACTAACGGTGTATCTCATATTCACCGATTACAAGTATGTCCATTTAAATATAAAAAAATATACGAAACGTTGAAATTACGAATGTTTTGTGGTTCAGTCTTGTATTTGATTTCTTTCAAAGACATTAATTTTTTCGTCTAAAGTCGGTATCGATAACATAAATCTAAAGTAGTTCAGCTTCTCTTCAAGAATAGAAAGGGGTATTTGAAAAGTCAATTGATTCTCATGAATTCAAATCATAAGTAATTGTTCAGTTACAAGAAACGATCTCAATTATTATTGTTATAATTACGTAAACTAAATTCAAAATAAAGTTCAGCTGAAAAGATATTCCTTTAAATGATGACATTTACGAAAAATGCACAGTAATATCTATAGGTATCTGTTGATAATCATTTTATTCAGAACCATGTATATTTATTTGATCGTACTAAAGAATTCATGATATAAAATATTCTATATTATAACATTAATACGAAAAATATATGCATAAAATGTTTTCAACTGCGATTAGCTGCCAATTACTTTCATTTCCAAACATTCTACTTCTTTGACACTATTTTCTCAGAACAATACTCACAAATTTCATCTTAGTCACATCTCATTTAGTCTCCGATAGACACATAGGAAGGGAAATCTGAAAACCAATATGGTGATTTCTCCAGACGTTTTTAGTAATTAGAACAATCATATGGAAGCAGCTCAGAGAATGCCTGAATACATTTGGTTAACATGTACAACTAACCAGCTAGAACAAATCTTAAGAGAAAGCTTTGTTGCTACATTTTTTGTTTCGAAAATGCACGACCTAAAAGTTTGGACACAGTCTTCTATTACATATATATATATATATATATATATATATATATATATATATATACAACACTATAAACAAACCGTTCAATAATTAAGTTAGGAATTAACACCGTTAGATCCCAGTTTAGTGGTCTAGAGGTTAAGCGTTCGTGAGCGAGACCGAAGTACGTGGGCTGAGTTATCGCTTGCAGAGTTGTGGGTGTGACCTGCTGAAAAGTGCCATGCTACGATAAAAACGGCCGTTCAGTGCTCTAGAATGTAATTATTAGCATTAGAATTAACAACGGAAATTGGGATGGACTCACCTGGGCCATTGTAAAGTGTTCGGTTGTTGCAACTGGCTAGTATATGAATCATTTATTTATCAATCTTTTTTAGCAGACGTTTCGTGGATTATGGGAAATCAGTTCCTATATAGTATGTAACACCAACAGGCTGTAAACCTTCTATATTTGGACGAACATATTTTTGTTTAAGCAGTTTCATCACTGTTTCTTCTTTATACGGTCTAGCAATCCTGTACCGAATACTTTATCTACTCTCTTCTCCGAGCTCATTTACTGCCTAACAGTTAATACATGTTGTTTTACTTCCCTGAAATGAACTTTTGGATTTGTGAATAAATTCTTTTCCAAAAATCAGAGTATTTATACTAACGATCAACCAATCACGAAGTTCAGTTTCCGATTGGTCTCCAAAATTTCACTTTGTGGCCTGTTTCTCAGGTTCAAGTATAAAGTCTTTAAATTTCTGATCAGTTTGTCACAGCATCTTAAGAAACGCAGATCTCTGTATTCATTCCAAGTTACCACACTGGACATGACTAAGTAGTAATTCCTTGAGAGATTTAAAGGACAATCAAATTGATTTCTCCAAAGAAGCCATATTCTTTCGGTTATACACTTTTTTTCAAATGAATCTCAGCAAATTCATTGTAAATTTATATTCTCTAATATCTTTTCTTGTCATGAACCAGACTTCAAACCGCTCCGTGTAGTCTTCAAAGTCATCCCCACTTGAATTAATATCCAACTCTATAATACATGACACCATGGTAACGCCAATATGATAATCAGAAGTATTCGAAATGATATGCGAAGAATTGCCAAAATATTGAGATTTAAGGCAAGTTTAAATGAACGCATTATATCTCGGATTCAAAAGCAGATAGCCACCAAGTACAAAAGAATCATTAGTTCTTACAAATACTACAAATACGTCCAAATTCTCAACCTGGGTTTGATTACTGTTGACTTTATGTGCAGGCAGTGCTGAGGAATTACATAATAGGTCCATTTCACGATGGTTTTCAATAGTTGTCTAACTAAAGTCAATCTGTGGTGAAAATATTGTACTTTAAATTGCACAGGCAACTAATAAATACTATCGTGATAAAATGAAATATTTTAGTAATATAAGAAATAATCATATATATATATATATATATATATATATATATATATATATGCGTTTGTATTTGTATATTCGTGACACTTGATCTTTTCTCTGCTTTAGGATAGTCAATTAATATACGGTCGCTGTGGAGGACACTGTACAGGATGTTGGCCTCAACCTGGATTATTTCTTGAACTCAAGCCAGACTGAAACTCAAGTTATTCATTGAAATGCGCACAACTTTATAATTCTCATATGATAATTCAATAATTTGTACACACACAAACAAACATATTCATAAATTAGGCAGCTTTGAGACATTGATAAAAAACCTCATTGGGACAAATAAAACTCAATAAATAAATTCTATTTTAAAGGATACATAAATAGGGAATGAATCCTTTTTTTATTGTAAATAAAATTAATAACAACGGAGTAATCATTAAATGAATTGTTGATTAAGAGTTAATATATTCTAATTTTGTTTTGTCTATTTAGTTGCTTATGTTTGAAATTCTTCTCTTTCTGTTTAGTTTTATTTTCATTAATTAATTAATTAATTTGAATAAATAAAAACAATCAATTAGGAAAATTTAAATTAGGGTTTCTTTTTTTTTCTTTATTTAATTAAATTGACTTTTTTTTCGGCTGGGTCTAGTGATCTTCTCTTATTCTCAAAATTATTCACATGAAAAATTTATTATTTTTAAAAAGATTCCATAGTACCCACTATTCAATGATTAGATTTTAAAGACAAAATATTCTAAACATAAAAAACTACCTCCTCTATTCTTCTTGTTGAATTGTATTTCATACAATAAGATAACTTAACTCTACATTATTCAATTTATCTATTAAAATAGATAGAAAATTCATTCTATCCTTATCAAAATTGTTCATTTTCATTGTATCCTTTAATCAAATCTTAGTCTTATATTAGTTTAAAAAAGAAAGCACATTTTATATAAAGTGCCCTAACTAACTAACCTAAAGCATAAGAAAAAAGTTTTAACTGATTAAAAGTTATACAATGGCAAATCTACAACACTTTAAATATATTTTGAAACAAATCAATTGTTCCAATAGAACATTGGTCCCTAAACAAATTAAACAAATATGATAATAAACATTATTATTATTATTAATAGTAGTAATATTGTCTAATAAAAATGCTACATTCCAATCTTATGGGACTTTACCAAATGAATATTCAGTTGTTTTCCACGTATTTAAAAGGATGTCAATATAACACACAAAAATATTTTCTTCGAAGCAATAACCGAAACTGCTGAACTATAAAAAAGCACAACTAGGAAAGTATTCAGAATATCTTTGTGAAAGCAATAATAAAAGTGATCAGGATTATAGATACTATAATTATTATTATTATTGTTTATACTATGGAGCTTGATAATGTTTTTGTCCTACTCATTACTGTTTATTCTGTATTCTTTACTATTACTCCATTGATTTACTCCATATCTTTTCAAATTTTTGTTAAAGTGTCTTATTCACTATGAACTTGGTTGAAGGAGAGTCGTCAAATTAATTCATATAAACACTAGTTCAACACGACTATACTATGATTACTTTTCTCGTTACTATTATTCTATTTACAGTTGATCTTTTCCTACTGTCGCAAACCAATACAATAATTCAGCGGTGCAAAATAAAACATTTCCAAATTTAGGTGTTATTTTCCTCGTTACGTTTGTTCTAATTTTCATTTTGGAGTGTTGAATTTTTACTAAAAATTTCGTTGCTCTTTTTCAGTTTTTTTTATCAAGAAAATAAAGCAAAAAGCTTGTTTTTATTTATTAGGAATATTCACTTTTCCAAATGTTCAGTGCGAAATTATTGAATGTTGAACGTATAACTAGTAGAGACCTTTTATGTTTTTATTCACATTTCACTGTGTGTGAAACTGGTTTAAGTGTATTTAATAATGAATATTAATTATATTCTGTATACATATTCTTCTGTGTACTATGAATATATATATATATAAGTGGACGATAAACTGACTTGTTTTTGTTATCTACCTGAAATGACCTAACTTTGAGTATTGTTAATGATCAGAAGGGGTTTTGTGGAGAATTTAGTATTTTCATAGTTGAAATCATGAGTCAATTGAAGCTAGACCACCATGGAAAACCTGGACGGCCGTTTCGTCCTATTATGGGACTCCTCAACAGAGTCTCCAACCATTGGTTACAATAGTCACGCAGACGACAACCAAGTAGTCTGCATCTACCAACATAGCTCAGACTAGAAGTTAGTGACTTCAAGCATTGATGACACGTTTGGGTTTGGCCGCCCCGAACTCTCTTCCAACCATCGCCAATACTAGTCAGCATAGCGCGTCGTGGTAATCGGTGTTCAGGCATACGTAACACGTGGCCCAACCATCTCAGTCGGTGGAAATTCACCTCATCAACTGATTTACCATCATCCCCTAATACCCCGTGTCTAACCTCACTATTACTTACCCGGTGATCCCAGTAGATGCGAGCAATATTTCCAAGATATCTGTGATCAAATACTCGCAACCTACGAGTATCCTTTACCCTTAATGGCAACGTTTCGCAGCCGTAAAGTAGAACAGAACGAACTGCTGCTCAGTATACTCATCCCTTAATTGATAGACGGATATCTCGTCTTCGCTATAGGTGAAGTAAGTTGGCAAAAGCCAAACGAGCTTTTTGAATCCGTGCAGAAATTTCGTCAGACATCAACCCATTAGTGCTCATAATTTGGGACGACCGAGTAAGCAATGCCAAAGTTAGGAATACGGTATTAGATAAAGATGGTAAATCGATTTAAGGTAGTAAATCTTCATTAAATGTGGTGCTTACAACACGTAGTGCGTGTGCTCACCCAACCCCTACCTCGACAAAGAATGCTATCTGATACAAGAGTAAACTGGAAGAAAGGTAGGGGCGCCGAAACCAAAACGTAGCATCAACCCATAACGTCACTGACAACTGAACTGAGCGATGTCAGTAGATGCAGACTACTTGGTTGTAGTTCATGTGATTATCGTAACCAAGGCTTCGGGTGATATAGCTCAGGATCGTTTGCAGTGACACAGGTGCGTCCGCTCATTATATTCCCTCAGTCCATGAATCCCATAATTTCCTTGTATATTTTCTTCCTTTTTCTATACCTGATCTTTTCTACTACTAATGGCAATGTTACTACTACTATTTTTCTTGATAACTTTATCTCACTGTGTCAATGTGGTGTGACAACCTCAACCGATGCTGATGTGCCAAGTTCTACGTCCCACGTGGTTGACTGACAAAAATCAAACACAAACCCAATCCGTAACCCTAACCACGAACAATGTGGAGAACTCTCAAAAGCACTTTTGTGTTTTTATAAGAGTTTAGGAAGACGGATGTTTCATAAACATAAACATATTTGTCATTTTTTCCTTAAAAACCAATGGAAAACTTTAATAGATTCATTATGTAAAATCATCGTAACATTATTGTTCTTCCCTATAAACCATTCAACTAAAAAAAATGTTAGCTGATTGGCTAGAAACGAGCTAAAATCCGTCCCGATTACTTTTAAAATTTCCAAGCTCATTATTCACTAAACTCTAATATTTCGCATAAAATCTGGACAGTCATCCAACACTTTCAAATTAAAATACCTTTTGGTATAATAAGGTCAGAACATAAAACAATTAATTAACATGAAATAGCTATACACAAAGAATTTGATGAAATATAAATACAAATACCCAGCTATCAGTTTACTTTGTACACAAACACAATATTTGATTTGGTTTAGATAAATATTACCGATTTATAACTTAACAATAAGTTCACCGAATTCTATAGTATTGTCATAAAATGAACAAGAAACTACAGTCGATTTTATAAAATCACTTTTCAACTGATTAATTTTATGATTGAATGACCAGTCAATACCATAGGCTAATTGTTCATTAGTCAAACGAAATTTATATACAGAATCCTCTTTATCTTCCGCTTTGTGATTAAAAGGTGAACGTAATGGTAAGTGTGCAACAGCAAAACCATCATGTATTGCACTGACTATAACATAATTTTGTGGACCCCATTTATGACGCCAAACTCCACCATCGAACTGACATTTCTGTAAAGGAGTAGTGGTAGTATCGGTGAACTTGTTAGAAGAATGAATCATACGTAAATCCCATAAATACAAAGTATCATCATAACTGTGAAAATGTATATATATTAAAAAAAACGAAAATCAGTTGATTATATTGATAATAACAATTGATTAAATATAAGATTGGTATTAACTACAAGAAAAAGATAATCCTTTAAAATACGGAGCTAATTATCGTTGTGAGTTCGAAAAAACATCGATACTACAGGTTGACAAAACTGAAATGTACCGTAACTAAATGTAATCATTAGTATAGTTCAGGTAGAAATTTATAATATACAGTATTGATAAGATGGAATTATTCTATTAATTCATTTATCAGGCACAAGTTTACATACTTTGCTTTTGGTCACACTCTAAATATGTGAACTAGATGATATCAAGTGGTCGTTTAAACGAAAATAAGTGGAGTTGGGTTTAAACCTGCGACCTAGTGTCTGAAAATCGAACCTCTGAACCAGTGATTTACTGTTCCATATTATGATGAAATATGAATCGTGCAAGTATGAGTTTGATTGTTTTGCATCATGGAATAATTAAATTCAAAAAGTTCTACTTACACGAAAGTCCAACCTAGTAGTTAGACAGATATGTGATAACCCTAGAAATCCCATCCGATCTCAGAAAATATGGTTTGTTAGGACATAACAATATACATACATATATTCAAGATAATTTTAAGTTTTAAAGTTAGTACGTTCGTGAATTCAGACCAGAGAGAAACTTTATAAATAAACTAAAAACATAATTTCATGAAATAACACTTATTTTTATATTTTTTCTTTGACAAATAAGTCCTGCCTGTTCGGAGAATGTAATAATCACAAAGAACACTTTTTCCTTACGTTTAACAATAACATGATCAGAATTTCGAACTTTCTATTCGATTTGCCGAAAAATTTAATATTTCGCTTAATTTAATCAACTGTTTTAAAATATTATCATACAATAATAATATTCATAATAATGAAAAAGTGTATATCATGTTTCTTTGTTCAAATAAACATCTTTCAATAAGAATTAATAAGAAATAATGGATCCCAATGAGTAAAAAAATTAAATTTTCTGACGTCTCGTGATACAGCGTAAGAAACTTTTTTCAAAGAATGAATAAACAAATTCAATTAAGCCAAGTTTAAATAGTACAAAGGAAGAATATTTAGTGCGATCAAACAAAAAACAGGCCTGATCACGTCAATGTCATGTCATTTTGGTCAATACGATTTATGCGAGGCATGTTTCACATTTGTATGCGGGTATGTTAAAGGATGAAAAAATGTGACTTTCTGGTGCGAAAGAATAGAGTTGAATTAGTATGTGTGATAATGTTGTGAACTCCGCCTATAGCTCTTCTAGAGTTACTGCCGGTCCCAAGCCCGGGTAAAGGAGAAGGATCGGGCATGGGGTTAGCGACTCCATCCCGTAGAAAAACTAGCTAAAAAACGCTAAGCAGAAAAAATAATTCAAACCATTTAAACTCTGCCCTGGGAGTTGAAGGAATAATTATGACGCCTCGTGATGAAAGTCGAGATTTTTCGGAAGTCAAGAGGCCGATGCTTTCTAACAACCAGAGCAACACTCTTTATAGGTACATGGAATGTCCGGACACTGTGGGAGACCGGGAAGACCAGTCAAACAGCAATGGAAATGAGGAGATGCAAATTGGCAGTACTCGGAATCAGCGAAACCCATCAGACGCAAGCTGGACAACAAAGGCTAGGTACGGGAGAGATGCTGCTGTACTCCGGACACGAAGGGGAAAATGCTCCACACACTCAGGAAGTTGCTCTAATGCTCTTCAGAGAAGCACGAAATGCACTTGTAGGATGGGAATATCATGGATCCAGAATTATCAAAGCATCATTCAAAACAAAGTAGGAGGGGATCACAATGAATGTTATCCAGTGTTATGCACCCACCCATGATAGCAACGACAACGATAAAGATCAGTTCTACTCAAGCTGTAATCAATCATAGCCAAGTACTCAAGAAAGTACCCCACCATCCTGATGGGAGATCTAAATGCTAAAGTCGGAGTGGACAACACAGGATATGAAGATATAATTAGACGACATGGACTAAGAGAGAGAACTGAAAGTGGGGAGAGATTCGCAAATCTATGTGCATTCAACAAATTGGTTATAAGCGGCACAATATTTCCACACAAACGCATACACAAAGCTACATGGATCTCACAGGATCACACCACAGAGAACCAGATAGATCATATTTGTATCAACAAAAAAGTCCGAAGGACGATGGAAGACGTGAGAACCAGGAGAGGAGCTGACATAGCTTCAGATTACCATCTGGTTGTGGCCAATATGAGACTGAAGCTAAAGAAACACTGGACAAACAGCATTACAAAGGTTCAACACACCATTCCTTCGACAGACTGACAAACTTAACGAATTCAAGTTAATTCTCAACAACAGGTTCTAAACTTTACAGGATCTACTGAAAGAACAAGAAACTACGATAGAGGACAACTGGAAAGGGATAAAAGAAGCACTAACTTCAACGTGTCAGGAGGTTCTGGGTCTTAGGAAGCATCATCATGAGGAATGGATCTCTATGGGAACGATGGACAAGACTCAAGAAAGGAAGAACAAGAAGACAGCAATTAACAACAGTCGAACACGAGCAGAGAAAGTCAAGGCACAAGCAGACTACACAGAAGCAAACAAGGAAGTGAAGAAAGCATTAAAGCCGACAAGCAGAAATACCTGGGAGAATTAGCAACGACGGCGGAAAAAGCTGCAAGGGAAGGGAATATGAAACAACTATATAATACAACGAGGAAACTGGCAGAGAGATATAGCAAACCAGAGAGACCAATCAAGGACAAAGCAG